ACCACCCTAAGTTTTCATGGTACATTGCTTCATGTAAACCACGCATGTAATTTCCTTCTATTTTCTAGATAAGTCTCCCCGTTTTACTTTGACCACGCGCTACTCTCGAACTTCATGTTTCAGTATTTACGTATATTTCAGGATCATATAAAGGAGCTGTCTCACTTCCCCAGGTATCTTATCATCACTGTCACTGGAATATGCGGTGGCTACAAGGTTAATTTAAAGGAACGAAAGCTCTTCTACTCTAAACAGTACATAAAAATGACCTTTTGCTGAACGAAGTCAATAATGCGAAACCAGCCGAAGGAACAGGAAAAAGATAGCAGTAAAGAGATGAGAATGTAGAACAATCGCTATACAAAAGAATACTATCCACGTCGCTTGTAAACGGTTCGACCAAAGCCCTAAGCCTCACTTTCGACAGACTTCCGTGGTTCAATCCAACATTTGTACTTCGGGTACACGAACCACGCACACCACGCATCCCATGGATCCTTCTTCTCCTCGAACTTCAGATCAAATTTGCGGACGATCTGGGGCAGGACCTTGGTGATCTCTAAGAGACTGATATTGCGGCCAATGCAGGTTCGAGAACCGCTACCGAACTACAAGTGCGAAGGGTTGATATCAGCTTGAACTATTCTTGCCAAAAGAAAATTTAGAAAATAATAGCATGGGGTGAATAACTTACGGCAAACATCATTGAATCTCGGTAATCTGGCTGTGGCTTGTCTTCCAGCCAGCGTTCGGGTCGGTATTGATCGGCGTCAGGGCCGTAGACCGTTTCACTGTAGTGTAAGGGCCATGCATTCGTGCCGATATGTGTCTAGTAGTGTGAAGAGAATTAGCATAGTCAGGGACAGGAGTTTCAGGACGGGGTGTAGGGATGCTTTACTCCTTCGGGTACGTAATATCCCCCAGTAAGCGTGATACCTCCTTTTGGTACAACTCTTGCCAATATTGTCCCGACACCAGGATGCACCCTTAGCGTCTCCTTGATGACAGCGTTAAGGTACGGCATCTCCTGGGCTTGCTTATATGTCACTGGATCTGAAATACGGCCTTCCGCAGCCATGGTGTCTATCTCTTGACGCAGCTTAGCCAGCTTGTCGGGGTTACGGTAGATGTACCATAAAGCGGCGCTTAAAGTGATACCCGTAGTGTCAGAGCCGGCAGCGATATTGGCTCCACAAGAGTCCAGGACATTGTTGCGTCCAACTTTGTGAGCAGCTTCCAATTCAAGTACCTTTCGCAGAAAGGTGTCGTATTGGGACTTTTGCTTGGTACCGCTGTTCGTGTTGCGATGCTTCCAGTACTGACTCCAGATGTATTCAGTCACTTTACCTGTAGAGGTTCCACTGAAAAAGAGTTTCTGTGCTGCCCGGAAGGCACCCTGCAACTCCGGTAACAAGCCCATAAAGCCAATCGTGTTGTTCAGGTTATGGATCTCTTTGATAATGCCTTGAGTATCGCCCATATTCTCCATCATTCCGAAGTTTTGATCAAACTGAATCCAACCTATTAGCCTCAAAGCCTTCCAGACCGTAGATAGAATAAATCATCTCCAACGTACCGTAATCTCCCCAATCACATCGAATGCATAGAACTGCATGAATTTGGGCATCGAAATCAACTTTCGATTGGCTGCAAGCTCATTCATCTTTTTAATACAGAGAGTTGTCATCCGGTCGACTGCGTCTTCGTAGGCTACCATGGCCGACATGGTGTACAGGGATGCAACTTTTCTTCGTCGGTCCTTATGGTCCTCATTATCCCGCACAGTGAAGATGTTCCTTGGATCACCTGAGGAGTCGTAAAATTCCGACTTCGGAAAATCCCCACCAAAGCCGTAGATCTTCTTCACATCCTGTGGGTCGATGACACTGTATCTCTTGGGGCTGACCCGGACCACCGGACCTATTTTTTATAACCTTAACATCACAACTCGGGTATCCGTTTGTAACAGCTCGCCAGTACTGACCATATTTTTTATGCAGTCTGATATATTCTTCATGTGAGCGGCCTTTCACCAGCTGACGGAATTCCCAGAGGATAGTGAACCGAGCCCAGAATGGTCCAGGTACGTTTCTCAAGGGGGAGAAGAAAAGGTTGTATAGGAAGGGTACAACCCAGAATATGACCAGCGAGCCAACAAGCAGGCCACCAACAGCCCCTATAGGATTACCTTGGACTATATCCAAGATCGTCCCTAGCATGCTGGGTGTTTGTTTGTATGTATAAATAGCGAGGGTGATAATGAAGCTGGAGTGTGTTGAACTAAGTTATCAGAGCAGATATCAATGGCGCTTGGTCGATGATATCTTTCTCGATCCCTGAAGAAAGTCGGTGCTACAGAGGCGATACCGGGGCTTTTATAGGTGAGCGGAATGCACGTCAATGCACAGCAATCCACGGAGAGACAACGGACCTTCCGAAGATGTGGAGAAAACAAGTATCGCAAATGTAATAACGGTGGTCATGCAGGGGCCTGCATGGTCTAGTGCTCCAAAGTCTCAGGGCCATACCTACTACGAGAACGTGGCATACACGATCACTTTTTCTATTTAGTCTCTACATCTCTAAGCCCTACTCAAGCGGCCAATATCCTGCAAAGCTGATCAATTCCAGTTCAATATGGCTTTCCAACCACCTGAGTACCTCTCTTCATCTGTTCGTATACACGAAATAGTTCCCCCACAGTACAATTCTGTTGTGGGGAAGTGGCGCTACCAAAGGTCATGCTAACCGGCATTCAGCAGGGTAAGGATTATGGCTCCCGTAGCTACGGCCCGCATGGGAGGCAATTTGTTGTTACTAAGCGGAAGCTGGCCAGGGTGGTTCCGATGTCGATCGTTCCCATATGGTTTCAGGTCTCGTTCTTCAGTGTTCACAAACCATTACAATATTATATTCACAAGTTCTGATTGGATTCATTCAAATAGAATTATACACCAATTATCTTGTATCGGACTCTACCATGGTTTAACATGCCTCCGTCCATCTCTCACCTTGTAATTCGAGTATCAAGAACATTATTAGTCGCCTTAACTTTTCCCAACAAAACCAAGTTCGGTTAAATGCCAGCGGTGTGTCATGTCCGACAGATCCTTCTTGATATAAAGAGGTGTGGATATTTTCAAGCTGATCTAGGGTATCTGAAGCATCGGCCAGGTTGATGAAGACAATATTGTCTAAGCCCCGAAGGAGTTTGAAAGGGCCAAAGCCGGCTATCGGATTTCATGGCTTTCCATCATAAAATAATATTTTAATCCCGTATATTCGAAACTTTAATGCTTTATATTACTCTTGCCATTGCCTCGATTGGAATGCTTGTTTCATGATACGGTTGGTGGTTCATCAACCAAAGTTAGCACTAAAACTTCTACAAAACGGATAGATATATATATTTTGCTTGGAGGTATAACTCTATTCCGAAATTAATGTACAACTTAGCATAGACGCCTGTTTCTGGAAAGTGGAAGAAGAGAGTATGGGAAGAATTTGAAAAATGACTCCAGGGTGCGAAGAAGCAGCTCAGCTCAGACAAGCCGTGAATATCGTTCATACAAGAGGATGCTGCTGCGAGAGATACTCCGTAGTCGATGATCGCTTTTGGGGTAAGGAAGCGTTAACCAATCGGACATGATTAGGTAATTGTGTCCGAAACTAAACTTGTTTAGGGCTTGGCGGCCTACTCCGAGTCCGTACCGAGTCAGGTGCCGAGCCCTCATTGTTGTCGATCATTTGAAAAGGTATTGCCTTTAAATCCACGCTCGCTTGCTAAACTATCTCTGCTTGATAAAAATATCTATAAATATGCCCAAAACCCTTGAGCGCGGTCGCGTGGTACCCAGGCGACTAAGACATCCTGTTCATTGGAATAGAATTCATAGCCGACAGCGTCGTCACGGTGTACTTTTCGCGACAACAGTCTATTCATAGGGCTGTACTCCATTCTTTATATGTGGCTCTTAGTTAATTGACTGATTGATCATCGCAAAGTATCGATAAGATAGCCCGGATGCTACTACTTGCTCCTCAATGGCTGCGGTGTCGGTGATGGATATGTTAACTTAGGGTATAGCGGTTCAATTCTCCACCAAAGGACACTAAGCGGAAGGGGTCCATGGATGAATGTACTCTAATGACCCGCTTATGACCATCGCACTTGGATAGGACTAGTGTCATACCCGCGTCAAGAACCGGTGCTGACGCGGCTACGTAGGAGAACTCGGTGCACCTCCGGCTACCATGTAGCCAGTTGGCTCATCATGGTTTTCTGTTTTTACCCTACAGACCTGTGTGCTTTTTGTTAGTGAAACTAGTCTCTTGTTCTGGCCAGTTTGCCATCCTGCCGGTGAATCCGGCCCCACCTCTACGCGAGAGAGCCTATATTCAGCGACAATCTTCACAGCCCGTTTGCATCATGCATCCCAGTGTTCGATACAAAACTGGAATCTTGGCATTGAGCGCGCTACTGATCATATGTTCCCTACATCTGTACTGGAAGGCCGACGAGGAATTGGCCGCAGCTCTTGAACCTTCATCACTGAAAGAGCGACAAGCTATTCTGTGGCAACAGCTTAGCTCCTTGCTGGAGGACCATGCCCCGGAATGCCTTTCTCCAGAGAGAGATGACAGCTCGGGAGCAATCCCGTTCAATGCAGTGGAAGGTGTGTCTCGGCCAGACCTGATTACCAATTCCGACCGCATCCAAGAACCGCTGCAGAGAGCGCATGATAGGTTCGTTGAAGCAATAAGAACCTCAACTATAGACAGGGCCTATAGCCCCGGAACCAGCGGGATCGTGTCGAGCGCCGGGAAATCCTACCTTCCACTCTTCGTCACTTCATTGCGCATGCTTCGACGGACGGGCTCAACTCTACCCGTCGAGCTATTCGTTAAAGACGAATCGGAATACGAGGCCAAGATCTGTGAAGAAATCCTTCCTCAATATAATGCTAGATGTGTGATTCTTTCGGACATCGAGGCCGGCCAAGGCTACTCCACGGAGGAGATAGCCCATTACCAATTAAAGATTTTCGCCGTGTTGTTTTCCTCGTTTGAGAATGTCATATGGATGGACTCCGATGGCTTCCCACTCTATGAGCCCGAATTACTATTGCAGAACGAACCGTTTGCATCCACCGGTCTTGTTACGTGGCCGGACTTTTGGGCTTCGACGACTTCTCCTCTGTACTATAATGTATCTCGACAGGCTGTTCCATCGATGACCGAGCGTGCTTCTTCAGAAACAGGGATATTTTTCATCTCCAAGAAAACTCACTTCTTGACTTTGCTTCTGGCCGCGTACTACAACTACTACGGACCATCCCACTATTTCATGCTACTTTCGCAAGGCGCCCCGGGAGAAGGGGACAAGGAAACCTTCATCCAAGCTGCAGCTGCCATGGGCGAGCCATTCTACACAGTCAGCGAGAAGGTATCCGCCGTGGGTCATGCGAAGCCAGACGGAGGTCTTTCAGGGTCTGCCATGGTTCAGTCGGACCCTATCGAGGATTACCGGTTAACCAGTGAAGGGAAGTGGCGTGCTAAAGATCCCTCTGTCGCGAAGGCTCCTCGAGTGTTCTTTGTACATGCTCACTATCCCAAGTTCAACCCCGCAGAACACCTTTTTGGCAATCAGTGGGAGACCGCTCCGACGCTGAAGCCGGACGGGAGCGATGGGAGGGCATGGCTTGTCGCCCAGAAAACATTGGAACGCTTTGGTTTCGACGCTGAGAAACGCTACTGGGAGGAGATCAAATGGGTTAGCTGTGACTTGGAGCACGTCTTTGAATCCTGGAAGGGCAAGTCGGGGATCTGTGATCGCGTGTCGGAATACTGGCGCAATGTGTTTGAGAGTCCGGATGAAGAGACACCCGTTTTCACGCAAATTTAGGGGCGGTGCAGTGATATATGGATCTCCGATTAACAGCGCTGCGATGAGATACTACGTACGGTGGACTAAATCTAGCTAACGGACAGAACTTCAGTTTATCGCATTTCTTACCGAAATCTCACTGTTTTTATATTCAGCCACAGCTGCCATGCACTTCTAGTTCTAAATTCCACTAAGGCCTTAGAAAATACTCTGTACTATTATATAGTATTATGTATATTTAATATTAAAAAAAGTTTAAGCTTATAGTTTAATATTTATTGTTAGTAGTATTGGTAGTGGTAGTGGTAGTAGTAAACTAGGCCCTAAGCTTAGGGATTACAATGCCTAAATTTAGGAACTAATCCACTAGAACCTAATATACAGGTATAATTGGCTACTATATAGTGCGTTGGTATTGCTAAACTTGGTAATATTTTATTTTGTCCGTAAGCTAGATTTAGTCCGCCGTAATGAGATCTACATCATTCGCTATGAGAGAACATCACCCTGTCCCAGATCCGCAACTACGGGGTCAGACCTACATCGGTGGGTACATAGATATGTACCGAAGGACATCATACATCATCGTTATAAGAGGAGCAGGTATCCTCGCATACGAAATAACTTGAATTGCTTGGGATATAACTTACTTATATAAGGACGAGTTGTACCCTCTCCCTTCACTCGGTGACTTGCGTAAGTCATGGACACCGCAAATAATGCCTTCAAGATCTCAACAATACAAGTCGATCCTTGCTGTCCCAGGAAAAATAGATGCCAGGAGCTGAAGGCCCGCCCCACTTCATGCACGTACGCGTACACCTTATTCAACAGAGACGAAAGGCAACTGCAGAAGCTTCAATTGGTTGGATATATCAGTGATCTCGGCTGAGCTGAAATATGGGGTATACAACACGACGCAAGCCAGCACCGATATCGCGTTATAACATTAGTATAAGTATCTGGCTCTTGTTGCGCCCCTCCTCTCTCCGAATGTCCTTCAACCATCCCTCGCAGACATCGCGACACCTCTCTAAGTTGCCCTTGTTGCGCATACAGCCGATGTCTTATACTGCCCGTATAGCAGAGCTCGCGTATACAATAATAGTTTAGAAGTTGCCATGCGGGGTAACAACCCTAGAATTGAACGATTTCATATTGATTCAATGCGTAACCAGCTGACGACCAGGGCCCTACATACGTCGTCGACAGGAGTTAACGTAGAGGTACTTCCATTGTCTCACCCGGAATAGATTCCGCGGCCATAGTGATACTAGTAACAGTATATTCGACTAGATAAGCGCGGAAAGCCTTTTGACTGGCCATTACTAAATTAGTTTCTTCCCCACTTCACCATAAAAAGGCGCCCTCCCCTACCCGAACATTGTCTATCCGACAACTTCTTTTCAACATAGATTTGCGTCTATCACCACTGGACTGGTAAAATATACAATAGGACAACAAACTGACCTGGCGAATGAGCGACTAAGGATGCATATCGCGATCTTCAACTGTCTTAAGCCCATCCAAGGCCGGACCTGTCCCGACATGTTTAAAAACATGGTCGATCGCGGGCTAGATTATAATAAGGATCGCCTTAATACTTCGAACGTCTACATATCATATGAAATCTATAACTGTGCCGCCGAGGAGTTTCCCACATGTTACGCTGCCATAGACGCGATAATCATAACCGGATCATCTAAGTCAACTTATGATCGACGCTCTTGGATTAAGAAGATGCATGAAGCTTTGCAAGGTATGGTTTGTCATATCGTCATATGTACGATACTGACCACGCACCCAAGATGTGTATAACAACCACCCGAACATTAAACTCTTTGGTGCATGCTTCGGACACCAGATGATTGCATCAGCACTACTGGAAGACTATGGCGTACGGGTTGAGAATAATCCAAAGGGTTGGGAGATAGGTGTGCACGATGTTGACTTTGATCCCGAGTTCCTAAGTCACTTTTCACAATTCACGAGTGAGGACAGGGCCATGCAGCGGAAAGTTCAATTTATTCACCAAGATCAAGTGACCGTGCCGGACGGATCTCTTCCCTCGGATTGGATAATAGTGGGAAAGAACGACTTATGTGACGTTCAGGGGCTATTCCAGCCGAATAGAGTACTCACATATCAAGGACATGCAGAGTTTGATAAAGCTACGACGAAGGCAATTCTTGAAAAGCTCAATAATCCTGCTTGGTCAAAGGACGATCGGGAGGCTGCTGACCAGGTTGACGATGCGGATTTCTATGCTGGGGTTCTGGTGGAGTTTTTGCTAGGCTGAATAGCCAGTTTTAATGTTGTCTAGTATTTTAGGTTAGGGTGAAGTGACCTTATGGCAATGGTGGCTTGCAAGACCCATAATACATGCACTAGTTTTCACAAGGTAGAGAAAGTCGAGTTGTTACTATAATATATTGGATTCACCAATCGGACAGGAGAGTATATATCCATAGCGAAAAGGTGCATAAACAAGTGGGGAGGTGGCCGCGAGTTACAGTGCCCATGGTGGTATAAGGGGTTAATTTTATTTAGCATCACAGGTAAATATACTAAATCGGGATAACAAGCAAGAATAATAAATTAATAAAATGTAATTGTACACTTAACTATATCCATTCATCATGTATGTTATGCTAGACATTGACGGTAATCCACCGTCCAGTATCTACTGGAACTAACCGACTGGGATATTGTAGGCTCTGATAGGTAAAATATGTACATTTATTCAGCAGAACAAGAATGAAGATAGCGTAAGATGAGACGAGACCTCTCCTTACATATGAATACTACCGTAGTAGTGTGTACACGTATCAATGCATGTACCCGACGGCAAAGGTTACTGAAGGTGTCATTGGAGTATGTAGATCTTCGATATGGTGCGGGGATCGGCGCATTTGGCCAATTAATATCCTCACTCCCTGGCTATATGTAGTAGCTGAGGTATCAATCGGTGTTTGCTTACCCCGCTACTTATCAGTCGAATTGGCAATGCATGATTTATAAATCCTGCCTGTTCCATAATGCCTGTCACGATGAATAGAGGTACCACGTATATGTTCATATTTGAATTGGCCTCTTGCAGAGCCAGTTGTGTATATACAGAGATAAACCAGAGAATATGCGATTCACAGCAAGATGGATACCACTAGTGACGGCATTAGGCAGTACCATGCCAGCCCAGGTGGTCGCCTCCATTGAGAACCCTAGTCTACTACCCACACCGCCCATGGGTTTCAACAACTGGGCCCGGTTCATGTGCGAGCTGAATGAGACCTTATTTGTCGACACTGCGGATGCAATGGCCTCGAACGGGCTATTGGAAGCGGGATATAACCGTATCAATCTCGATGACTGCTGGATGAACTATGATCGCGCGGAGAATGGATCACTGGAATGGAATACCACCAAGTTCCCACGCGGTCTTCCCTGGCTTGGACAATACGTTAAAGATAAAGGCTTCAATTTCGGCATCTATGAGGATTCAGGGAATTTGACTTGTGGCGGCTATCCTGGGTCCGAGGGCTACGAGGAGATCGACGCGGAGACATTCGCGGCATGGGGTATCGACTATCTGAAATTGGATGGGTGTAACGTCTATCCGAAAGAAGGCCGCACTTTGCAGGAAGAATACAAATACCTCTATGGCCATTGGCACGGGGTACTGAGCAAAATGCAGCAGCCGTTGATATTCTCAGAGTCAGCGCCTGCGTACTTCTCCATGACTGACAATCTGACTGATTGGCATACGGTCATGGACTGGGTCCCTGAATACGGCGAGCTCGCCCGGCACTCGGTTGACATTCTCGTCTACAGTGGAGATGGCAGTGCTTGGGACAGTATTATGACAAATTATAGGTTTAACACGTTAGTGGCTCGGTATCAACGTCCTGGATATTACAATGACCCCGACTTCCTGATCTCAGACCATCCAGGACTGTCACTCGATGAGAAGCGATCCCAGTTCGCCCTTTGGGCTTCGTTTTCCGCGCCCTTGATTATTAGTGCCCATATTCCAGACCTGTCCTCTGAGGATCTGGAGTACCTAAAGAATCAAGCCTTGATTGAGGTTGACCAGGATCCACTAGCTCAACAAGCAACATTAGCCAGTCGCGATAGTTCCCTTGATGTCTTAACGCGGAACCTTGCCGACGGTTCCAGATTGGCCACCATTCTGAACCATGGTAGCGATTCCGTCGAAACGGACATTTCTATGGACATACTCGGCCTCTCCACTCATTGTACATACAAAGCACACGATGTCTGGGATGGCTCGGCCCAAACCATCAAAGATGGTATACATATTAAGCTAAACACCCATGCAACGGCCGTGTACAAAATAGAAATCGACGAGAAATGCAGCCAAGTTATACCGACCGGAATAATCTTTAACACGGCATCCGGGAAGTGCCTTACGGGCACGTCATCAGACGTGGGATTTGACTCTTGCAACGGGAGCAAATCGCAGATATGGCAGGTTGGTGCATCCGGTGTGATCCGCACATTATCTGAGCAATCAAAGTGTCTCACGACAGACGGCAAAACTGTCACTTTGGAGGAGTGCAAGGAGAATAGCGCTCAGAAATGGTCTTATGCGCTCACTGGTAACCTAAAGAATGCTGAGTCTAGTAGTTGCCTGACGGAGGACGCTGGTGTTTCGGTCTGCGGCTTCGAAGCTAATAACCAGGTGTTTGGGCTGCCCGCTGGTGTTAAGGTTGCATGATAGCGCTTGAATATCTTGTTGGCCATCGTGAATACGTCTCAGGAGCCGAATGGCAGGTCATTGCATGGTAAAGTAAATAGTTGGGCGGTTTGCTATCGAGCTCTTTTTTTGCGGAAATCTTTGGCTTCCCGGAATGTGACTAGATCAGAACCTCCTTTTACTCAATAATTAAATTCAAGTGCGTTACTGGCCATATCCTCAAGGAAACACGCCCCCAAAGCTCTATTTTGCAGCGTACAAACTACCTATCGTGAAAAGGCCCTGTATGACTAGAGCATGCTTATACCAGACCTTAACCTAAGTCTGTCACAGAGAGAGATTCCTAAAGAGACTCGGCAACAATAACAGCTTTTGGTTTATACAGCTCCTCGAGATATGTTTCCTCCTCTTCTGTCAGCACTTTGCCTCGAATTGCAATTGCCTGCTGTAGTCTCTGAATGCTGCTGAAGCCTATAATGGGACTGGTGACGCGTCTGTTAATCCACGCCAGTGCAACATGAGACATTGGCCAACTGCGCTTTTCGGCGATCTCAATGACCCGTTTGATGATAGCTAGGTCAGACTCCTCCAGGCCGGAAGTGATCTGCTGTTCTTCCTTGCTTCTGATAGTCGAGCCAAACTCCGATGGCGGTCTCGCAAGGTGGCCACGGCAAAGAGGAGCCCAAGGGATCAAGCCAACACCTGTATCATTACAAAACCGATTCATCTCCCTCTCCTCCTCGCGATAGAGGAGATTATACTGACTCTGCATACTTATAAACTTCGTCCAGCCGTTATGCTCGGCGCAAAACTGCATGCGGGCGAATTGGGTTGCCCACATGCTGCTTGCACCAATGTATCGGACTTTTCCGGATTGAACAACATCGTGAAGGGCCTTCATTGTTTCTTCGATAGGGGTTGTTGAGTCGAAACGGTGGATTTGTAGAAGGTCGATATAGTCTGTACCCAATCTCTTCAGTGACGCATTGACTTGGTTGAATATCGCGGTCCGGGAAAGACCGTATTGGTTCTGGTAATCTTTGGAGGATTCGAATGATTCGCGTTCCAACCAGTGCAGAGTTTCTAAGGAGTTTGTCAGTTACTATTTATTCTAATGAGGGACGTAGTCTGCTATCCGCACCAGGGTCTTCTGCCACACCCCAGAAGCATTTTGTTAAAATAACAATTTTCTCACGCGGAATGTTGTACTTCTTTAAGGCTTTCCCAATAATAACCTCGGAAGCTCCGTTCGAGTAGACATTGGCTGTGTCCCAGGTGTTGAGGCCCGAGTCGTACGCGAACTTGAGGAGCGGAAGAGCCTAAGCTACTGTGTTAGCAAGAGCAAGTATATAATAGCTCGAACCCATCACCTCGTCTTCATCAATAGTCCAGGACATGGAATTGGAGTTTCCTAAGCTCATACACCCGAAAATTGGCACAGACACCTTGAGGCCACTATTCCCGAGACGCCGATAACCGCACTTGGAATTCTCAATAGATTTCCTCAAGGCAGCTGTAGTGTGCGAGGACATTTTTGTGACTGGGACTTCTGGAAGTCTTTTCGTGTTAGACGATCTGCTGGTAAAGATCGGTTGTGCACACTGTCGGGTATAAGGGCAGAACATGGAGCGATCGTGGAGTATGGAATGGTATATATATAATCGGTAAACATTGTCATTTGCCTCTTTCACACAAGATGCAGTCTTGTCGCCATGAGCTCCTCAGTCCAGGTCTGCTCCATCATTTTCCGCATTTACCCCACTCTGAGGATAGAGATGAATGGGCGTATCTCGGAGATAATGCCGGGCATATGCGACGCATACTATATCTGTTGCATTTAAATTCCATGATCAGCATACCCTTATCGCATTTACAACACAATATATCAAGTGGATGACGGCTTTAGCGAGAGAGTTGAGATCTAGCACGGCAGGAATATTAACCTGCTTACTCTGAAGTGGATCAGGACGGACAAGTACAAGTGGGGTCCATTGATAGATGACCCACTTCACGGTAAGCAATTTCTTCTTGGTTTACCATTTTAGACCCTTGGATGTGCAAACAATTTCCACTTTGGTGTCCGCATTGGCATGTGGATAGATATCTCATCGAGAATTAACAGACGTTTGGACGACACATTTTCATCTGGGCTAAGGGTATAAGACATATAGAGCCATATAAAAGTGAATGTTCATGTCCTTTTTGCTTGTTTACGATATTTATCATGTTTGTTGCTATGCCTCACCAAGCAGATACATATCATGGGCGGCGATAAAGTGCCAAACTCTCACCCCATACCAAAGCCATGCCACCGATACATGAGTATGCAACTCTCAATTGGAATCCTGAGCACAGGCGTGACCAGCGTAGCCTAGGACTTTTGTACATTGGTTCGGCTAACTTCTGGACCATGGAAACCGTAGTGTATTTGTCAGCAGCCGTAATAACTAACATTAACGAACCAGCCAATGTCGGGTTCCAGTCACAACCCGATCTCCTTGCTACAACTTCATTTGTTCTTCGGCCTAAAAGTTCGGGTGTCAAAAGGGGAGTGAGAATGCAGATGTCCAATTCAAAGAAAGGGAGGCCTACATCTTTACGTGACGCGGCTATCGCTGAACGAAAAGCGCAGCTCGAGAAGGACGACTGGCATGGAATCGGGAACCCCACTGAGCGACGGCGACGGCAAAACCGGGTGCACCAAAGAGCTTACAGTACGTTGGGAGATGAGAAACAAGGTACCGGCAAAGATATATATTAACTTTTACAAAGGGGATCGCAAGCGTGAACAGATCCAGATGATCGAAGGAACGCCCCAATGTCCGAAGGCCAACAGGGACAATGTCAAACGGCAAACGCAGCGACAAATGCTGGAAGACTTTTTATCAAGAGCCCATCGGAGCTATGTTTTAGGCCGACCCAGCGCAGACCACCTACTAACCCTAACCAAAGCCAATGTATACCGCGCGTTTTTGCATAATATAAACCTGTTAGGCCTTGTAGCGGACGGCCTTTGTGAGGCAGATGTCCTATCCCCGTTCTGCCAATTTGGCCCGACATGGCCAGTTGCGAGAACCCTTCCCCCGTCCTTACGCCCGACATCCACTCAGTGTTTGTTGCCGCATCATCCATGGCTGGACTTTTTCCCCCACCCTCGGGCACGGGATACTCTAATCCGCCGACTGGGTGACTTCGACGAAGATGACTTTTGCTTAGATATATTAGGCTTCTGGAATCCAGATGCACCGGACAATATGTTGCTGGTCTGGGGTGAACCATCTGACGCTGAGAATTGGGAAGTAACAGAGGGCTTCATCAAGAAATGGGGTTGGGTGATTCAAGGATGCCCGGATATCTTGCACAATACCAACAAGTGGCGGGCAAGGAGAGGGGAGAATCTCATTCTTCGGTATCTATAAATGATTTACCAGGTTTTCACATCACCCCATTATCAGCACTTCTAATGCTTTTAATACGCCATTAGGAACAGTCTGCGACGACCCACTGACAGATTATTTTCCCCTGTCCTTTCCATGTAGCACTCACAAAAATCCTAACGCCGAGAAAAACCCCCCTATTACAACCCTCAGACTAGTGCAGCACCTGGAATAATATGCATCCAATGATAAGAATAATCACATGGCTCTATATCCATATTCCATTGTAGTAGCATGGCTACAGCAAATCGAAATCACATTGTATTGTTCTTTCTTCTATTCGGTAAATCAAGTCTATATCTTGTCTAAGGTGTGCTGCTAGTGGTCTGCAAACACCGTTTCCCTCACCAAGGGATAGACCCATCCCTATCTGAAAAGGTGGCAGTAGGTCCATCAGCACCCACCAACGCCAGTTCCACAATCCTGCGCGCACCAACATCCGGTGTCACCCCATCCTCTGCATATCCATTCATCTTAGTCTTAACCAAACCAGGGCATACCGAATTGACTAGCCCATTGGCATCCCGAAGAGCCCTGGAATAATGCAGGACGAGCATATTCACGGCGGCCTTGCTGCTTTTGTAGGACTTCGAGATCATATGGTAATACGGCCAATTTTCGTCATTCGAGAGCGCAAGTGAGCCGAGGCTAGAGGAAACGAAGACGACCCGTGGTGCAGTGGACTGACGGAGAAGGTCGAGGAGCGCATCGGTCAGGACAGCGGTTCCGAAGACATTCGTATCGAAAGTCATGCTCAGATTCTCCCGCACAGACAGATCAGAGCGGTGGTCGACCGCTGTCCCGGCGTTGTTAACGAGGATATCCAGTTTGCCGTAAACCTCTTGGATATGCTTGGCAGCCGCTGCGATAGACGTGTCCGAGGCCAAGTCCAATTGGACGGACGAAGCCGAGTGGCCTTCTGCAACAATGGATGCTGCGACCTTTTCTCCGGCTTCGGGGTTTCGTGAGGTGAGGATCACATGGTGATCCGGTTGGCGCGCTAGCTGACGTGCCACAGCTTCGCCAATGCCTGAGTTGGCGCCAGTTACCAATGCGACAATCATGTTGAGTTCTTGAGTGTATAGATCTGATATATGAGATTGTTGAGATGGTTGTCCGGCAACAGGGGTTGCACTTCCGATTTATACAGCTATGCACCAGTGTTGAAGAATCTCAAATTCATTGATCCATATTGTCCTATCGTACAGTACTGTTTACTTGCTTACCAAGCGCTTCAAGAAGGATCCTTAAATCCGAACGGGTAACTCCACCTTGTACGAAAGTCTTTGGTAGTGAAACATCATAGGCTATACCTCGCTGGGGCATCCTTTCTTGATTCTGGACTCGAGTGGGCTGTTACGCACTTCGGTCTTTTCTAAAGCCGACGGGCATACATGCGTGACGAAAGTATCAAGTAGGGCTTTGTTCCAGTCTAGTAATCCTTTAGATTCACCATACTGACCCGAAAATGTTCCGCTGGAAAGGCTTGGCGACCCGGAGCATGTACTTTGTATGAGTCTTTCACGGCGCGGAGCCAAGATTTATCAACGCGGCCGAGAAACTTTCCCCTTAGGGCTAAATGTGGGCCTTCTGCAGAAAGTATACTCCTAACAACGTCTATCATTGCCCCCTAGGATGTCCTCCTGTGGAAAAGACGAGTTAGGCAACCAATAAGACTCAGTAGCTTTCATCATCCTGAAACTAACTTATAAATCAAAGTAGTTCAAGACTGGCATGGGCTTGCCCAGGAAGCGGCGACTTTAGTCTCCGGTGAAACGTAATGAAGGAACAAAGAATTTGCAGGAAAGGCACCCTGGGCAGGTTGATGCTCCATTCATGCACCACTACGTAGCCGATGCAATGATTCAGAGTCCTTACTCGTTGACGAGCTACGCAGACCCTCAAGGCCCTTTACACAAGAGATCTAGGGGCGTCGAGTACTATGGAAACGCAAAAATGGTCTAGCTCAGGCTCTCTTGTCAATACAAGAAGCACAATCATGGCTCCACCGTTGCAGATGATAAATGCACGTAGCTGCCTGACATGTCGCCGAAGAAAGGTGCGTTGCACTCGTCAGCAACCGTGCATGTATTGCGATAAGACAGGTAGCCAATGTGTTTTCCCGGAGACAACGAAGAAGACTCGTCAGCGGAAGCCGACAGCACGTGAGGAAGTCCAAAACAGATTGGAACAACTCGAACGTATTGTCAAAGGTATTCTTGAAAAGCGCAAAGATGCAAATAAACGAGAGAATACTTCTCGAACGATTGACGTAGCTAGAGCGGCACCTGACGTGGCTATTCAAGGTATTTCATGGTTCCAAGTCGATTTCTGAAAGCATGCTCATTGCCGTGCTAAAGGATATTTGTTTAATGTAGGCAGTGACCCGAACGTACCTACTATCCACCAATATATCGGCCAGCATCTGAACTTCCAACTGGACGAACATTACGCCAATGAGAGCGCGTCGAACCCGAATCAGCTGGATCAAATATCACCTCAGCTATCCGGAGACGGCATATTGCCCTTCCCTCAATCTTCCTCGCAGGTAGACGGTTGGGCCTTCAAAGGTCCATCGCTTGTTGTGCAAATGTCAAAGACTGCTTATCCGCTACTTGACTGGTCGCCCATCCTCTGGGATGTCTATGCAGACCACGTCGCGCCACTCTTCCCTCTTCTCCATAGGCCAACCACTAGGAGTATGGTCTTGCGGGGGATACAATACTCAACGCCTACTGCCCCAGAGGACACGGCGTTGGTGCTCGCAATATACTTTGTTGCTGTGGTTAGCATGTCCTCTACGCAATGCGACATGCTACTTGGAGAAAGCCGTGACAATGCGGTGTGGTACCTGAAGGGTGCAGTAAAACAGGCTCTATCAGACGCGAGGTTTCTCAGTAATACTAGTCTCACATGTATGCAAGCTTTGGTGCTGTTCTTGGTCGGAATGTATGCGGAGAACGAACAGCGGCTTGTATGGTCTATGACAGCTCTTGTCGTACGTCTTGCTCAAGGTATGAACCTGCATAGAGATGGAGCTCACTTGGGACTGGCCCCATTCGACACTGAAATCCGTCGTCGTTTATGGTGGACGATATGCTTGTTGGATGTTCGTTCCTGTGAGGATAATGGAACAGAGCCTATAATTAACGAAGAGATGTATGATGTGCGACTCCCGTTGAACGTCAGTGATGACGACGTATACCCGGGCATGCAGGCACTTCCACTAGAGCGAACAGGAGGAACAGAGATGACATTCTCTTTACTACGCTTCGAGGCAATCGCTATCGTTCGGAAAGTAAATTCTACAACTGTGTCCTCTATCGAAGGTAGTAAGGAAGATTCGGCTAGAGACTACCTTTCTGAAGTCAAGAAAGCCCATCAGCATCTGAACGAAATGTACCTCAAGCATTGTGATCTAAACATACCCATTCACTGGGTTGGCGCCGTTGTAACACGGCTAATATTAGCCAAGGCCAGTTTAGCGGCGTACCATCCCGCAGTTCACTGTGCCAACAGATCCAGCAGGCCCCCATTTGTGAGGGATAAGTTGATCCACTTAGCATTTGAGGTACTCCAATTGGACTACCAACTTCGTGATCACCCAATAATGGTGCAATGGGGGTGGCACCTCAGATCCTACACACAATGGCATGCGATGGCTGTCACGTTATTGGAACAGTGTGTACATCCAATTGGCTCTGTCAGCACAAGTCATGCGTGGCAGTTAGTAAAGTGGATATTTAGAAAAGAGGATGAGAGGCCAACAAAGAGAAAAGATTCTATTTGGTGTCGGCCGCTATCACACCTTCTTACCCGTGCCTTGCAAGTCGAGGATTCATTGCAAGTTAATCCATCTCTATTGGGTCTCCCGAGCACCGATCACATAGGTACCCATAATCTGGAACAAAACTCTGGCGCCTCATTTATCATTAACTAGTCTATTCCTTACACAGACAGCTGTGGATATATTGAGACGTATCTAGCGTTCGAGAACTTCCCAGCGAATACGGATCCAAGACAAAGCACCTGCACGCGCTGTGGGAGAGGATGTCCATCTCTTAGCATATCCTAGAGCACTCTGTGTTGGCATTTGAGAGTAATTTGTTTTATCTTGAGGATAGAATACCAAGGGCACAATCTTAGTGTTTACATGGTATTTTGTTTGGGTTGTATTGAGATTATATAATTGCTGAACTCGGTTAACTTGAGTACCGGATGCACGCAGTGATTCGCACGAGGACCACTCCTAGTATCCAGATTTGTTCAGCCCAGTGGACGTTCACCTGAGAATTCATTACGCCTCGTTCACTCTGGCTGTTCCAATACGAATGTAATATATCTCGTTTCTCCATGACCTGATGCGACGACTAGGACACCATAGGATCAAGTTCGGCGGTCCACTTTGCACACCCGAAAGACTGAGGTCCACTTCTAATGAGCCAGCTTTTGCTACTATGTAGCTATTAGTGATAATATGTGGTCTGCGATTTCAAACTTGGGTTCGTTGGATATGACAACACACTAGACAAATACCACAAAAAGAAGAAAGGCGGACATGGTTAATTCGATCGAAAGAAGGGACTTGACAATTGATACTTGTATGTATACGTTTATTGCAAGTAGATCTAAATTAGCTCCGGATAACGCAATACTCCAAATGTCTTAGTTTAGTGGACATGGAAATATGTAATATTGATCATGGTAAGATGCGTTACACAATATCACCCGCAGTACCTTCTAATAATATTCAAGGATTATTGGATCAACCCAACGAAATGTAGATTTGAACCGTACCCTGAAGCCCGTCGTACCTCTATTTAAAGCCCCTCTCTTGACAATACCTTATTGAGGACGTCCATCAGCTTGGCCTCGCAGTCTGCAGCCGCCTTGGGAGATCTCCAGGCCACGAATCTGTCAGGTCGTACCAAAACACAACCACTCTCCTCCACGCCACGCTTTGCATACCACTCACGATGGACGTCGCTATAATCAAGGCCGAAGCCAATCCCATAAGCATTGATGGGAATTCCCGTAATTCGGCTAATGTTGATGGCAGCCTCCTTCCAACCGCCGCCGCCAATTCCGAAGAGCAGGCAGAAGGCACCTTTCCCAGCAAGGTCATGAGTCGAAATCATTTTCTGGCGAGTAGCGACATCCAACCAGGCATGCGGAAGTCGGCTTCCTGGGTAGGTCGTGACTTGTGGCTCGGTGATCGGATTTCCATGCAATGTGGGCCTAGCAGAGCCTTCGTCCTCGAGATACACGGCTGTGGATACGTACCACTGGTTGTAGGCAGCACCCCAACTATGGAGCTCCTCTTCAACGTGCTCCATAGCGGTCCGGACTTTCTCGCGGGAGGCCGCCCCTTCGTCTGTAGCTTGAAAGAGCTTGGCGAGTTGCTGCGCCCCCTCTTCACGGCTGGGGGCGAACATACCCACTGCTTCCCAGACCCCAAACTGCGAGTGAAGGCCCTGGTTAGCATTGTGGACAAGCATAGCACCGACGGGCTGGCGCTCCTGGCTGTATGATTTCAGGAGCCCGGGACCCGCAAAACCTTTTGATACATAGGCAATTTTCCACCCAAGATTATACGCATCCTGCACACATGTATTGCTGCCCAAGCCATACGCGGGTGGATGGCGATGCGCGGCGTCGCCAAGCAAAAAGACATCTGTGTCGTCGAACGAGTAGTGGTCGGCGACACTCTGACGAACAGTCCACGGGTCCATTCGCAGGATCTCGACGTCGACCGAGTCATCCCCAATAATCTCACGCACACAGTCGACGAGCTCCGGACTCTCAGGCGTTAGTCCTTCGAATGGGTCGGTACCTTTGGCACCAAAGCCGACCATCACCCATTTCTTCCAGGGCTCGACCATGCGTAGGTGAGCTACGAGGCCGGGGAACGTGGTGCGATCGGGCTTCAAGATCCAGTGCAGAGCAGCGTGACGCTCCTTGTTCATTATATGACCTAGGTCCGCGCGTAGCAGAATGTTACAAGCTTTACCTCCGCTGGGCTTGCTGGTAAAGCTGAAGTTCAGCGACCGAGCTATGTGGCTCCGCGCACCATCTGCACCGAAAAGATAGCGGGTTTGGATCTTGATTGTGGTGTTCAAAAGAAGGTCGTGGACTGTGCAAAGATATTGCGTATGTCCGCTAACGCCTTCGAGACGTTCAATAGCCACGAGCTCCGTGGAAAAACGTACGTCGAAGTTGTGGTGTGAGGCGTATCGGACTAAAAGCGGTTCCAGTTCTGACTGCGAAAATTCGGCATATTCACAGGGGGTGAGGCCAAATGTATGGGTCTATAGCCAGGGCGCATTAGTTCAAGGTTTCCGCATTCGCCTCTCTGCCCCCCTGGGAGCGCAACTCTTACCACGGTGGACGGATGTTCACCCCATGCAAGCACCTTTCCATACTCCTCGCCAACCATGGTTCGGGACCAGCGCATGGATTGAAGAGTGCGGCCACGTACGGCCTGCTGGAGGGCTTTGTCCTCAATGCCAATGTCGCGAAGACATTCTGAGCCTAGGTTAGTTGACCAAGTAACCAACCTCAGTCAGACGCACGCACCGAAAGCGAAAGGGTTGAAGCTGTGAGCCCTTGGAGTATCGGCAGTGCTAGATGCCTTAGCAATAACAAGGCCATCTAGACCTACGCACATGAGGTTAGTACGTCTGTTTATCGAAATACGTTGATTAGGGGTATTCACCGTGTTGGCCTAAGAAGGCCGCCAACGCTAACCCAGCAGGTCCAGCGCCCACGACAAGGAACTTCGTCTGAATTTCGGATGTCATGATTCTATTGTCATTTACGAAAGAGTGACTCAGTAGCCTGTAGATCACTTGTTATTAGATGACAGTAATGTTTTGTATTAGGTGATGATAGTGGATGTCTAGGTATTCAGCAAGCCAGCGCAACGCCCTTTTATAGTACAAAAGATACTTATTGTCCTTGGCGAGGGCATGCTTCAAGGCTCATGTGCATTCGGACATTAGTATGGGACCCGAAAGAGAACCTTGGCTTGAGTGCCGTTCCTTCGGTGTTAAGACTTACTTGATGTAGAAGTGTGGGTCAGTCGATGGTCGATCTTTGCTGGTCCCAATACTTAGGGTGCCAACGAAAGGTTTATAAGCGAAGTAAATCTGGCTAACAGTTGAGAGCGGCCTATTCGATGCTGAATTGACTAAAATGTATAGTAACCAACGAAGGGTTAAGGTTAAGTTCTGGTCGATCTTCACACCCTACATAGCTCCACACTAACGGGATAGGTCATTCTCCAGCTGCAAAGGCTGATATTAACACCGACTTTAGCTTCGGTCTCGGTATGATTTTGTGACCGAATCACATCATACCGACTAACATTGGCCTTTGGCCCATACTTCCGCCACTCCCACTGCAGTTAAAGATGATGCCAGACATGGCGGCCCGCTTTGTGCGTCAGCCTCGAGCGAGCCGTTTGAACTTTTGCTTGCTTACAGATTTTCATTTTACTGACGTGGCGAATATGTAAAATGAAGTAACATTAGACAAAACAGGGTCATTGCATGACAAAAGTACGTTCCCCGGAGCCAAGAAATGATGCTCACCTGATCGGCATTGTGCTAAGTGAAGAATGTAAATCAGGGACGCGCTTGTCTAGGCTCCAAGACGTCGCATTCTAACGCGAGTCGATCCACCCGTCACGCTTCAGTAACACAATGGACAATCAGAACAACGTTGATGACCAGGCATTGGAGGCCCAAGGATATACTCGGGCAATGCCCCGGCGCTTCTCGCCCCTATCCCTTTTGTCTCTCGGGTTCGCCATGACAGCAACTTGGAATGGCTTTGGAAGCGCCATTGAGACAAGCCTCGCGGAGGCATCCTCATCTGGCACGATTTGGACATTAATCATTGCCGCCCTGATGAACCTCGTCGTCTCGCTCGGCATGGCAGAGCTCGTATCGGCGTATCCAAACTCGGGGGCGCAGTATTATTGGTCGTTTCGTGTTGCGCGTTCAGACTGGGCACCCTTCGCTTCGTACATGCAAGTAAAGATCGAGTCTACCACGCCTTCTCAAGTTCTATGCTTATTTGTCGCCCTTCTTTATATCTAGGTCAGCTTGTGTAAGTACCTGCGGGTGGTGGCTCGGGCTAGCGAGTGTGTGCAACTTTGTTGCAGCTATGGTGTTAGCTATGCTCCACCTGTGCGTTGAGGGTTATACCGTCAGTCCATGGCACCAATGGCTATGTTATACATCCGTTCTGTGGCTCGCCGTCGCATTTAATATATTTGGGACCCGCCTTCTCCCCACATTCAACAGACTTTTGCGTAAGTCAAAGATATGCAGTCCGACGACATGCCCTGCTGAGATTATTCTGAAGTCTACTTCTCATTATCGACGCTTTTAATAAGCGTCGTTATTATCCTGGGATGTGCGGCCCCCAACTTCCAGTCCACAACATGGGTATTTGCGGATCTGAAGAGCTCCAACCAGTCATATGTCAGGGGATTCCTTCTCATTTTGTGCTTGCTGAACAATACCTATGGTTTTATGGGCACCGATGCAGGTGCCCATCTCGCAGAGGAGATTCCTTCACCAGCAACCAATGCACCCAAGGTGATAGTATGCGTCTGAGTACCATATTTGAACTCGTTATGCACGTCAAGACTGATTCTCGGAAACATGCAGGTATACCCGATTATAATTGGACTAGTAACAGGTACCACTCCGCAATTGAAAATAAATCCACATTAATAGATGAAGAAGCTGACGTCGGCAGCATGGCCATTCGCGGTGGCATGCATGTATGTCATTGTTGACATTGAGAAAGTCGTGAACCCGCCAAGCGGGATCGGTTTAATCGAGATTTATTACCAAGCAACCGGCAGCAAAGCCCTCACCATTATCCTCCTAGCGGCATTCTCATTTTGCTTGTTCGGATGCGCAGTCGCGAACATCACAGGATCGAGCCGCCAAATCTGGGCCGCGTCAAGAGACAACTGCTATCCCCTGTCGACTTGGTGGTCGCGAATTCATCCTCAGTTCCAGATGCCTGTTAACGCTGCCGTTCTGTCAGCTATTTTCACTACGGTAGGGGGCCTCCTCCACCAATCCATGCGATGGCAACATGGCTGACTGTCCTAGCTCTACGGGCTGATCTATGTAGGATCAACGACGGCGTTCACATCTATGGTCAGCGCCAATATCGTTTTTATGATGACTTCATATGTCATCCCTCAGGGTATCCTGGCCTGGAGAGGCCGTTCCACAGTGCTTCCAGGGCGGCCCTTTGACCTTGGGAAATGGGGCCAGCTGGTGAACGTTACGAGTTGTTTGTGGGTTGCTTTCTTGGATGTCGTGGCCTGCTTTCCGACTACACTGCCCGTCACTGCTTCTAACATGAATTGGGTTAGGTAAGAGAGGCTTTGCTGTGACAACCGCTATCTGGTTTCGTTCCTTATCATTACCTATAGGACAGGAATACTAATTTAAATTTTCTTGTAGTGTAGTCATACTGGCCTTTGCCGCATACACACTCATGGCTTGGTGTCTATGGCAGAGACATGTGTTCAAGGGCCCCGGTGTGAATTTGCTGGTGCAAGAGCAGTATGCGCTTATCCCGAGGGATAGCAACGATGGTGTCTCCAAAGACGTGAAGGGGGAGTAAAAGACCTTGCCCAGGTAAAAGGGACGGGTAGGAACTAACGGCGTTATAGTGAGCGATGAAGTCAAGACTCATGCTTTATTAAGTTAACCTAACCGCCATCTTTGAACACGTTTCCCTATTTCTCTACCTTCATTTCATAACATAATACAGGCCGTTCATGGTCCTGAAAGATCTTTCCCACCTATGTTGACTGTGTTAGCAACACTCGAGTTAATGACGGTCTTGCTATGGTAGTCACGAAGTTAAATACTATAGTCAGAGCAACCCTAAGGTCACCATACACATAGGCTTGCCATTGCTGCTTGTTTTGCCCTCAATCTGACAATTACTAGTAACCCAATCCACCTCTTGGTAGCTCCCTGGTTTGGAGAAGGCCAAGCCTCTCTACATTCCACAGAGTATTATTGGTTTATTGTTTTGCTGATTCTGAAAGCTTGTCAGAAATGAAGATGGAATTCACCGCCTGAGTTCGACCGCTTTAGCGCTCCCTTGTTACCAGGATTCGCCAGGGGCTAACCTGAAAAGGTTTAGCTGGATGTCCAAATGCATCTTTGACATCCTTTTTCAACCCGACCCTATGTAATGAGTATACTTAGAATAGTACTCGACCACTTCGCCGTTTCGTCATCTCAATGATTCCCATACACGTCAAGGAATACAAATAAAAACTGTGAGAGTGGCCAGATAATTACTAATCAAAATTAGTTTACATAGAGACGAGTGCTTTCTTAGCACAGATATATATTGGTAGTGTACACCACTTGAGTAATCCTCCAAAAAAATAGTACAGAAACAAGGCCTCCTAGAACCGAGACCCGAGAGAGTCAAGCAAGGGGTGAGCAATTTATACCGAGCCTAATACCGAAGAATAGCACACCATGCCCACATACCCCGGAGTATGCAATCGGTGGCAATCAAGGCCAAATAAAGTGAGGATTAGTGAGAGCAATCACATATTGGCTGACTCGACGCTGCCACTTCGCCTGTCAATAATAACTTCTCTCATAAATGGGCTTCGAGCCCTGATGACCGCCCCCCATTGGAGCATCACGAGCGGGGTTGCAGCCAGCGCCAACGATACGAATGCAAGAACTGAACTAGCCCATTGAAACCCAAGGTCTCTGTACATGGCTGTAGTGGCGAGTGGAAGAAAAGCGATGGCAACATTCTCCACAAGGCCGACCGCCCCAAGAGCGCTGGCCGCATACTTACTATACGCGTCTATCAGGTAGTTTGCATTGCCTATTATAACAGCGGTGGTTCCGAAGCCCACCATGGCTAGGCCAACTGTCGGTGCCATCCAATGTATGGAGGGGTATGAAGTCCATCCATACACAAACATCCCTCCGGTGACCCCGAAGAAGCCCCCGATGATCGATGGGTATAGCCTGGCTTCGGGGATGGGTACGCCGGGTATCTCGACATTCCGGGAAGCGGAGTCATGATACCAATGATTGGTAGATATGCAGAGTACACAGCCGAGGATTTCGCCTATCACAATAGCACCTTGTACATACCCCGCCTTGACCGCATCCCAGCCGTAAAGCTCTGCATAAACCTGTTCGACGGACTGGGTAAAGAGATAAATCGTTCCGAGGCTGAACGCTGCCCAAAGAGCAGCTACAAACACCACCCATTCTGTAAGAAGCATGTATAATGGTCGCTTCATGCTTTTGATGACGAGTTGGTACAATGGCGTACGGTCTAGCTCTAGTTCTGCTGCTGTATACGCGTTCTTGCCGTCTGAACGGAGGGATTTAGCCTTAGCGTGGAGAATCACTGATCCTCGAGATTCGGGAAGGCCGAGAGCAAAGATTGGGAGCACTGCTGCGGTCCAGATTGTTTCCATGTGACCTGTCCAACGCCAAGGGAGGAACTGTAGTATGGTCGCGCCGACGACTGGGCCTATGCTTGTTGACGAAAGATATACAGTGACGTAGAGACTGATCGGGATACTTCTGGCTCGATTCCCGTGGAAAACATTCGATGCTATGCTAGCAACTGCATCGCTCATGAGTGGAACACATCCGCCACTGAAGAAGCGAACAACCATCAAAGTTGCATAGTTATGGGCAAACCCCACTGGGACCAGGAGACAAGCGAAAACGAAGTAGGTACCGAGAAGTACCGGCCGCACTCCGAAGTCCTCCATGGTAGGGAATAAGATCAGCGGACACAAAGCGGCCCCTAAGCCCCAGGAAGTGGTCAGCCAGTAGGAATTTGGGAATGTCGCATTAGAAATATGGAATTCTTCACTGATATCCTGGTGGGCAACAGATAGGATCGTTCCGTTCATCGAGCAAACAAAACTCGCGAGGAGACCTAGTCCAGTCGCCCACCACTTCTTCCACAGAGGCCAGTTGAAAGGGTCCTGTGGATCATCTGGTCCATTCCAGCTGATTATTGTAACATCTGCACTATATGTCGGCCCTGTATTTCTATAGTCAGTAGGTTAAGCGAAACAAGAAATATATCGTCTATGGGGCTGACGAACCTTCCGGTATAGAGTCCGAATACTTGGCTAATTGAATACCATTCATTCCGAATGACCTTGACAATTTCCTCGGTGTTAAGGAATCTTGATATATTGCTGTACCTATACCCTCGTATAATATCCTTTAGGGTTCAATGACATCCGGTGAAAGAGATCACTGGTAAGTGTCAATTGGATGGGAAGATTAGCAGCTCTGCACCGAGAATACTAGCACTGAGCTAGCAAGAATGGTCAACAAGAGTTATATCGAGGGACTCTCGGCAGATCCTTATATTCATGAGCCTGGAGTGGACTCCGGAATACCCAAACAGGCAATCGTCCCAAATAGGCAAGTGGCCTAAACGGGTAAGGGTGATCTCGGATCGGAATTCACGATTAATCCGGATGAATTGTCATCGTTGCAGAGCATCGATAATCAAGCCTTCCTTGGCCAGTCTCGCTCAATTCGTACGCTTGCTACCTACTGAATAGTATGAGGGAACTTCAGCTCTCTTGGCAACCGGTGTTTTCCCTGTCTAAAAAACCAGTCAGACGGTCGAGGACCCGCCGGCCTAATGCCAACCCTCACCAACTCGAATTTATCGTAGAGCATCCGGCCCAGGACCGGCCCTCTATACAGTCGGTAAAAGATAATCTATGTTCTCTTGATCAAAGATCCAATAATTCTTCTACAAGGTCTAGTATCAGCAGTCCTGACTTGAAGTCAAGCCAAGGAGCCACTACGGAGCGCCCCTCGTATGCACGCGACAGCATAAATCAATGTATACCCGGCCATTTGTCCACGTCTCTGGCCGAATGCGAAGCTGAAAAGGCTGAGTGCAGTCTACCTAGCCTCAATGCTCAATGTGAAGAATTGTTCATTCCCACCTCAATACCATCCAGTGTCTTATACAGTACCCTTGGTCAGCGGTACTACAATATCCTTGAACGATGTATGTCCACTCTAAGTCTACTCATGCATGGCTTGCTAATTCAGGCCTGAAAGATAATATGGAATTTTGCCGAATCCCACTAACATCTGACTTCAAAATGAACCCCTTCTAGTACCGAGAAAGCTCGGTTCCCAAACCCATGTTCCTCGTCCATGCGGTGATGGCTTTAGCTGGTCACCATCTCGAAAGCACATCCACCGACACCCATCGTCATGCCGCACTTCAGTCACTCCGCCAGAACCTTGACAAGTACAACAGTACAAAACATAGAGAATCTATCCTTGATACCATTATCATCCTGTTTTCACTAGATGTTAGTCGCGACTTCACATACGTTGAGTAAGTTCCTCATTGACTCGGGATTCTAGGAAACCCAGTCTGCCCTTGGAACTTGGCGAACCCATCTCCTGGGAGCATACGGCCTTTTCGAAGCTTGCGGCGGCATCGAGAAGTGGGCCACCTCCGCTAGGACACAAGTGCAAATAGGAATACTGTTATGGTACTTGGAACCCGCCTTCTTCCTTAACGAACTGTAGCTGACTGGCCAGGTGGGATGCGATCACAAGTCTGGTCAACAGGGAAGATTGTGTGCTCCCTTATGCTTATTTTGAAGCCCTTATGTCAGGGTACAACGGCCAAGAGTGGGACTTTTTCCGTCTATGCGGATGTCCACTCAGTCTTGTGAAGGTAGTGATGCAACTAGCACGATTAGCTGCAGAACAGCGAAGATCGTCCTTAAACCAGTACACTACGTTTGATACGACGCTCCTATCCGCACTTGAAAAATCACTTGAGTCGTGGCATCATATTTCGCCAGTTACCGCCTTTCACAACGAAGAGAGCATGCAGCAAGACGTAGACAATATGCACTGCGCTGAAGCTTGGAGAAACGGGCTCCTCCTCTATCTATATAGGGTTTTCCGGTGGATGCCCGGGTGTAGTGTCCCGTTTCATATCTTGTACCGCGCAAGAACTATAATGGACCATGTCTTTGCCTGCCGCGACAAATGCATGATCTCCAGACAGGCCTTGCTGCCGCTCTTCTTTGCAGGATGTGAATTGCAAGCCCCCTCATCGCACAGGAAGATATTAAATCTCTGTGCGTCTTGGAATGATAGGACAAGATACCACATGTTCAGCACCACCATGCCACTACTAGAAGCGGTATGGGCTGAGCAAAAGACAAACGGCTTCGAGAATGTTTGGTGGGGGCAGATCATTGACAGGCAGCACTCATCCGATAGCCATTCTCCTCTGCAGGTGCGGATTTGCTTTGGCTAGCCAGCGCATTTTCTTTTGTCATGTCCTTTCGTAACGGTCATTTTTCTGATGACTATCTAATTTGGAGTTACTATGTTTTCTTGATATATTTATCCATGCCAAACTGCCCACAGACTGGTATTATGAAAATCTATAAAGCGCTCTAACACAGAGAACCGCATTGGCGCACTATACGTATGGAAAAGTCCCAACTTAGGGACCAGGTCCGACATCTCGCAACCCGCTGCATCAATATAGATGATACCGGGGGGTCTTTCGTGGGGAGGCCGCATTGCTAATAGACAAATTGGACTGCCCACTTCACTCAGCCGTGGAGCATATGATAGAATGTGGGTGAGCTACTGATCTAGTCACTATATGGCCGTGAATGAAAATAGATAAACAATATACTACCCCTGACCAGAGCCCCAAATTCATCTGATTCGAGATCAGTACGTTACAATGGACCAGGCCTTTCCCTGGTCCATGATGCTTCAAGAACCGTAGATTTGTGACGTGAGGCCGAATATTGGAAGCCATACGATATACATATCTTCAATCAATACCTAGTTTCGACCGTACAAAGCGTGGAAAATACAACCATAGATGAGTATTTCCATGATTTACGAGATTACGTACCTGCATCTAGGGCCCCGCCAAATAGCTTTACCGAAGAATAGCTTATTCTTCGTGGGCCTGACATCTACATGGTGATTTCTCCGGAAAATCAGGCTTCCAGTGGCAACTATTAGTTTCTACTTACATAGTCATAGTAATGTCACTCTGACACCATGACCTCTAGGTCAGGCAACAGGTTCCAGAGTCCTCTTGTTCTAAGAACCACAGGACCTCTCTCTCTACCGTCTCTTCCAACTCGTCTTCCCCTGAGTATCATACTACTTTATCCATAGTTACTCACATTCCTCTCCACGTATATCACGATTTGGACCCTTTGGCTCTCCTTCCCTTTCAGATTGTCTCCTTCAATATCTCGCCTTCTTAACTGCCTCGACGGCTCCTGACACGCTTCTTTCTCAAGACCCTCACAATCCTCCAGGTCTTCGGGCTGACAATGCCGTCCCTCAGCTCTGACTTTGAATTAATTATCCGCCAGCAGCCCACACGGGCGTGCGTAGCCGGTGTGAAGGAGAAAGGACGCAAACCAGTCGACCCCCAACCGATAGTACAGCTGCGAGTAAGAGAGGCGGGAACTTACCTCGCGCAGCACTATCTGCAAAGTCCCTACTATTTTATGTGTTGCAGCTTGTTCGACCCTTTAAATGACATTCCGGCTCCCGTACCGCCATCAACGGCTTTGACTGGCACTCTGGTCTCGTCACTCCACCGGCTAAAGGACGAGGACGACAGCGTTGGGGGCTTCTTTGTATTTGGGGACCTGTTTGTGAAAGTCGAGGGAGATTTTAGGCTGAAGTTGACACTTTGTGAAATGAGAAACGGTATAGTCACTTACCTGACATCCATCATCTCGGACCGCTTCACGGTGTCTCCCCCGAAGAGCTTCCCTGGAATGACAGAGTCGACTTCCCTGTCCACACTTTTCGCAGACCAGGGTGTAAAGTTAAAACTCCGAAAGAAGCCGCGGACATGTATAAAGCGACATCTCCAGGGACTGGAAGATTATTCAGACCTGGCTCTTTTCCGTTCCCCAGATTATTCTTCATTCCAGATACCTGGGAATATCTCAAGGGGCTACCCAGTCGCAGCGAGTCAGAACTCTAGCTATTATACAGGGCCGGCTAAGCGTCAATGCATGTCACTGGCCTCCTATAACCGACGCCCGTATGACGATGGGAGGATGTACCAAATAGAAGCTCATCCAAAGACCATGACTCTGCATGCAAACCAACCACGGGCCTATCCAACTCCTCCGGGTGTTGCAGATTACGCGATGTCGGATGGAATTCCGCCCTTGGCTCAAGTTCCTAGAACTTTGTAAATGTGGTTGAAATCTAAACTGACAATTATTTCATGGATGTATTGACGTGTTTGTTCTTTGTCTTTTGGTTCGCTTGGTTTCTTTTTTTTTTCTTGGTGTGGTGGGGACACTGTTTATTCAAGACGCTGCTCTAGCTAACTTTTACGCATCAGATAATTCCAGCCGTTTGTTTCCATCTCCTTAGTCTACCGACATATTCGTTGGGTCTTTAATATATACGATAATACTCGTGTAGATACATACGCACACTAATACAGCTAGTAGTCGAACTGGACCACATCGATATAGCGACCTAGCAAAACAAGGGGGTCTATCTCGCTTCTGATGTCTTGTTTAGGGGCTCCATCCTTTGTTTTTCTATTATATTTCCTATAATGAGCAATCCGACGTATCCTACGCTCCATATCCTCCCACTTGCTAGACAGCTTGATTCGTGTGTCAGGTTACACGTGTTCACAACGTTGATCCAACACGACGCAAAGATAATACTTAGTGCAGTGGTTAAAGGCTACAACTAGAGTGGCTATATTGATCCACCGGATTCGGCTACTAACAAGCTACTAGTAGCAGGTCGGCAAGAGATTACGTGCATTACCTCTCCTTTAGAAGTCTTCTACGTTGATATCCCTGACTTGGAGCCTGTCACGCCGCCAATCGCGACAGGCACACCTCTGGCACATATCCGCATGCCTATTTTGACCAGAATTAGACCCCCGGCCCGTGCAATTAGAGATTAATATGTCTATAAAACAATAAACTACCAGTTGGAGAGTGCTCAAGCATGGGTGTATCTTATATATCAGGATTTAACAACTCTTAACATCAGTAGTAAAGGAAGATACGCTGGGACAGGTGGTATGATTTTATTCTTTCGCACATTTTCGGGTTGTTGGTGGCTAAAACGCGGAGACCTTTACGACAGTAGGCGGCGGCAGTTCATGTTGTAAGGCCACCTGAGGATTGTGCCTTCTTTCAGATAAAGCTCTGCCTGCTATTAGGGCTTGTATAGCTTCTGCGTAGGATGAGTCATTATGGCACAAATGTGAACCCCGGGTGTCAACAAGTTCCAGTTAAATTAATATTGCGTTTAAGTCTACAGTGAGGGGTCGGAAGTCCTTAATAAGTCTCATGAAAGGGCGGGAGCCCTTCTGTCAGAATGAAAAATAATCAAAAGAATTAGCATAGTATAGAGCTAAAGTCTGTATATCTTCCCTGATCGAGGGATATGTCTCACTGGCTGAATCAACCCATCCTTGTCGTCTCTGACCCCCGAAAACTCTGAGCCATAGTAGGAAACACATCAGCTTCGATGTCAAGTACTTTGTGGTAAAGGGGTGAGTATAATGCGACCTAGGAAGGCTTAGTAACATTAAACTAGCATCTTTTTAAAGAAATCTACTACGCAGCTATTTTGAACCCCTTTTCCATAATATTATCTGACGCCACCATAAAGCGCCAGTCCCTTAATTGCTCTGGCCTCCCAGCATAACAGAAGAACCCCAGAACTTGCCCATTCTCATTCCAGACAGCAGACCCACAGACACCATCCTCCGGCCTATCAATAAATCCCTGACCCATATAAACCCACCGCGCCTTGATCCATTGTATGGATCCTTGATAGGGATCGTCGGATGGAATGCGCAGCCTGGAGTGGGGCCCGCATGTGCCTTCAGAGTAACCAGTGAATGGATTGTTCATGTACACTTCGGAGCCGATCTGCGTTTCATCAGCGGGTATGAAATCGACCAGCGTCGTTGGGGGCACCCCCAGCGATGTGGCCTCGAAGGTTTCGTTCACAAACTGCACATTCTCATGGAGCTTCACAATCGCAATATCAGTGTAAGTGAGTTCCATAGTGAGGCGTCCAATTTCTCTGCCTCCGGCGGATGGGTGGAAGACTCTATCGCCATGTGGAAAGCCGTGTGATGCGGCAGTGATGTATCTTTCACCCCTGAAGTCTTCGACAAGGACCCCAGAGGTTGTGCGTAATTCGAGTCCACTGATAGGATGCCTCTCCGAACCGAGCATAACCCCAGGACGCAATACGTCATATTTGCTGTTGTCCACAATATCACCGTTTGGGTCACGGATTCTCTGGGCTAGAAATTCGTCCGGATGGGGACGGCCCATCTCCTCTTCAAAGAGATAATAACACCGACAATGCCCTATGGCACTTGGAACTTCCGCCATATCGATTTCCTCGCTCTGCAGGACAATGACAAAAAAAGTGTCCCAGTACTGAATCTCTGTAATAGGAATTTTGGAGCTTAAGAAGTAATCTATTACTAGCTCGAAAGCCTCATCGATTCTCGCCGGCGGAAGCTTGGTGACGTTTCTTTCAGCAGAGACGCGGAGGACTGTTTTGCTTGCGCGTTTGATTGGAGGGATGGGTCCGTCGTCATTTAGATCGGTGGTGAAGTATGGCTGGACGCCAGCGATGGTAATCGGCCACGGCTTGGGAGGGAGAGAACCAAGGTGGAACACGAGGAAATATCCATCAGACGACACGGATATTGTATCAGGAAATAGATTAAACAGTTGCTCCCAAGCCTTGCCACGGAGAGCGTACCTGTTGTGCCGAAGATTAAAGGGCAAGACGACATGTCGAGATGGTAAAAGATCGGCTACTCGCCTCTGGGGCTCGGGGTGGGCGTGTGTAAGCTGAAGCGGAATCCTGTCCTCTAAGAAACAATATGCCATTTGTACATGATTGAGGATATATATAAGACGGAAGCTTACCAATTATCGCGTTACCTGACGGGAAAAGTTGCATCGACGCGGCAAAGATGGGAGACGCTCCCAAGTGGACGACTGGCACTGATGGCAAGGCATCCAAAGGGGAGAGAATGATACTCTTTGCAGGGGAAGACTGTTCGGGCGATGGGGTTGCTTTTCTCTTGGGTAATAATCTGGGTGATTTGAGTGCAATCGGGGTCACAACGATAGCCTCACTGATCTGCGACATTTTGCCAATGAGCAGGCCTGTGGTCAGAAAGACCATGAGAAAATTGGAAGATATGGGGAAGAAGAAAATGCCCTTGTGTCATCACGTGGTGGGCAGGCGGCGTTGTGTGTTTTTGTATAGTGGATAATCCACTGGGCTGATCCACCGGATACAGAGTTGGGGGTGATGAATTATGCAGGCGAGCTGTAGTGGATAGCCCACTGGGCTGATCCAGAGAAGACAGCGTTGTAGACGGGGAAGTATCGTAAGGGATTATAAGAAATGTAGTGGATAGGTCATCCTGATCCAGAGCGGACGAAACCAGTAGAGGATGAGGAACAGTGAGGAGGGGGGCGGGGGAAAAGGAGTTGAACCTCCTGACATTCCTGCCTGCTCAGGCAGCTGGTTTAGGCTACCAAGCCTTTCTAGTCTCCCGTGACTTCCCTAGGTAGTGAATATCAACATCCAGACTAGAGGTGAAAGTATGTTGTTAGCTGACAAATTCAAATCCGGCAGGTATGTGTATACCAGCTTGAATGCCCTATGCCCGACTGGCAGGCCCCTTTTGTTCCTAGACCGATTGTCCCTGCACTTTAACAGTTGTCAGACAAGCAAGTTGGCAGTAGTTCTGGCAACCTACCTGGTGCAAAAATGTCTAGTTCGTATAAACAGTGACCATTCATCGTGTGTAATCATTCATCACCGGTAAGTATACCTCACTTTCTATGTAACTATGACTTCTCTAGATCAGCCCAGCGGACTATCCACTATACCTTTCGTTATCTCATCTTCCACGCAAAGATGGGCTCTTCATACATGACACGATCTGTCCACTCCCTCAGCCACGAGGCGTCTTTTAGAGATGCTGTAAGCAGCATCAATCAATCTGTAAAGAATGCTCTCCCCTCAACAAAGGGGTATGATTGTGTCCGTATCCTGACCTTGAGATGGGCAAATGACGACCTCGACCTTGCGGACATCGAACGTGAAATACTCGAACTTTTCTCAGTCGAATTTCATTATGCCACGGAGTCTTTCCTTATCCCCGCATCCTCAAGCCGTGAAGCCCGACATGAGGTTGGCCGAAAGCTCCGGAAAATGACCGCTGAGTATGACACCGCAACAAGCCTTTTCATTATCGTCCATCAAGGCCACTCATTTTTACATACCCGTTCTTCTACTTAAAGGTTTGGGTAAGCTTCTTCGTTCCAGATGTAGTGGGTAAGCATACTTCCAAAACATTGTATACTAAGATAGACATCATTGTACTATTAAGACACGTCAACTCTTCTAGGACTCCACAAGAGTCTTAAAGGTATATGAACAAATCTTGGATACGTATTCCCTTGTTCCTGGCGGTAGCTGGTGGAGTATGAGATGTCAACCAGTTTTACTAACATCGTGTTCTATATGGTACAGGATAATACCTCAGCTAACGCGAGGCTAAACCACTATGATATCAAGATATATACAAAAGTATCCTAATTCTTCAAACGTACTGAAATCCCGAATCAACGCGATGGGCCGTATACCTATGACAGTGATTCCGCACTTATCACGAGAGTTGAACCTTGCAATGAGACTATGAGGATTAAGTAGTTCGCAGGCTATATGATATAATAAGCAGAGCGATTGATTGGAACAGGAGGGTGTGGTGGGAAAGACCCCAAGCAGCCAAACGATGGAGGATAGAAAGTAGTAGACACATTGGGTGACCTGCACCTCATTGGCTCGGTGATGGTAAGAACATGGACAGCTTCTACTATTTTGGGAAACGTTGGGTGGGGGGACGTTCGACTTGTCACAAGATGGACCGAGAGTCTCATAGTAATGCTGTGCTCTGGAGCTGTAGCTCTCCTGCGTTTGCGTTCATCATGTTGGTCTCCTTTCGCCACCAGGGCTGATACACTCTATTCGTGACGCTACTGGCAGATGGTGTGCAGAAAGCTTTAGTTTAAAACAATTCGAGTGTGCCTTAGGCCTCCTTGCTATCGTAACCTGTAGCTGCTTTACCAGCAGACGAAAAGATTGTAAACGGGTGAGCACCTAACACTTGAGGGAGCCCTTTGCCATCGATCTCGCCTTCTAGCAATCAATCTCATGGTCAGCATTGAGTTTGGCTTCCAATATCCACAATTCTTTGATAGCTTTGCATCCCTTAGGAAGTTCAACATCTTGTCTGAAGAGGACATGGCCATGTTTGTTAGGCAGCTATAGATTGAAGCCCCATCGAAAATAGCAATATCCAAGCTGCCATCAAACCATGACACGATCCTTGGATTGGTAAAATCGTTATATTAATCTTAACATCCGGATCTATCTTGTGTTATCAAGGTGCTGCCTACCTCTTCTATGCAGCCCTGTAAAGTTCGGCTGAACAACAGCCGGATGTTCGCCCCCCTTCATTCTATTCCTAGCCTCTACAATAATCCAAGCCCCATCCATCCATCAGCCGGTGATCATCATGGAAGGTCAAGGGGTCACCATGACCTACACAGGGACGGGAATTAGAGGCGACCTTATCATGACGGAGCAGTCATTTCCCTGGATCTTTGCAGCGGGCAAGCTCCGAAAGCTGAACTCGCAGCTTCGCATGTCACTCTTATTCTAAATAGATTTCCCGAGGACAAGGCAGGACAATGGGTAGCTGGGCTTAAGGGTATGATCTTGAATGAGGCAGTGACACATCCCGAGACCGAGAAAAGATATATACTCATGTGGGAGATTCGCATTGACTAGGACCCTGAGCGGGGAAACCATATCAATTGCGATATTTACCGGCCGATGGTTACGGAGAAGCTTCATATCCAGAGTACTCAACGGCCAAGCATCTCAGGTTCCTATCGAGACAGGCAGGAACTGGATACCTATGTTGGTGGATGGAACCCAAAGTACTATATTCTGTCATCGGATACCTGGGAGATTAGGGAGCAAAAAGAGGCAATTCAGCAGCAGTATGGGGAGAGGCTGAAGATGATTTGGTTGATCTCCCATCCAAAAGAGACGGAGGTTTTGGGTATTTACATGATGTTTTCTCTTTATTTCGAAACTCGCTTTGCCTCCTTGTTACATTGTAGTGTGGTGAATAATACATGGCCAACTTCCATAGCTTAGTGAAACCAGCAATGTTCTCTTCATTTTTCCTCTCTATACCATCTCTAACGATATGACATATATGAAGGCCTAGTCTGAGGGCCGAAATATAAATATGCTATTGACTTAATGAGTTAATTTGGGTTGCTAGAAACTCCATTAAAAATCAGTCTATATTGACTATAGGATAACTTAAATTAGGCCGCCAGGATATTCATAGAGTAAGGCTTCCAAATTGCGAAATCCAAGAGTCAGTTTCACCCGCAGGAGAGATCTGGTGGTGAAATTCCACAGTCTATTACTAGACCTACTCTTCCAGATCCACATCTGCATCGTCATGAAATATAACAGTCCCCCAATCTGGTCGATTAAATCTCTTCCCCTTGGGAAGAGCCAGAGCATCCATTCTCCCCATCTCATCCGGTGTCAACTCAACATTCCCCACAAGATTCGCCTGAATCCGCTTCGGATTCGTACTCTTGGGAATAACACTCCACCCCTTCTGAATCCCCCAACTCAACATCACATTACCCGTATCACACCCCCTCTTAGCCGCAATATCTACGATATCCGGATGAGAATGCAACGTACTCCCAGACCCACCCAATGGCCCAAACGCCGTTTGATGAATCCCCTTCTCTCGGCAATACGCATTCAGCTTATCCTGCGGTAGTAAAGGCTGGATTTCAGTCTGGTTAACGGCGGGCACCACTTTCGCCGTCTTCAATAGCTTATCCAAGTTCACCGTTGAGAAGTTCGCCACGCCGATTGCCCGCACTTTGCCGGTCTCCAACAGCTTCTCCATCTCCCGCCAGGTGTCGCTGAAATCCCAGCCTGCTGCATGGACTTTCCGATTTTCTTTGCCGTATTCGGCTGAATTTGAGGATGGGTCCAGTGTTACTGGCCAGTGCATGAGATATAAATCCACATAGTTGAGGCCGAGATCTTGAAGGGATTTATCTAGAGCTGATTCGACCCGGCGGTGGTCTGAAGACCATCTGTGCTCGTATGTTAGTTATTGTAGACATGTTTATCCAAAATCATGTAAGAGAATACGCACAGTTTAGTCGTGACAAAATATTCACTTCGAGGAACCTTTGTGGATTTAAACACTTCTCCAATTTCCCGCTCGTTGCCATCTGTATTGCAGGTAGAATTAGATACTGGAAATGTCCATATTCCTGGCTACGGGAACACTTACATAATGGAGCGCAGTCCTGATATTTGTATATTAGTTATGTCTGTACTGTAAGGATAAGAAAAGGAAAAAACACGACCAAACTTACAAAATGCCGATACCCAACCTCAAATGCTGTCTTGACTGCCGCAGCAGCTTCCCCGGGTGCCGCCTTCCATGTCCCGAATCCCACGGCCGGAATCTTCGCGCCTGTGTTGAGAGTGAAAGTCGCCATAGTGTGATGTGTACTGAGTTGATTTAATCACTGCAGAGCTTCGAATTACCATTAATGGGTGGTTTAATATAAAGTTTGTCTATATTGTACGTATATCGCGTTGCGCCGGGTGTAGCTGATGGTGCGGGGATGCATCGGAGAGAAGGCCGGCGGTTGCAAAGCTCAAGCTCCGTCACTGGCTTATTCTATCTGGTAGGGTACTGTGTCAAATTATTGGCATCTTGAGGAGATAGGCCGATAGATATCCATTTATCAATATCTAGCTTATTATTGGGTACCATTCTGGTGTCTTTTCGCAACAATTACTCTGTTCACATCACATGAGAAATACATTTTCTTTGCAGCTGACCCTTTGTCATGTTATAGGCCAAAGATCAAATTAGGGGATGGAATACAGAGATAACCAATTCAATTTCCTAGGTATGGTCTGTGTCAACATCAAGTTGTTTTACACTTAATGGTGTAAAGTATATCCAAGAAACGCAAAAGTTGGTGCAGTAGTCGAATGGCTTATCATGGCCGGAAGGGGTTCCAGTAACATACAGCCCTACATTTATGTACTGTGTTGCTTAGAAACATACAATTGCAATTGTCCTCAGTGATTTTACATGAGTAAAAGATATTTGTGAAATTTATATTGATACCGCATAATTGAATGACAATTCAAGGCCCAATAGGAGCTGTAGACATACACTTTAGACTGACTCAATGTGAACCGGACGATCCTTGTCCCCGTCTCTGTCATTCTCATTCTCATCCCCACCTTTCATCAATTGCGGAATACCTTGTCGTACTTTCTCATCCTCTGTGGGGTATGCATGTCGCCACATGCTCCACAGCGGCCTCTGGAACAGGTCATCGATACTCTCAATAGATCGTCCTTTGAGTTCGGGCAGGCAGAAGAAGATAAAGACAACCCCGGCATAGGTTAGTAACGCATAGAGTAGAAAGACACCCCATCCCATCTCAGTAATCATATTCGGTGTAGCCCGTGTGATACCGTAATCGACAATCCAGTTGACGAAAAAGCAAATTGACATACAGACCGACCTCTGTAATAGTATATAGTTAGTTGTCAATTGAACCTAGGGGATAACAGAAAGAAATAGTAGGGATAGCTTACGATTCTAGTTGGGAAGATTTCCGCCGCAACGACATAGCATGCCACACTGTGTCCAAAGGACCAACCGAAGGCGTAGATGTAAATCCAGACAATACCGACGATACCACCAGCAGGAGTTCCTCCAACAGTATCGGTGTTAGTTCCGGCAAACCGGAGATACAATGCGAGGTATAACATTGCGGTTGCTTGTAGACAGGCACCAACGAGCAGAGGAAGGCGGCGACCGACACGATCGACTAGGTAGGTGACATAGAAGATGGTCACCACAAACTTCACCACGCCATAGACTCCAGTTGTGAGAAGGCTGTTGGAGCTCCCTTTGACACCGATTAACTCGAATATCTCAGGCGCGTAGTACTAAGAGATGAATACAGTTAGCCTGGGTCACTGCAATTGCACAAGAGGAGTACTCACATTCAAGGAATCTGTTCCGGTGAACTTATGAAACAGGAACAACATAACGGCGAGGAAAAACCGTTGAAAGTTGCTTTTGATGAGGAAGATGTCCTGCAGCACCACCCAATAGCTGTGGCCCTGATGACACTCCTGCTCGTATCGTACCTGCGCCTCAATCTCCTGGTATTCCGTTTGGACATAGGGATGCTCGATAGGAAGCTTCCGTAGTCGGCAGAGGTTCTTGATTCCTTCCTCTGAGCGACCATGATTAATCAAGTAGCGAGGGGTTTCAGGCACAAAGGGTATCATCAGGCACATCAGAGCCCCGGGGATGAGTTGAATTCCCATTGACGTTCTCCATTGCGTGTTATCATGTTCAACGCCGGGGAATGACCACAGCGACACACCATAGTTAATCCAAAAGGCGAGCATTATACCGGCTAGAATCATCAAGTTATATGTTGCAGTCATTGATCCTCGAACGGATTTAGGTGAATTCTCGGCCAGAAACTGAGGAGTGAGCATTGAACTGGCGCCCACCCCCATCCCGCCAATGAAGCGACCGGCAAGAAGCACATCATAATCAGCCACCATCTGCATCGCAGCACCAACCACAAATATAAATCCCCACAGAAAGACCGACCATTTCCGTCCAAGGAAGTCTGACGTTGGGGCAGCGCAGAGAGCTCCGGCGGAGCCACCAGCCGCAAGCATTGCGGCAATCGTTCCCTGAAACCTCATTAATGCCTGGTTCAATCAGCGCGGAAAGCGGAACAAAGCGCACCTTTCGATTATCAACTTCTGCCGTTGGTAGGTTGTTTAGACCGAAGGCATTTTCAAATGAAGGCAAAGTCAGAATGCCTCCAATGTTGCCGGTGTCGAAGCCATAAAACCATCCACCCCAGGCAACCGATATAAGGAGATAAAGAAGCCTCAGATTAAAGATCTCCTTCGGGTCAGTTCTTGCCTCCTTACTCGCCCAGATACTAGTACCCCCTGCCATGGAAGATGACGGTTATGATAATAAGTTGGTAATGCGGGCCTTATGAATATCCAGGGGATAATGCAGCGGTACGAGGGGAACTCGAAACACTGGTAGACGTTCTGATATAAACAATGATTCTCGAAGCCCACTACTTCTCTCGACAATGAGAAAGGCCCAGCGGAAGCGGGGCTCATAGTAGATAATATGCTGGCATTTTATGGATCAACCAACTCGATATGATCATCGCACTTAACAAACAAACCCATTGAGCTTCCAGACACCAACCCCACATATCCGCTGAATGAAGATCTGGGGAAATGTGGAGACTCGTGTAGAGGACGGTCGGACTATCCACCGACTTTTTATCGCCTATCGGACGAGGGCCGAAAACATTTAAGCTTTTGAATCATAACCCCTCGGCAGAAGGCCACGCAATCCTGTCATTATATACCGAAGCTTTCTGGTTGGATACAGTTAAGAGCAAGATTAAGGTTAGGAAACTGTTGAACCCTTTGTGCAACATTGATATCAAGGAAAACTATTCCATTTCTGTGCATTTGAACATGGGGTCAACTCCAGCACTTCCCAAAGACACTTTGGTGCGCGAGACGACCAGACCATACTTTTACCGGGAGGCCTATCTTCCTGGAGCCACAGCCCAAAGCCATGCCTCAAACTTGCTGTTACTCCCTAATGGCGATCTCCTCTGCGCCTGGTTCGGTGGCAGTATGGAAGGCAAACCAGACATCAGTATCCATTTATCACGTCTGAGATCAGGCGAGCAGTCATGGTCAGAAGCTATACGAATGACCCACGACGATACTCGCAGCGAACAGAACCCGGTGTTATTTCGTACACCAGCTGGAGCTCTATGGCTTCTATACACGTCACAGCACGCTGGAAACCAAGACTCGGCAATCGTGAAGCATCGCGTTTCCAACGATGATGGAATCACTTGGGGAAAAGAGAAAATTCTATTTCTAGACTCCGGCATCTTCATCCGCCAACCAGTTATCGTTCTAGATGATGGTGCATGGGTGATTCCCGTTTTCAAGTGCCGAGTAGAGCCAGGAGAGCGTTGGCTAGGAAATAACGATATCTCTTGTATCCGTGTCTCAAGGGATGAGGGGAAAACCTGGACAGAGTCCGTTATCCCAGAAAGCACAGGCTGCGTTCACATGGAAATCCAGCGGTTGAAAGACGGGTCCTATCTTGGCCTCTTTCGAAGTCGATGGGCGGACCATATCTATCTGGCCACCTCGCCCGATGGTCTTTCGTGGAGCCCAGCACAACCTACCGTTCTTCCCAACCCCAATGCGGGCATCTGCTTTGACGTGCTACCTTCTGGAAGAGTGGTACTAGTGTACAACCATTCTTCTAAGCTGGACGCCACTGGACGTCGACAAGGCCTATACGACGACATTGGAGATGGCGTTGACAATCGCCGAGATCAGGGATCTACACAGGATGGCAGGGAATCATTTTGGGGAGCACCACGAGCACCCCTATGCGTTGCCTGGAGCGATGATTCAGGGAAGACGTGGGAACGACGGGTACTAGAAGATGGTGATGGGTATTGTATGACGAACAACAGTGAGAAAAAGCTGAATCGCGAATTGTCATACCCGAGTATGGTGCTTGGTGAAGGAAAGATTCATATCGCGTACACATTCTGGAGACAAAGGATCAAGTATGTACAGCTTAAAGATGATTTCTTCTCTATTTAGACTATTATTGCTTTCGCAGAATGTATACTTCCGTTATATATACCGGCCTCATTGGTTACAATAACATACATATGACTATAAGAGTCATCATAGTAGCTGTATATTGTGCAGATACTATCTCATTATTCCTTTTCCTAAAATTAGCGATATAGCGGTAGATCAGCTGCTGGACATGCTGCTATAGTCCTTACGATACAGATATATGCTGTTAGGTCAAAAGGCTGGAAAGAATTCCAATTGATTTTGTTTTGCTTATTCTGTTTTGCTACATATGGTTTCTTATTGAGCCCTACCGGGGCCAGATACATCCGGTAGAGAATTCTCAATCTCGACTAAATGTTGCATTACATTCATAACCCAGTGTTGCATACCCTGCGGTGACGGCTTATAAGGCTTTCGGGGCCAAAATGCCTCAGCTTCCGTCACGCCTGCCAGGGGCCCCGCAAAATGCGCTGCCGCAAACTTAGTTGGGGCGATACCCTCTTTACAGGCCTTTTCAGCTTGTGCAACTAAGCCCTGCAGCCTCATGGCATCCTGTACCTTTCCCTCTTTCCACAGAGCATATAGCCTAGCGACTGACTTGGGAAAGACATTGCCTATTCCTGTGACACAACCAGATCCACCACCACTGAGGCAGGGAATAAGCCAGTCCGATGAGCCCGCATAGACACTAAACTGTTCATGCGAGTACTCTTGAGTAAGCCGGGTGACTTTACCCGCATTTCCACAGGTCAGCTTGACACCGACGATGTTGGGATGCTGGGCCAGCGTCGACATGACATCCGAACTCATGTCCACTCCATTGCAAACAGCGGGGAACTGTATTTCGGTAAGCTTCTGAGACAGCTGTGAATATTATGAAGCGGCATAGCTTACACTGTATATGACGATGGGAAGAATGTTCTCGTTCGCAACGTCCTTATAAAAGTCGATGATAACGTCCTTCGTTACAGCTTTAGCCCAATAGCTGGGGGGCAACAAGAGCCCAAAATCTGCTCCTGCCTCGCGAGCTTCCTGGGTCAAACGTATTGATTCATTGGTGGACTGCCCACTGATACCAGCTACCAGTGGGAAGTTCTCAAATCCCAGGTCTACAGCGGCACGTCGAGCGGTCTTGATTAATTCTTGTCGTTCTGATGGGGACAGTAAAACTGCCTCCGCTGTTGTTCCACCCAAAACCAGGCCGTCGACACCTCCACGGATCAGGTATGAAAAGTATTTGTATGAGGCTTCATAGTCGATCTCTTGTCGAGGCGTTGATTTGTAAAGGGATATTACTGGACAAAAGATTCCAGGGGGTAGGGGTCTGGTCTTTGCCGCAATCGAGGAAGTCATTATTGTGTCGAGAGTGGGTCTTTCATTAACAGATAAATTAGACTTTCTTGTACGAAGGCTAAGGCGTTTGCTAGGTTGTTTTATATCCTTTCTTCGTAATAAATAACTAGTCATCGGCCATACCCCGACCTGCCCGGCTAGAGATCTGCCGACAATGCGGGGTTACAAGCCCGAAGATCCGATTTGTTTCTGGCTTCTCAGCAAGTACGACAGCTTTGCATCCTCAGACTTCAAAACATCAACGACATAATAATACAATCGAAAACAATCATGGTCAAGCGTAAACGAACATGGAGTGCAACACAAGCGGCCAATCATGAACAACCGGGAGCGGGCAGATTGAGTCCCAATGTAGAACAACATCAAAGTCCATTCAGGATTCCCCAGTCGAACAATGTATCGGAGAGAAATCCGCAACATCAACCCGGAGAGTCGACTGCAGTACCGCCACTGGTGGAGGTCTTGCCTTCTATTACGCGCAAAATCACCGCATGTGCCGCCTGTAGGAAGAACAAGGTTGGCCGTTCCTCCACTTGCTAAATGCCGAAGTTAATGCTCCGTTAGATCCGATGTGACATGCCGGAGGATGGCCCTCCTTGTGTTCGGTGTCGACGCCGATCGCTTTCCTGCGTGTTGAATCGTAGTCTTCAGTCGCTGGTTGAAGACGTGAAGTGAGTTCCCCGCAACTGTGATCCAGAGCGCCATTTTAACCCTGACCATTCAATCAGAAATGTGGAGCTGGTACAATCTGACCTGCGAAATCTGCATGACACAGTTGACATCATTTGCCAACACTTGGATCTCGGCCGGCCAAAGCCACTGGTAAACGACCATGGAAAAGCGAGGGAGAACCTTCCAGTGAGCGGAGAGCCCGACCGTGAAGAAAGCGAGGGATGCGAAGTGTCACCACCCGATTCACCTTCTGCTGTCCATGCTCCCATTGACACATTTCTTGATATCGCTAAGTTCGGGAGTCCCAAATCCGTCGAGTCGCCACCTGGTCGTCGCGCTAGTCGTTCGACTCATGGAGATGATCTCATTACCAAGGGCATTGTGTCAGTCACAGTAGCCGAGCAGCTGTTACATCGGTACTTTTCGCGTCTTGACCATTACCTATACGGAATATGCAGTGAGCATCACGACCTACACCAGCTACGAACCACGTCTCCCATCCTCCTTGCCGCCATCTGTACCGTGTCAGCCCTCCATGACCCCCAGGACCAAAAGTACTATGCAGCATGTAATAGAGAATTCCGCGCCCTCGTGATGCGGTCACTGTTTGAAAAGCGCGATGTTGGATATCTGAGGGCTTTGTGTATCGCCTCGTTCTGGCTCGCCGATGCTTCGCGAATTCTCTGCAGTGATGCCATTAGACGCGCAGCAGACATCCGTCTTCATCGCAGCTTCGACTATCTCATTGGGGCCCGTGACCCGGAGACCTGCTCCCCGTCTTCAGCAAACCCGACTGCCGCTGTGGATCGAGTGCGATTGTGGTACCTCCTGTTCGTATGCGATCAACATCTCTCGATTTTGCACAACCGTGACTCCCTCCTGCGCAGCGACAAAGACATAGCAGTGAGCTGGGAAACATACTTACATCGAGCCGAGACCACGGAATCAGATGTTCGGATCCTTTCCCAAGTATCCCTATTATTAATCATGGGTCAGGTCCGAGATGTGTTGGGGTCCGACAACCAGACGCAGCTGCCACCGACTCTTACACACCACATCACAAATTACTCAAGACAGCTAGACAAATGGTTCGCCAAATTTTCTGCGCTGTTCATCACAAACGCATATATTGGCGATTTCCCCAGAAAGGGCTTGGAGCTGCACTACCAATTTGGCAAACTCTACCTTGGTCATCAGGTATTTAAAGGACTTCATGGTAATGCCATCCCCATGCATTTCGTCTCTGCCGCCAATATGGCCCATGATGCAGCTCTTGGAATCTACGAGATGATTCTAAATGACCACCAGCTGAAGGATAGTCTCGTGGGCATGCCTCACTACTTCCATATCATGATTGCCTTTGCTGGTCATCTGTTGCTGGAGATATGTCACAACCACCACGAACAACTCTCTATCAATGTACAGGAGGAATTTCATCTGATTGGCGCCGTTCTAGACCTGTTCCGCAATCAAAACTGCATTCCTCAGCACCCAATCCGGCGCATGGCCCCTGGTCTGAGTCGGAAGCTCTCCAGTTGTGCTGTCAACCTAGGGATTAATAATCTGGGCGACGGCCACCAAACAACTCAGAATCCGTACATTGCAACTACAGACGGACAAGGCTTCACGAACGCAACTCAGCATTTCGGAAAAGACCCGGTTCACTTTCCTGTCGACCCCACGGGGCCCCAGATGGATGATTTTCTATTCGGCGATATTGGAGAATTCACGTTCCCAGACCTGGCATCCAGCTTTCTGCCGTAGGGTATCGCAGACCAAATATCATGACTAGGAGTACAGAATCGTATATGGCCAGATGGGGTCTCCAAGTTTACATTGTATATTAATACCCATTCCTTTTTCTAGTGATATACTGAAATAGATTTATACTCCGTCGTTGAGGGTAGAGCGACCTCGCCCAAAGTGGGATAGCGGGTGTGCCTGAAATGCAATCTTATTAGTACTTCATCAGGCCACCTGCCTATATAGGCCTAGCGCTCATGATTTCTTTGCTCTACGTAGTAGATTTCTTCATCGTCCACCTTAACTAGATTTGTAGCTCCGACAACTTATAGGATACCGCAAACAAAGTGTTCTCTATGTCCTTGGAAATAGAATATCAAACATCCTTATCCAGATGGCTTGAGTGACTTCTGGGATATTGATTACGAGCAAGGCCGGCACGAGTTTCTCCAAGCTGTCTTCGGATTTGGCAATGACACTTTCGCTTCTGACGAGACGAATGTGACCCAGAAGCTGGGCAGCGTTCTTTGCCGGGACGGCCGGTTGCTCACTTTCTCCAACACAGTCCAGCACCGTGTGTCCTCGTTTTCTCTGGTTGACCGGTCAAAGCTGGGCCATCGCAGGATTCTCTCTTTGTTTCTCGTGGATCCCCACAGGCGGATTATCTCCGCGGCCAATGTGCCTCCGCAACGAGAGGATTGGCTTCCAGAGGAGATAAACCACAAGAACAAGCGAGACTTGAAAATACTGATGACTATGGATGAGGCGAAGGAGGCAAGACTGGAGCTCATGGCAGAGCGCAGTCTCTAGTCCGCAAAGCACAACCGGAATTATGAGACCGGGGAATTCAACCTCTGCGAGCACTAAACCCTCCTATTCCCATATAAGACACTTGCTGGTGTCAGTGCGGTCATACCCAGCTAGTCAACACCATTCATGACATTTCTTCATCTCTTTCCTCCTGTCTCCATTCTTTTTTCTAACTTTTATTTTATCCTATCTTCATTTTTATTTATTTATTGAATCTTATTTATTTTTTATTTTTTTGTTTGTGTCTGTCATGAGGTGCGGTTGTGTCCCCGGCCAAAACATACGGTATCCCGATACGCAGAAACGGGCGTTGTAACTAAGGTGAAAAAAGTCAGTAACGAAGACAGACTCGACCAGACACCAGACTAGCAACCGAAGTCAATTCAACAGGGGTTATGGCCGAGTTACGTCCCAATAAATTAATACTCTTCAAAATGAGGCCTGCTAATTAAGAGACATCTAGGCCCCTCTAACTAGCCTAGAAATCTCCCAGCCACCGGAAGGGATGCGGTCTAGAGCGCCTAGCATTAGACGTAAATTTCAACCCCGCAGGGTAAGCAGGCTCTTCTAGCGCTAGCGATTATAGCCTCCAGTAGCGCAAGTCAGCTCACCGAGATCAAAAGGACCCCCAATAACAGCGCTCGGAACGAAGGATCACCATGAGGGTTATCATCGTAGGCGCTGGTATAGGCGGTTTAACATGTGCTATAGCCTGTCGACGCGAAAAGTTGGATGTGATTGTTCTCGAACGCAGCTCTGAACTCTTGCCCGTAAGTGTTGGGAATACATCATTTAGAAAAGCTTGATTTGAGCACAGATAGCCTAACAGGAGCGTATTTGATATATTCAGGCTGGGGCAGGTATTCAAATTCCTCCGAATGGCGTGCGGGTATTGGAGGCGCTAGACCTCAAGCAAGAGGTCTTAGAGAAAGGGGCGATTGTCGAATCAATGGATCTTCGACGGTACAAGCACGGTGGACTCATTACATCTATGGAATGTGGACAGACAGTCGCTCGCGAGTATGGAGCTCCATGGGTGTATGTATAATGTGCTGTCACTTGGACCACTGAGCATGCTTGTCTCACTTTAGATCAGTATCATTCACCGAGCGGATTATCAGCAAATTCTATTCAATAGGATTAAGCTTATGGGCGTGGAGATACGATTCGGAGCTAATGTCAATGACCTAGATGTCGAGAACACACAGGTTGTTCTCGAAGGTGGTGAGACAGTGACAGGGGATATTATCATTGGCGCCGATGGTTTGTCTAGCGTCCTGTCCAATAGCGTTCAAGCTACGATAGACTGACTTGTGGTCAGGGCTATGGTCAAAAGTCAGAGACACGATTTTTGATCAACCTGTTCCACCCATTGAAACGGGTGATATGGCCTACCGTGCAGTTTTTCCAAGGAGGCAACTTGAGGCCCTTTGCAACTCGGAGATAGACAGCCTTTGTAGCAAGACTTCTGTCACCGCCTGGCTAGGGCCAGAGAAACATGCCGTCTTCTACCCAGTACGAGGGGGTGAAGAATATAATCTGGTTCTGCTGCAACCTGACAATTTGCCTACTGGAGTACGTACCAATGAGGGTGATTTGGAGGAAATGAGATCGGGTTTTCGGGATTGGGACGCAACGTAGGAGGCTTCAAATTTCCATACTGGCTACCATGATGCATTCGACCGCTAACTCTTGCTGTAGACTTCAGACGTTGATCTCTTGCATATCATCGGTGGTTCGGTGGAAGCTATGCCACCTGCCCGAATTAGATACCTGGAGCAAGGTTGGTTGATCCTATGGAAGACTGAGAGCCTTAAGAATATTCACTCACCTGTACCGATTCACTAGGGCTCGGCCACACTACTAGGAGACGCTTGTCACCCAACGCTCCCATACCAAGCTCAAGGTGCTGCAATGGCAGGAGAGGACGGCGCTGTGCTAGGAATCCTATTAGGCTTAGTTGCACAACGGCTAGATAGCCAAACGAACTCTTCAGACGAGACACTTAACAGTTTGATCTACGAGTCCCTCACGCTCTACGAGGACTTACGCAAGGCCCCCACTACAGCCAATGTCAATGGAGCACTCAGAAACCGTGGCGCATTTCACATGCAAGATGGTATCCTGCAATGGATGCGCGATCTAGTTCTGGGGTATTCGGGTATGACACGGGAAACTGACTGGGTTGGTCTGATGTCAAGGCGCCAGTCTCAGACACTAGCATCTGATGCCATCCGAGAGTGTAAAAGACGGATAGGAGAATTGTCAATACAGTGAAACAACATGGGTTGCACGAACGAAGTTTGCATTACTTAACTGCCAAAGCATTGGTTCCGGGGCCTATTTTACAATTTTTCCTTTTTAACTCCGATGTAGTAGTAGATATGTACAAACGGCTCGAACAACATACGGTGCCCACTCCTAAACTCCCAGTCATTGAGGTCCAAGTCCGGTCCATCCAAGAGCGCTCGAATCTCCTCCGGTGTCCGACAACGCATGGTCGACACCAGACCATCAAAAGAAATAAGCAAAGATAGCAAAGGAATCACATATGTGAAGAATAAGTGCGGAGGAGAATATCTGTACCGACAAAGGGTATACCAGAAAGGGAAAAGAAGCATAACAGGAATGTTAAGCAACGAAGTGAAATTGCGCTGAGCAAATTCAAAAATTCTACCAGTAGTCCAAACATTAGCATTTCTCTTCCCTTCCTTCTATCCCAACTAAAAAACCTACATAAACGAATCAGCAGACTCCGTCGCCTTCCGCAATATAGTCGACGCAAGCAAATCATCAAAATGATGAAAGCAGAGATTAAATATTCTGCACTCCTTCCGGCTCCCCGGTGCCACTCTCTCACATTTCGCAGCATCCATAGGCTCAGAAACGAATGAGATATTCTCCTGCCGTTTACTAATGGCAGACCATTCTTCCAATCGAGGATGAAGGTCCGTGAGAACAAATCGCGCCGCTGGCTTACCCTCCGTTCTGAGCTTCGCATTCAAAACATGTTCAAGCGTTCCGGTCGGGCCACCTGCCCCCGCACAAAGATCAACAAACGTGAATGAATCCGGATCCTGTATGTGCTCGAGAATAAGGTCCGCCGCTATACCTGCTGGAGGGGCCTTGCCGAATGGCGGGATATGCAGATTCCACACGCGCGTTAGATATGATTGGATGTAGGCTCGCATCCATTCGGGACACCAGGCTTGGTCCCCTATTTCAAATAGATGGTATCGTGGGAAGAGGATCATAGTGTTTTAGGTGGGGATGTGCTCATCCCTTAGTTCCCTGACTTGTGTGGACTGTTATCTGTCATATTGGAAGATATTGAGGTCTATCTCCCTACCGTGAGATATGATGACCCGCTATACTACATTAGGAAGGAATTAGTCACCTGACCATTGCTAATACAATTGCCAGTATTAAAAAACTCCCATCTTTGGAGAGACTATTTTTGGCTCAGTACGGACTCGTGAGTATACTCAGGAAGTGAGCTATGACATGCCTAGTTTTCATAACTATCATCGCTTATCAATTTCATTACCTACTTCTGGGTGCCAAAGAAAACGCAGTCGTTGTCCTGCTATAACTCAAGACGAACTACTTCCCTTTTGGGTTTAGACGCATCCTTTTATTGCTGCTTCAAATAACTTGCATCGATGCCTGCAAGTGTCAGATTCTCGTAGTATGGCCCCACATGAAGATTAGAAATCTTACTAGGAGAATGAGTGTTAAGTTGGCCACTTAATGAATTTTCTCTGGCATGGTTCTACTCCACGATACTAATCGTTCCGTGTTTGCTAGGTACCAACGGTTCGTGTAAATATATATCGAATAACTTCATCTTAAATTTGATTCATTTGATAGTAAGGACAGGAATCAGATCGCTTGCACGGGAAGAGGTCTATAATGCTCCTCGAGAAAGCGTATATCAGCATCACTTAAACGAACCGCCAGCGCCTCTGACGCCGACTCTATCCTCTCGATACTATTCAACCCGGCAATCGGACAAGCGCCCTTCTTCAACAGCCATGCCATCGCAACTGCGCTCATGCTGCATCCCTTCGACCGCGCAAGTTGATCGACTCTTGTAATAATCTTTTGATCCTGCTCACCAGCGAACCACTTTGCAGTCTTTGCATCCTTCATGGACCGATCGGTTTTGACATTCCATGGTCTAGCCAATAGCCCGCGTGCCAGAGGACTCCACGGGATCAGACCAATTCCCTCAGCTTGACAAAATCTGTTTGTCTCACGTTCTTCTTCTCGGTAGAGTAAGTTATAAAGACCCTGCATACTGGTGAATGTGGTCCAATTGTTCATTTTCGCGGCATATTGTAATCTCGCGAGCTGCCAGCAGTACATGCTGGATGCACCCAGGTAATGGATTTTGCCCATTTGAACGAGATCGTGTAAAGCGCGCATGACCTCCTCCGGTTGGGTATCGTCAATGCGATGTAGTTGTAGAACGTCGATATAGCTGGACTTGAGTCGAGTAAGAGATGCCTCCACTGCGTCAAAGATGTGCTTCCGACTTAGCCCCATTTGATTGACCAGGCCACCATCGTTCACGGCAGGATTGGGTCGGGCATTCGATTCAGGTGCAAGAACTGGGTAGTATAGCTTGCTCATGATGACAACTTTACTTCGTGGAATATTGTACTGCTCTAGAGCCTTTCCGATCAGGATCTCAGACATCCCGTTGGAATAAGTATCGGCTGTATCCCATGTGTTGATGCCACAATCATATGCCTTTTTTAGTAGCGGGAGTGCTTCGGCCTCTGGAAGAACCCATGGACTGCCTTCCCATGACGGATTGCCGAATGTCATGCAACCGAGAATAATCTTGGAGACTTTCAACCCACTGTTGCCAAGTCGTTGATACTGCATTTTTGGCTGTTTCTCGGGGCTTTTGCTTTTCCAACTCGTGACCAAATCCAACAGGGCTTCCTGGTGGCCGACATTCCCTGGGAAAACAACGTATGGGATACCGACGAACTTCGATGACGGCTCTTCGCAGCGCCAAATAGGTACTCCCGCCAGTGCTTGGCCAATGATTTGAGCACGTCGCATGCGAAGACTTGTCGTTGCTAAATCTGACGAAGTGATACCGCCCTATTTCGCTCTCCATACGTTAGCTTCGCATTATCCATTTACATAGAGCACAACTCGCCTTGGCAATGACATATCGAGGCCGGGGTATCAAGAGTTGTAGAAATAAAACCAATGCATTAGACACCTTGCTTCCAATTTGCAAACCAGATAACTCGTCATGGCTGCTAACTAGTCGTCTGCTTGTCATGAGTAGGACATCTTGTCCATCGACAATATACTTGCCAGCCTCATCAGCAGCATTAAGTACTGTAGCGTAGCTGCTTTCAGCACTATGCAGCAGTCCCTCCACATCCAGAGTGATGACCTTTAGTTCAGACCCACGTCCCGAAGTCAGAGATTGGAGCTGATCAGTCGTCTTGGGCACGTAGGATCCGGCAATGATCAACCCGCCCGGAGAAGACGCTTCCGTGTCGAGTCCCAAGTCGCGTGCACTGAGAGGAGGCTTCGTTCTTATCGCTAGTCGCGTCGATACAAAAGCAGCTCCTGTCCTATAAATATAGTTGCGACCAGCGGATTTTGCTACACAAGTATGTCAGCAGACATGTTTGACCGGTTGGTTCACTGGTGACGCGTACCCTGCAGCAGACCAAGGACAAAAATTTCCAGGTCAGTATCAATCATCGCGTTGACAATGATGATAGACCCTTGCGCAAATTCGAGCAGCTTTTTGGCCACTGCAGAAACACCCCCCTCTCTGATATCCTGCAGAGAGATAGACTGCACACGATGACGAGGAATTGAGCCATTTGACTTCTCGACCACGTAGTCGATTAGATTGGAGCTTGTGTACCCGAACGTCGCATCCTTTGCAAAGATGGTTTGGGCAGCCGGAACCAGGTTTTCTTCAGCATCGGCCACATAGTGGACATCGTCAATGGTGAACCTTCCGCCTTGTCGGAAGAACGGTGCGAGGATCCAGCCATCGACTTGCCCAATTACCTCCTCGGCAACCTGGGGCTCATCGGGAAAATGTCCCCGTAAAGTTGAATCACCACGTAAGACAATTTCAAAGGCCTTCTGAGCCTGTACTGCTGCTTTCTTCACCGCCGTACAGATTTCGGATATGAGTCTGCGAGCTTCGGCGGTAGGGAGCGCGCGCGAGTTAGTGAGTATGAAGAATCCACGGTCGCATGTGGAAAACTCTTCTACCAAAGTTGCATCATCCCACACTGTCAAGACATTGATTCCATGACATGTTTGTGTCCCAGTGGGATCGTCATCGAGAACCACGAGGATAGGAAGCTGGTCTACCTGCTGATCAATTTGTTCAAGCAACCGACTCGAATCCACTGGAGGAGGGAGCCGCGCCTGAGCCTCCGCTAGAGAGACAATATAATCTGAAATTGTCATGTTTATCGACGAAGTTAGTGTGTATACAATAATCCTACTTGTGTGATTTATTGTATTTTGTATGGCGGATCGTGGACTCACGCGGAGATCCGATAACCCTCGGAAGCGGTCCGAGAGGTGTCGGGAAAGTGTGCATCGGCTTTCTCTCCGCCATTTCTTACCCAGAGCTCAAGAATCAGGTTCCCCAGCTCGACAGGACATGTCTTTCATTCATTAAGATGATTTCATGACGCTAGCTATTAGATATGAAAGGGGGACTTGTATCCTTCCAATAACCAGTGTTACCATGATGCTCTATCACCTGGGTGCAAGTTGTCACTTATATTGACCTTTCATAACGGACTAATTTGCTGGATATACTCCGTAGATGCTTTCCGTTGGAAAAGTGAAACCCTATCAATGGCCATGAATAGGATGCTGGGCACTTTCATAAGTATCATCTACTGGTTGCCAGCCTCTTCGGTGAATATTCCAGCTGCTAGCCAATCATTGAGTCAAAACACACTTCAGCTTCAGGTTCAACCCCCGGTGTTGATTCAGCTCAATAGTTGGCTAACTAATAGGATTGTAGACCTGGGACTTAAGCTATCATCATGTCGTTTAGAGTTTTACTGGCCGAACAATAAGAGTGGTTAGGGTGGTTAGGGTGACCGTAGCCAAGGATCGTCCAGTAGCTCTCTTGCCGATTCTCTCTCCTCGGGCTTCCATCTGAGCATCTTGTGCAGGAATTGGAGTAACAGCCGTTGCGGTTCACCCTCCAAATTGCCTTCAAGCTTCTCTAACGATATAGGAGGAATCTAAATTGTTCCTTCTAATCCCCTATTTTATAATTAGCAAAGACCTTCTGGAAGATCATGATTCGGACACACCTTCTCCGTCGAAGAATTCGGTCGCATAGACACTGCTCCAAACCATATCTTTCGGTGGTAGCCCCATGATTGCAATCATCTCAGCCTGATGATGAGCACCAGAGCTTTGCTTATCTGAATCTCGAGCGCAAAATAGATGACCTTGTTGGAACAAATCCCATGCCTGCACCCATTGTTAGCAAAAGGGAATGGCCACTAGTTGTCGAAATAGCCTGATTAAAAGGCTGGTCCAAAGGAAATCAAGGCATACCAGCACTCCGACATTCCAGATGTCAACTTTTTCGTTCCAAGGCATTCGCAATAGCACCTCGGGAGCCCGGTAGATATAAGGCTGAATATCCCCGCAGTAAGTATTCGACCCACGCCGAGCCTGACCAAAATCACATAGCGTAGGTTGACCATGTTGCTTGGTTTTCCTCAGCTTTCGAGATGCATAGATCACCCGATCTCCAACGACTTTCCGCGGGCTAGGACTGGATTTCTCTTCCTCTTCAAAGTTGGCTAAGATCGCAGTGTCTTCGACAGCCATCATGATGTTCTTTCCTTGAATATTTGTGAAAGTTCTGTTAGAAGGCTTCTATGGAAGGTGAACAATACATAATCATACCCGTATGTTCGCATCGCTCCTTGATTGTACCAAACAGTTGAGTGTCCACCATAGCCCAGTTTACCAATCACCTGGTACCTCGATTGAAATACCTCGCCGATTCTGACGGGATAAAAGCTATCGGGAGAGTACCATGACAGTGTTTCTTCCTCGAATTTCTCCGTTGATTCGAGAGTGAAAGGTGATCGAGACAACTCACGCACTGGTGATGCAGGGCGTTGAAACAAGGTACGCCAGGCAGAAAATTGCCTAGGCACTCGGGATGGCCGGTAGAATATTGACGCCATGGTGAGAAGCGCGGTGAAAAATGCTGCCAGGAGATCAGGATAATTCGACCTGTACGGCATGACTTAGCAATGTACAGTCAAATAGTTTATATTTTTTTACGGGGGTTATATATGAAGTAGCATTACAGCGGTACCCTCGACCACTCAATATAGTTCGCTTATGGCCCCAGGTATTGTAAAAACATAGGGAGTATCCGAGGAAAAGTAAAGCACATCATTTAGTACTTAAAAGTTAAAACTCAAGTTCAAGGTTTTGACCGATTGAAGTGATGGCGTCCAAAATGCCCAAAGCGGTTGAGTTTGAATCGAAGAAGCGGGATGGGAGATAAAAATGGATTTTAAGGCGCCCTGCCAAGCTTAAGCCCTGCCCCCAGGCGGCCTAAATAGCGACGATCCCATCCAACTCTGAGCATCTTTTTGTTCCTGTGTCAAGTATTTATTTCTCGAAACAACGGCCATCATCTAACTCACGATAGCTACTATCCCTGCTCAGAGCTTAGCACACCTATACATCGCTCTTCTTTCAATATGAAGCTTGCCTCGGGGCTACCGCTCACCACCTACGGCTTCCAATTGCTTATGTTTGGCCGTCGGAAAGAGGGTCTCACCCCAGACCAATACCACGACCACTACGAGAATGTCCACATCCCCCTTATGAAGAATCTAACCGGAGACACCTTTCCTTTGTCCCACGTACGACACTACGTGAAGCGCGATGGGCCGCCTGACTTTCCTGCAGCGGTCTTAATGGGCGACCAGGCAGACTTCGACTACGACGCGGTGGCGGTACTGACATATCGGGATAAGGCGCATTTCGACGCTAACTGGGCTTTCTTTGAGGATGAGGAGACTTCGAGATTGATCAAAGAGGACGAGGACAAGTTCTCCGCGTGGGTGACGGGTGTTCTCATCAGCACTGAATCTACTGATACGAGAGCTTAAGAGTATACACCCAGCTACCATGCAAAAGATCAAGAATCTCGACCTGTCAATTCTTACAACCCTATCGCCAGGAGTGAGAGTGGGGTCTTGTGTATTTTGATGAGAGATGGTAGTTATCATGGACAGAGGAAGGGGTGAAGAGCTAGAATAATCATGAGCATGAAAATTGGCTTCAATAATAGTACAGATGAAGGGGAATGTGGTGGATCAATTCTATCCTTAATTATAACGTCTAATAATTGCTTTAACATCGTATGGGTCGTTGGGCTCCTGTCACTGGCATTTCCACATGCATTGGCCCTTCTAGCTCGGCCCACCTCTCAAGTAAAATCTAGAGTGACTGATAGTCTATTCGCGCTCTGAGATATCCAGCATCTATTACTGAATCATGACCTCGGTCGTGTATGGAATACGGCATGCATAAGCAGACAAATAACTATGTAACCACCGGGGTTCAATATCTACCTTGAAGACGGATAGACTGTCCAATGACACACAGACTTCGTACCAGGTTTTACCAGGCATTTTATGCTACAGACGGTCTAGACCATCTAGTTCCAAGAGCCCAGAATCAGTCGCCATGCTGACTTTGGATATAAAGTTAATTCCTATGTACCAGTATTCTTATACTGCTTTTCCACCGGAACCCACTCTACATGGGCAATTATAATCCGTCATACTGCAAGCATGATGAAATCACATTTCGAGACAACCTCGTTGTTGTCCAATATAAAATACTGCTTCCACTTATACCCTACATGGAGATTCTCGAAATATCCCATCTGGAACAGATTCTCATCCAAGAGAATTATCTTTCGCTAAAATGAAGATTTCATCCGTCCTCGCCGTTGCGACAACAATCATCTCTGGGGGAATTGCTGGCCCACTTTTCTCGGAGGCCGACACTACCTCAGCCATCTGTTGGAAAGCATGCTTCCACGAAAGGTCCCGTTGTCCGAGTGAATGGGTGAGTAAGCTCGTTCATATTCTAGCAGTCTTATGCTAATTTGGGGTGTCATACGTAGCACGCTAAGCAATTCGGGGTAAGCTTCATGTCATCCAAGCAAGGTAGAAAGCCCGTTAACACGCATTTTAGCGCTGTTGGACTTGCTGCAAAGAGCGCCAGGTGGTGCCTTACGATTATGAACTGTTTGAGTGGGAGGAGTAATAAAGCTCTAGTCAAGCAAGACTTTTGTACGCTCATTATAGTGTGTGCTTCCCAACACTCACGCATCGGTTCTGCGAACCCTTCTATGAAATAGCCCGATCAATTTATGGCTGAGTCACAGACCTCTATATTCCAAGATAGAAACGGAGGTGTAACCGGCGTATCTTACAAGACACTGCTATTACCTCAGCGCCTAAAAGTATGCCTTGCGGCGGATGGCAAGAATCTAGTCCCTGTCGGTCTTTCGCCTGTGTGATCAATGTAGACGTCATATAGCCACATACAGATGCAGATCATGTAACCAAATTGGTCGATCGAGTATTCAAGACTGTCTTCCTTCTAACGTTGAACCATAACAATCCCCAAAGACTCCAAATATTCATGGAAGGACACCCCAAAGCCACCACCCGAAAGTAGACCACAAGCCCTTGCTCCCCTTGTGCCTTTGAATGTATTCATCTAGTGAAATGCATCCCCTGGGGGCGTCGGGCTTTCCAGCAAGTTTTGGAATTTTAATCACATCCAAGTACATTCCAGCTGACGCTTCCCGTCATACATCCAACTTTGATATTAAGTAAATTGAACAGCAATTACACAGGAATCTAGGGGTTAAAGGATCAAGCATCTTTTTTACCTTAATGTAACAGCCTCTAGGTTAGTACTGATACGACAATATCGTACTATAGGTAACGTCTCTTCACGTCTTGTACGGAATTTCTCGGGCTACCATGCTGTTTGGTATTTAGGCAAGTATAACTCAATCGAATTCACAAGAGGTGATAACATAATAAGGTAGAGAGTATTATGAAATATAAAATAGCTTTCACAAATCCTTCAGATACACTGAATCCCTATGGGAGCCCCCGGGAACACAGATCTCGTATACATTATTCATTGTAAAATCATGATTAGTAAAACTCAAATATTGGTGCATAGCAGTCCTCCTCTACCTAAGATCCCCAAAGCTCTGTGTTGACAAGGTCTAGATACGGCATTTGATCCACCCGTCGGATCGCATGGAAAAGGGATTACACAATGAGATATCCAGATAGTTCTTTACGTAGCAAGTCAGTCATGCTCTCCGCAAATCTTCCCACCATTCACCTTACCTACTGTGGAACAATGTACATATAGTCAAATCTACCACCATTTGACATATAATAGTCTTTCCCCTTCCACTGCTTTCGATCAGTCTAAGTTCAAGAATGCCATAGTTTACCAGCATTTCGCTAAGTCCACATCATTCTGAGATAGTTTCCCTATATCTACTTGCAGCATCCCCAACAGTGTTGTCACTATGAAGCTTTCCGCCATCACCCTTGTAACCGCCTCGGTTCTTTTGTCTGGAGCGGCTGCCACGCCGTTTGATTCATCTGAAGTCTGTTGGAGAAGCTGCTTTCACCACAGACAAAATTGCCCACGCCACTGGGTAAGTACTACAGCGTCATAGATGTTCTAACTCCTGAGCAATACTAATTCTCTCGCCACAGTACGCCAAGAAGATCGGTGTAAGTATCACTGGGAGGTAAATTCGCAAAATTGGCATGTCCCCTACTAATGTCATATACTAGAAATGCTGGACTTGTTGCCAAGAGCACAAGTCTGACTACTATGAATACGATTACGATTACGACTATGAACCGTTTGAGTGGGAATAGCTTGTGAATCTTTTCACCCACATGCATGTGGTAGCTGGGGGCTCAGGAAGAGAGGTCAGGCAAGAATCTGGCGTCAGGTTTTTCTTTTCTATCATCGTGTCTCATCAATTACGGGGTTGAGACTGTATGTATGAAGTCAGAGCTTTCCCAGGGCCGAATGGAATCTGGATAAGGTTGAAACACCTGTTAGAAAGGCCTCCGTATCGTCATTGTTCGCTCATGTTCTTTATCTTGTAGTAGCAGTGGGTTTATACTGGTATAGTGACGTGTGATGCAAGTATAACTGCCATCATTGCGGCCGGGGAGATATTATTGAGTTCTCTGTGGGAATTTCGTTGGCTGTTTCAGGGATGTTAGCGTCGTGCACAGCTGGGTCATTCGTCGCCAAACCTGCTGACATCTAGCTCAAAAATACGGCAGTGTGTTCCTAGCCTAGTAGGTCTTACTGAGAAATTTGAACGAAAGCATATGTAGTTAGAAGTACGAGCTGATTACTTTGCTCACGGGAACTCTGTGTCGTGACGATGCGGTCGGTCAAATAAGAACGCCCTTACCGAGAGTAGAGTCTTACTGTAGAAGCGGTTGTTGCGCCGTACATATCCTACTCAATGGCCCTAGGCAATCACACCATCCGCACGTGATTCTACATTACTATATGATATGTGGGCACTAAAACGATAAGCATGCCTGTCATTGTCCGACTTACTGAACAATTCCATCTCCGTGGCGAATATTGCAGTGATATATAATTTCGGTAAGTGCTGACGGTGAAGGAATCGGTTTGAGAATATAGAGCATACAATGTCCCTGCTAATATATTGTCAATCATTCGGCCACCAATAAGTCCCATATCTCAGTTATGCTGACATTATTAATACAGCAACTGAGGCGGTTAAAGTGGATTTCCTTTTTAATCAAGGAGTTTTGTCGGAAACGTGAAGAAAAATTAGCCGCTTAGTATTTATTTGCCTAGCAAAGCGTTAACCTGAGACAGCACTGGCTAGTACAAATTGGACAAGGAGTTCATCTTGCAGGATGCCGAGCGCTGCCAGTGAGATAAAGAACTAGTACCGCATATATAGTAGCCCGATTTACGCTAGCGACCATTGGTTGGCTAATTTTACCAACAACGCTACAACGACGTATAGTGGTCCTCCAGTATTGGTCACAAGGACATTAGTCCCATGCCATAAAAAACTGCCAGTATCTAACCGCGGTCAGGGCCCAGAATTGCGGCATGCCGAGAGCTGGGTTCCGAGTTTACGATTTCTCGTAGTGTGTACCCGTACCACTAGAATTCAATATCCATATTCATGCTTTTGGCTTTCAGACTCATAGCGAATCAGAATGTTAGTTGACGGCCAAGCAGTGGAGAGCCGACGGTCCGCATTGAATACACCTCCTTAGGCAGTCCGCCGGGAATGAAACCGAAGCAAGCCATTCTTGGAAACAACACTAGAAGCAACTCGTCATGACGTCATAAGGTCCTAGATCGCTAGCATATTAGTAGTCTCCCAGACCCTAAGCTGGTGACTAGATGACTGGGAGACGGACTAGCAACATATGACGTGGCATAGCAGAGTATATCTCCCCCTATTCGCATTGCTTTTAGCGTGGCTTCTTCTAGTAACTCTGCAATGTCTCAGCAAGGGTCTGAATAATTGGGCCCACCGAGGAAGGCCTCTGCAGTGAATGGCAGCAGATTATGATATCCGGTATGCCCCACAGAATCGGGAAGTATATTCCCGTCCCCTGGACAACGTTACATATGCAGCCAAGCACTATATTTCGGATCCTGCAGAAGAGACAATCAGACATAACCAATCAAACCAAACCCTCTGCGACTATATATGAGGATTATATCATCCAGCGCTCCAGAGCGGCCATTTTAGCAAATCATCGGTAAATCAACATCCGCATGTCCGAAATTGCAGGACAGCATTCCGGGATGTGGTGTGGTTGAAGTTGAACCGACGTGGCATTTTTCCCGGCATTTTTCCCGGGGGCCGGGCGATCCCCCGCGTAATGTGGGTGGCCAGATTAAAAAGCAACAAACATCACCACTCTTGTGTAAGCGCTTTGTTTACCAGCTTCTGCTGCCATATCTGTTGGTTGACTTGTAAATCAGGGGGAATTATCAAAATGAAGGGTCTCTATCTTACAGCTGCTCTATTTGGAGCATCCTCTGCGTCTAAGCTTTATACTGCATCATACGCGGGCGCAGTTAGCACACTGGAGCTCGGCAGGTCCGACTCAGGTTATGAATTGACGACAATCTCAAACACAACCGACTGTGGTCCCAATCCTTCCTGGTTGATGCTGAATGATGATAAGAGCCTCCTGTTCTGTCTCGATGAGGGCCTCAATGGACCGAATGGCACATTGACTTCCTTCGAAGTTGACTCCGACGGATCGCTGTCTAAGATTCATCAATTGAAGACTGTACTCGGCCCCGTTCAATCACATCTGTATACTGCGGGAAATCGCACTTTTTTTGCCGTGGCCCACTAGTAAGCACCCGGTTTTAATCATACCCCAATATATGTCCCGATGTCTAATGACAATTCCCCTGTATAGCTCAGGGTCATCAGTGACAGCATATGCCCTTGACCCCAATGGTGTCTTTACCCGTCGCCAGACCTTCACATATAAGCTGGATGGTCCTGGTACAGACCCCGACCGACAGGATGCACCGCACCCCCATGGTGTAGTCCTTGACCCCACCGGTCAATTCATTCTGGTTCCCGATCTGGGAGCCGACCTCGTGCGTATCTTCCGCATCAACCCTTCGACAGGGTTGTTAGAACCACAGACACCCTTGTCGGTGTCTCCAGGCTCTGGCCCCAGACATGGCGCATTCTGGACCCCCAAGGGCTCACGTCCAGGCCGAGCTATCGATACTCGGTTCTATTTGACGTCGGAGCTTAACAGCCATTTAACGGGATACAAGGTTCACTATCCCAAGAATGGAACAATCGCTTTTAACAAGTTCTTCGAGACCACCACGTATGGTGGGCCGGAACTGCCAAGCGGTGCTACTGCTGCAGAAATCGCGATCTCGGTAGGCGCATCCCTTGAAGTTCAGTATATCCTGAAAAAGAATACAAGCTAATGTTCTGTCATTTTGCTCAGCCTTCCAATAGCCATATCGTAATTAGCAATCGCGAGGACAACAAGTTTGGAACCAACAACGACACCATCTCCGTGTTCTCTTGCGCTGATGCCAGCGGAAAGGTGTCTACTAATGTAACGCATGACGGTTTGTACCCGGCGTATGGTTCTATTCCCCGCCAGTTTGAGATATCAGGCGAGGATAAGGCGATCGCTATTGCGTTGCAAAGTAGCCATCGCGTGGCTGTAGCTGGCTGGGATGATAAGACGGGACATGTTGGCCCGCTACTAGCACAGAAAGAACTGGAGGGTGAGATTGTATGTGCCGTTTGGGATGCTTGATTGAGGTGCAAGAACTCGAAGAACGATGTATGCAACGTGATAGTGCCATTCGCTGTGCTTGATGAATACAGCCTTCACTGTATGTTAGAATAAACGCGGTCAGATATCATGTACAAGAAAACTCAAAGAAAAGAGCACGACTCTTTATTCTGACAAGGTGCGCATGGACTACTTTATAGTACTCCACATGGCAATAATCTTCCGTAACTACATAGGTCTGTGCTCCCTGTTGCCCCATATTTTGGTTCCTATTATATTTAGCGCACATTGTTCTTCACAAGATTGGCCCTAGAGATACTTTTACCTTATCACTTTATCTAATCTCCGTAGCCTAACTATGGAGCGTGATGGTTCCTAACCCAACAGTTGTGATCCGCTTTGTATTACCGTATTCGGTAACTCAGACCGACTCCGAGTTTGGTCTTGGCCTAGGGCTAGTTGACTCGCTAGTTCATGTCAGCCATTAATCATTACAACTCGTTCCAGGAAATTTCCTACACATCTTAGACTAATATTACGATCTGTTCCTATAGTAGATGATAGAGCCTTCTCATGAACCCACATTGTACCTCTTTTAAGAAGCCGTTTCTCTTACGAGTTCCCTATGTCGGTGAACTAGAGAAGAGCACTGAACTTACGATTCAGAGCTGATGCTATGGGGCTACTGGCGGTGCACCAATTATGATCCCTTATCTTCTCCACTCTTGATCTAAGCACTTCTAAGAGGAGTTTTCTGGTCTAGTAATATGTCATAAGTCCGAGAAACGGGGAAATTTCTATCCCTACTGTAGACTGTAGTCACAGGGATTCCATGATCTGATTGAGAGCATCTATTCCCTCGCAGCTCGATCAATTATTATCATACCAAAAAGGGATATTGATATTGAGCATGCGAGTATGGCTTAGTAGCTAGGACTGCCGATGACATCTGTTATCGGAATTCAGAGCCGTGATTGAAGAGCTACACACAAAAGAAATATGTCTATCTCCGCGGGGCTATTGCTGGTACCAATGCATGCCAAGTCGTGTGATATCGTTTGCATCGATATCTTCCGGTCTGCACGTATGCGTTAGTCATTAGCAGCCTTCGCTGCTGCCCAATATTCCTCCCTCGCCCTGTATTAGCGGGGTCCTGCTCTCTACTTCCCCTTTCTGTTACTCATTCTCATGGTCTATCTGCTAGCAGTGAACAGTTTTAGCCTGGGGACCATCATGGCTGGCGAAATACCACAGTCCCCCAATGATGATAGGAACGCTGAGAGGAATATCGAGGCACAGAGCGCATTTGCGTCTACTTTGGTAGTGGATGTGGAGAAATCGCTGCATGGCAAAGGAGCAGATCCCAGCAAGCCCTACATAAATCCGAATGGCATATCTGTTAGCACTCTTACAAACCAGGCCGGCAGCAATGCAGTCTACGCTGCCAAAGCACAGCTGCTGAATCAGGCGTTGGTTGACATGAAAATGGGCCTATATCAATGGGTACTCTTCATCATCACCAGCGTAGGATGGTTTCTTGACAGCGTAAGCAAACTTTATCGGAAGATATCACCTCATGAAACCTAACCTGTATCTAGTTCTGGATGATGTCATTCGTCGTTGTTGCCCCGTCGGCCTCGAACGAAGCCCAGTTCTTCTTTTCCGGAGATAAACCATCCTACCTGTTCGTCAGTCTGGCCGTCGGTCTGACAGTTGGTGCAACTGCCTGGCCATGTATGTCAGACGTCTTGGGTCGTCGGTGGATCTTCACTAGCACAATCGTCTTGATGGGCATGGGAGGACTTGTGGGTGCCGGCATGCCTTCCTTCACCGGTCTCTGTGTTATCGGCTTCGTGGTAGGATTTGCTGTCGCAGGTAACCAACTAGTCGATGCCATCATCCTGATAGAGTCGCTTCCGGCTTCCCATCAATTCTTGGTTACCGTGCAAGGGGCATTCTGGGGGTTGGGCCAGCTAGCCTCAGCTGCGGTGGGATGGTAAGTCACCCAGATGGCATGCCAGAGCAAACCTTGTTAATGTCATTCAGGGCATTTATTGCAGGGTACACCTGCGGAACCGGCCCCGACGCAATCAGCACATCGCAAGCTCTATCGACACATTCCTCCCGCGCCGAAAGCTCAACACACTCAAGCCAAAGCAGCACATCCTGCCACTACGTCTCCAACAAAGGATGGCGGTACGTATGGTGGACATTCGGCTGCATCACCCTATTTCTATACCTCTGTCGCTTCGTATTCCCCTTCCGCGAGACACCTAAATACCTCCTTTCCAAGCGCCGCGATGCAGAAGCCGCCCAACTCGTCACCGACATGGCTACATACAGTAAACGCCGCACCTGGCTAAACGAAATCTCCTTCGCCAGAGTCAACTCAACCATCGATGCCACCGACTCCCGTCGGACTCCACGTCTCCGCTCCCTCCTCTTCGCCCTTCAACCCAGCGGCCTCCCCATCCTCTGTCTCCTCTGGGCCCTAACAGGCCTCACATTTCCCCTCCACAAAACCTCCCTCACAACCTACCTCGCCGCCACTCACAACATCTCCCCCATAACTCCAACATCAGTAACAACCAAGTACCTCTACACCCGCTACCTCTACAGCTCCCTCTGCGCAATCCCCGGCCCCATCGCCGCAGGCATGCTAATCCAAACAAAGCTCCTCGGCCGCAAACGCACCGGCTCCGCAATCGCCCTCCTCACCGGCCTATTCATGCTCCTTGCCACACTGGCGCGGTCAAGAAATGCCCTCTTGGCTTTCGAATGCATCCTGTCTTTCCTGCAGTTTGCGGGGTTGGCGGTTCTCACGACGTACACGGTTGAGATCTTTGCGGCTCCGGTCCGTGGCTTCGGGGTCGGTGTTATGGGGTTCTTTTGGGGGCTGTTTGGGCTGGTAGCGATGATTGTGAATACTTTTGCTGGGGAGGTATTTGCGGGGGGTGCGGCAGTTTGGTTTTGTGGTGCTGTTTGGGTGGTTTTAGGTGGTGCTTGGTTGGGGCTCCCTGAAACGAGGGGGAGTGCTGCTGCTTAGGATCTGGCTTCTAGTTTCAATGGGTGGGTTGGCTGGGTTATGATCGGGTTTAAGTAGTGTTGTGATCTACCGGGGGAGGGTATGAGTGGTGGTGGTGGTGGTAGTTGATATATATATTGGTGAGGATGTAGCGGGTCATTCCATGAGTTGCAGTTTCAGAATTGATATTCCCCGTAAACGATCCACTGAGTATGAACTAGTATATTTATATTGAGCCTAATATAAACTTGGTAATATACAGATATCCAAACCATATAAAACCACATACATACATACATACATACATACATACATACATACATACACCAAACACAAACATAAGTACAGACATACAAAAACAACGGTACAACCGCCACTAACGCGACCCACACAACCCAAGATTTCCATCTCAGCGGGGCGCATCAAAAACAAAAACTTTTCCACCATCACGTGCATCCACCTCAACCAACAAACAACATCCAAGAACCTCAGGATGACTTCACAAGACAATGCCAAATACCAAGAACTCCCCATAAAACCACATGGCATACTCTGGCAAGAAGACTTCATAACGCCTTCGCACGAAGCGCAACTCATCTCCATCTTCCAAAACCAACTAGAATGGCCCTCCCGAAGTGGTCGCATATCCCTCCACTACGGCTACTCATTCGACTATAAAACCTTCGGCATAGACCCGGACATTCCGTACAAGGAATTCCCAGATTGGTTACAACCACTCATTCCAACCACGGAGGGGCGGCCTCCGGAGCAAGTCTGTCTGCAGTATTACCCCCCGGGTAGCGGTATCCCGCCACATGTAGATGCGCATATGGCGTATGACCAGCTGTATGCATTGTCGATTGGGGCGCCGATTATGATGCAGTTTCGGCGTGGGGAGGAGCGGGTGGATGTTGATTTGGTGCCGAGGTGTATGATGCAGATGACGGGGGAGTCGAGGTTGTTTTGGACTCATGGGATTAAGAAGAGGAAGAATGATACCCTTGCTGATGGGTCGGTTAGGCCTAGGGGGGATCGGTGGAGTATTACTTATCGGTGGGTTAGGGAGGGGGAGTGTGAGTGTGGGGATGTGGAGGTTTGTGATGTTGCGCAGAGGAGGAATGGGGTTGAGAAGGAGAAGAGGAGCTTGAAGGAGTTGGCTGCGAAGGGGGAGGGGGAGGGTGGGGTGTCTGGTTGAGGTTGGGTTTGTTATCTTGATTACCTTAGTATAGCATATTTGTATATTGTGTTCAAGATTGTTGAATGTATTATACCCATATTTTCTATTGTATGGATCATCGAGGTGCTCTGTGCCTATTCGTGTTGACCTTTGGTATTTTTGTGCATGCACTCCTAAGTAGGTCACAGTTTGCTGTACGAACATAGCCTTTTCCCCAGTCTCTTCCAGATCCCCCTATAAATCTACTTGATATTCAAAACATGTTGTCTAACTCAGGGACAGCCGGTCGAGGGGTAGTTGCAGCTGTCACCGCTACCACCAGTGATGTCCACTCCGTCAAACACAAAGTTGGAGCAGCTGTCATCTCCACAGAGAATGTAATAATCCTTACCGTCACTCATCGTTCCTGTGACATCCACAAAGGTGACATTGGCAATGGTGACTCCATTAGTGGGCTCACCAGTGGGACCGCCATTCAAGTAGTCCTGCTGAACATCGATACCGTAATCGCTAATGTCGGATAGGGTGATGTTCTCGTAGCGAATGTTGTAGACCTCGCCGGTCTCACCCGAGTTAGTCTTGATTCTGCAACCATTTTGGCTGCTAATCACTTGTGAATTGGAGAAGGTGACTCCGTTGACGGTGTTGTCGCTCTTGCCGCCAATGGAGCCGATGCTCAGTCCATGTCCACCGTAGCAGTACATTCCGTCGACGACGATATCATTTCCGCTGGTCACTGCCACACAATCATCCTGGTTGTGCACCCAGGTGTTCTCCAATGTGAAGTAGCTGCTTTCCTTGATATCGAAGCCGTCGGAGTTGTGTGCCGCGGGGTCCCCATCACTCTTGCTGTTGGCGGCATCACCGGCGGAGTTGTTGAGGGTCAGGCCGGAAACAGTCAGGTGCTCGGTACTTTCAATCTCAAAGCAGTGGACAGGCCAATTTTGGATGTAGAGGTTCTCGATGCGGGAGTTGTACATATTCTTTACAACGAAAAAGTGGTCGGGCCTACAAGAGGTCAGTAATTGCCTTTTTTAAAATAGTTATTCATAAGGACTGACTTGTCGGAGCCACCATTGGAGCCCTCTCCATCCCAGTATGCCGCGCCATTGCCGTCAATGACGTGACCCTCAGCACCACTGATGGTGACGCTGGTCCCGGAGACAACGATGGGATCAAAGTCACTATCAGCGGTGTCTCCAAATGTCTGTGCTATCAATCAGTACATGACTCCTATGCAAGGGGTATAGGAACGCACAGTCTTTCCAGCAAAGACCACAGCAGCGCCAGTCTGCAGGCCTTGGAGATCAATTGTGCTGGAAGGGGGTGCATAGATGTCGGACAAAAGAATGTTGGAGCAAGACGCAACAGCGGACGAGATTGCTGCATACTCAGTTACGGTGCAGGTTGTTCCACCGTTACCGGTAAAGGATGAACTGGCAGTTGGTACAGAAACCGGGGTAGTGATCACTGCGGTAGAAGATGTGGCTTCCTTTGCGACCTTAACAACCTGGGCAGTGCTTGTCTTAAAAGTAGTAGGCGTAGGGGTAGCAGTTGCTGGAGTAACAGAAACAGAGGCCTGGTCCCATGAGTTAGTTCAGTAGCACTACTCTAATAGGACGCCGACGGGATGCCTACTACGCTAGTTGAAGTCGCGACAGGAGGGACAGCTGCGGTGCCCAGGCAGCTGCATGCACTGGACAGATGCTTGGTTTTGTAGTCGCAATTGCTGAGAAAGGCCTCCGGGACCCCCGTGGTGGCTGTCACGGTACTTGCAGTGAAGGTGGCACAAAAGCTAGAAGCAGCTGCAGCAGAAACCGAGTAGATTGAGGCGCAGCTATGACCGGGAGAACTTGGGTTGTCACACCCAAAAGCAAGGGGAATGAGCGAAAGAATGAGCGCACTGCGCTTCATGACTGTCAATGGGTAAAGGAAAGACTAAATAAATGATTAAGGATAGTAAGAGAATGTAAGGTGTCTGAATATCCCACAGACCAGGTACGGAGCAGCATACTTATAAAATCTGACTCTGTATCAATACTACTACACTAATCTTAACTAGGAGCCGTGGTGGATCTCGGTCGATTCATGGTTGATAACTGGAGTTTCAGCTGCCATCAGGGGCTGATTGTCTCTATCCCGAGAGGTCAGATGGATATTGAGGAGTTTCCTACCGGATCCACTATAGTTTGCATGCATAAAGCAGCATAATACCTATTGCTGGCTCGTGCGCAGTCAGTGTCTGGCGGGTGGGGGTGATTGCGTCGGCTCCGTGCTTTAGCGTGTGGAAAGTGCACTACAATTGATGGCCTTTCCCTAACACGGAGAACTACTTGTCTACTTTGGCATAAGCTAAGTGACATATAAATTGCAGACGGAGTGGATTCTTCCTGCAATTGGATTGCTTTTGGAGTCTAGACATTTCTATCGCTCAATAGGCGTGTTGAACATTCAATAGCCGAGTAGGGTCGGCAATTTCTACACGGTCCACAAATCATACCAAGCGAGAAACCATGTGTTTCACCATGGATCATACTGACTCAAGCATGTCAAGCCTTTCATTGGCAAAGCTTGTTGACCTTGGCAAACTGGACAAGCCCGCCAAGCACCGGGAACGTTAAGACTAATATCTTCAATATCTTTCCTTCCATCTTTTCCTTAGTTACACTCCTCCATTTCCTCTTTTTTCGGTCAAGACTACTTTTCATTACTTATTTATTTATTTTATTTTTATTTCTTTTATTCATATGTATGTATTTTCATATAATTTATGAAAACAAATTCCGGTGTTTATGTAGTGGACTATCATGTAGAATCATGATACAATAGGAACAGCAAAACTCAAAGCAGGCAAGGAGACCAGAAAGAAGAATAACGTGAGAAAAATAAAATAATCATCAAAATGAAGGCTGTCTATTCAGACTTTGAAGTACCATGCTCTAGATTCGAAGGATGTTATGGCTTCTAGGGGAAAGATTGGAGGAAACACCGCATCGCTGCTTTGCATAGCAACGGCCTCAAATGTAAATTGTGGCGGGGTGATTGCTCCTAAGATCGAGAATGACCTGAAACCCCCAACGTTGGCTTCAAGAAAGAATGCTGGGGAGCCCAGACTTGACTCTCACGCCAGGGGTATGCAAGAGTCACGGGATAAAGACAAAGCCTAGACTATCTAGAATAGACCAAGAAGCGTCGAGATAGACAGAAAGAAAAATGATGAAAAAATAAAAAGAAGCTCCATACTTTTTGTTCGCACTTATAATGCAAAACCAAATCTCCTAATTCACAAAGCTTGAGTTAGCTATTGTCTATTGTCTATTGTCTTTGACAAATAGACAAAAGGAACAATCAATCGATGCGCTATTTCCAGCATTCTTCAAGAACACCCAGCGATGACAATGCCACATACCATGACGTAGAGAACATTCCACGTCTGTTCACCAGGAATGTAGACCGGCTCGCTTACCTATAAATGTGTCCAGTGCACTCAATTATGTTCAGTACCATTCTAAAATATAACTGCTTCTTAGTCTACATAAACGTCATCATTGTATTGATCATCTTCTTGACCCAGTTCCCAAGATGAAGTCCTCCTCCGTTTTCTTCGCGCTCTTCTCCTTGATCGCAGTTACAGTCGCAGATAAAGTATGCACACCAAGCTTCGACTACTGCTCAGACGAGCTTATTAGCAAGAAGGGTAAGCTGACATGAGTTCTTAGAGATAATCAATGAGAAAAGACTAACGTGGAATAGGATTCACGGAAGATGACCTAAAGTCCGTCCTGACGGGAACAGAGTTTGAGAAGGAAGACTTGAAGAACATCCTTTTCCATTGCAAGAACCCTGGCATTGTCGGTCATCCAAAGCTTTGCAGCAGTGGATGCAAGGATTCGGAGCAAGAGGGTAGTCACAGCTGCTAGAGGACAATTCATGCATCTCAGATTCAAAATCTCACGAAGTGTTTGTCGCATCTGTCCTTTGGTGGGTAATCTTTTTGGAATCAATTGCCATCTTTAATCAACATTGGACGTTTTGGGTGCAATGGTAAAGCATAGTATCATCAGTGGGACTTTGACGATTCGACCCGAAAAACGAGGGTATTTCTGCAAATCTGAAAACGATGTGTACCGTATATTCATTAGTGACCATCGTCCATGATAGCATTTCTCTGTATTTCTATACCATATTCATGGTATATATGAGTAACCTCTGACTTGTCATCAGCCGATTGAAAGGGTGACTATTTCAGCTACCAGTCCTTTACCATGCTCAAGCACGGGGTTGCGGAAGAGATACTAAATACTACCTCAGAGCATTTCCGAACATGGCCTGGACCTCGGTTGGCGTCAAATCCATGTTTGAAAGGATACCGCATCCATCGCTACATTGCGCAGGAAGCCTCCATGAAGCGCTAGTGTGATATTGCAGCGCCAACGGACAGCAATAGCTGTCGCCGATGACCTGCTTCAAGACTGTATTTACATGGTTTGTAGGCTATCTCAGATATCACACCTAAATAGCAACCCTGTATTGTAAATTGTGCAATGCGTGGGCCTCACACAGATAAAACTCCATTAAAAGATGTTACTATCAAATAACAAAGAATCCCAAAACATGTCCGGTTCCTGGGCAACGACGGGTAACGGTTGGATGAGGTTTAACTGGTCTAGCCAGTATGTCTCGCCGAAGCTATCGGGTATGACAGAAAGCTCAGGTGCTAACAGATCGAGCCCTTCCGGCCCACTAGAAGAGGATGGGGCCGATTGGACGTCTTTCATTGACATGCTATTCCGATGGCTCAATTCTTGGCGGAGACTCTGTAGTTCAAACCGAGGAGACATAGCTGAGGATGTCGGTGTGGCAGAAGTGTGGGTAGGGGAGTGACAGGCTTCCTTCAACTTGTCATAACATCGCTGAACAATGCCAAGTCCTGACCTAGCAACTGAGTTGTAGGGCTGTACGTGGGATAAACGATCGATTGCTTGCTGGAGAACATGGTGGATGTATTGTCTCGGTTCGTGACCGTGCGGCGGGTACGATGCCACGATGACAGAAAGTAAAATAGATGCGTCGATAGTGTAGAATGCAAGTCCAAACAAGGGGTAGTGATGTTCACTTGTTTGCCCGAAGAATCGCTGTTGTGATTCTAACGTTGCCAGTGCCGCTTCCAATGCAGCCTTTCGGCTTTGTGCACTAGCAAGGATATGTGGTCGATGCAACGTCATCAAAAACATGTTTGCTGTCATGAAAACCTCTTCACGAAGCTGAGGCAGAAAGGAGTGTTCTCCATCCCAAGAAGTATCGGGACTTTTAAATCTGAGATATGGCGGCACATTATCTAGCAACGATATCACTTGTTCGTGCAAGCCCTGGATAATATGATGGTCCTTTAAATGGGGCCTATCTGCTTTCAGTGCCCTCATCTCATGAAACTTGCAGGCTAATGCGTATCGAAATAAACCCGCTGATACTGTGGTTGGCCCATTTGGAGACTCACCCGGCTGTACCGTCATTGGCACTGTCTTCGAGGGATCCCTGGGGATGTTACAGTCGATTGGCAGTTTCGCATCGCAGTCGTCCGGGTGGATGGTTCGTGGGCGGCCAAGGATCATAGCCATGAGACTTGAGATTAGTTAATTAGGAACGTATCATCCATCCTGCTGTTTTTCTTACCTATCCCAAACAAACAAGTTCATCCAAACACGCTTTTTGAAATCATCATACCATATCAAGCTCAGTGTCTGTTCAATTCCATCTGGGCTTGATTGGTGAATGTCATGTTGCCGGTGCAAACTAAGCTCCTGCGCTTGCCTTGATCATATCAACTATCAGCTATCGATCCGGGAACACGAAGGCGCCAAGTAGACTTACCTGATGGCATTTCCTGCACTATGCCATGCTTCAATACCCCTTCCAAAATTCTTGAGCCAAGTCGCGCGCACAAAGTCTGCTAAGACAGCGGTGAGTGCTACACCATGTCTACCCAAAACTGTTACAAGCTCATCCCCTAATTCACTGTACTTGTATGATGAGGAAAGCTCTGGCGATGACAGCTGGGTCAGAGTGAGCGCCTCGGGTGGCAGAAATTGGAGTGAAAGGGCAACCACCTGGAATAGGAGAGCTGGGAAGTATTGTAACTCAATCGATAGCTCTTGGGTGCTAAGATAATTAACCGGGCGCGTTTCGGTGGATTGCCAACGGGTGAAGAGGTCATCAAAGTAGAATCTTTCGAGTATGAAGTAATGCCAATTTACCTCGGAGAAGAATATATCAACCAGTTGTTGCAGTACTGATTTCGAAGGTAGCTGTGATATCAGTGTGCGAGCATGTGTTTTCCAAACAGGTGAACGGAACGGACGGTTATGAGCAGATGTAATTTGCTGAAACTCATCCTCGTCTTGTAGCACCTATCGTTGATTAGCGGCGACTCCCAACCATTGATCTGTATTCTTTGGAGACGGACTCTCTTCAATCCCACAAAAGCGTTACTCCCAGCAACCAAGGAGTATCCGAGGCCTCCCGAGCCTTGAGTATCGTCGGCTGGAACCACCGGCACACGATCCTGGCTGGGCTCTGGGCCCAACACTTCTGGTGGTTCGGTTATCTGGCCAGAACTACGCACGAAATTAGAATAACGGTGCTTTGTGATAGCCACTGACGCAAGCGCACATACCTTTGGAGCGCATTGTACACACACTTCCTGGCGACATTTCGCGCCAAGCAATTGTTACATGGGGATTGCCGATCACACTGACTGAATTAGTTAAATCAGAGTTAGAGAGTATTGGGGATCAACCTTTGGTATACCTTTTGTTTCCTGCGATGGCACTCGGAACATGAAGTGATGATCCGCTTACGCTTTAACGGTAGATGGGTATCAGTCGCGTACATGTCGAATACAGTGGGGCGCCAAACGCCGAATTAGATCTAGTATGAAATCAGACGGTACGAGAAAGTTTTGCCCAGCCGTAAGTATTGTTAATTTGCCTTTCAGTGAAAGTTTCTACAGAGTTAGTCTTGTCATGTCGCTTCCCAAGTATAACTAGAGTAGCGAGCTAGCTTTGTAATCGCATTGAAATATTGTTGTTGGTTCGGGACGGAGTAATATCCCGGAAGTGATCATTGTTATGCAGATCTGGCGTGTGCTAATATATAAAATTATGCAGCTTAATAATACAATGCAGCCTCGCTGACCCATGAACACTGTACATTGCATTACTCCGTACAAGTAACGCGTAAAAATTACTGACAATATGTAAGGACACCAGCTGCGTATAATGTGCATTGCGTGGCCAATATCTTTATGGGAGAATATATTTTAGTAGATATCCTTGGTAGGTGATGATACGAGAGAAACAGGGTGCATACAAGTACATGATTGTATGTACACGATTACACGTGGACAAGGCTGTAACCAGACAGAAAAGGCGGTGGCTTGCCTATTTGGGACTCTCATTAGTAGCAACCTAATGGAAATCTTTCCTGTTACCTACCTCACCCTCTGCTCATATACTTAGTATTCTTATCCAACCTTCCCCGCAGTCACCCTGTTATCCCAGGCTTCCACTCCCTCTTGGACTGCATTAGTGCACGCTCCACACCATCACTCCGTCGACCATGCCCCGCAAAGAGTTCCAGAGGGACCTCATTCAAGCTTCAGTGCCAGGGCGATTTCCCCACCTGAAAGGTGTAAGAGCGGGGGAAGAGCATGGCTTGGTCCTGTTTACCTACACGGCACCCTTCAGCGCTCAGACGATTGATTTTCAGACATCGGTATTAGGTATGAGCCTTTGCCCTTCTCCTCAATCCACCGACTGCTGCTAAATGACATGTGGCAGACACTAATGACTATCCCGGTGATCATACATACTTTACATTCGCAGCGAGCGATAACATTCCCGATGATGTGTCCAAGGCTATTGAACGTTTGCAACCCACTTTTGCCGGGTTAGCGATTGAGCCTTTTCTGGAATGTATCAGCGACTGCATAGATGATGCTTTGCTTGGGATAGACTCTGCGTTGGATCCTCTTCATGAGGGTGACTCTGAAAGTGATATTTTCTCTGGTGATGATATGGACTTCGATATTGACTCTACCGCCCAATTTACGCCGTCGATAGACAAGGCCGAGGTGATGAAGCAAATACGCTCAGACATGAGTGCTGTAAAAAAGGCCGGTTATCGAGTTGGCTTCCTCGGGGAACTAACTGGATCTCTCATCGTCTCGATCTCCTGTCGAATAGCGAAGCTTGGTATTTCCAAAGTCGCCATGCAGGCTTGGAATGTCCGTCCATCGCAGTATCTGGTTTTGCTTCTGCGATATCCCTTTGGTTACTGCAACCTCGACAAGGCAATTTCCAGGTCCATGCCGAAGACATCATTAATTCAGATGAACGTTGGTCTTTGCAATTCCTACAAGCCTAGCTTGTCCTCTGCTACGCAAGCTTTCGTTGCGACAGAGACCGAAATCCCAGAAAATACCAAGAAGGCGGGTCCAGATATGCAGTCGTTCTTCATTGGCGACTCATTGCATACGCTTCTCAATACACACTTGATAAACTTAGTACGGCATCGTATCCATCATTGTTTCACGTGGACCGGTGCCGAACTTTACTTGAAGAATAGCCAAGGCAGGCTCCCAGATTCTGAAGAGGTGGCACGCGAAGTGTACTTCGTTCCAGAAGCTTGGAACGATACGACTCCACAGTTCCTGCGAGCAGATCATATCTCTGAAGAAAAGCCTCCACTATCCCTTCCTCTGATTGCAATACAATTCACCCTTCGGAGGTTTGTTAAGTGCACCGAGTTCTGCCTCAATTGTTATTGCAAGGTCGATGAAGGCTTCGAGGCACTTATGCCCTATGTTTGCTCAAACAGCTTGTGTCTGTACCAGTACATGAGGCTTGGTATGGGGCCTAGTCTGGAGTGGGAGATAATATCCCAGCCTTTTGTCGTGGATATGCTTGTCAGTTTTACCTATGCTCGAGCAATGACTGGCTACCTGGAAAACTTACCCACGGGTCTTGGAATGAATGTCCCTACATATTATCGCGATGAAAACGACCAAATGATTTACCATGGACGGCTCAACAAAACTACAATGCAGATTGACGTCCATGATACGCTGGATTTGAGACCGGGTGATTGGATTGCGATTGTACCCTCCGGTGCACATATTCGCTATGGAAGGCCTCAGTGGCACTGTCGCGTGCAGGACGCCAATTTCCCCCCTTTTATTCAGCTTTCACGTCCAGTTAGTAGAGAAATACCGGCTGAACATGGTAATAATTTCAAAGAGAGCAACATGGTACAATTTGTGACATACAAAGGATGCTTCGACGATTTGCCTGACAGTACAAAATGCGATGCGATAGTGATGCTTCTAGATACGCTTCCCGACGTTAACTCAATGCGGTCATTTATTTTGAGCCACCCTAGCGGCAATTTCAAAAGGATGTTGGCTTCGTGGAGCGATAGAATATCTCCAGCTGCTCTTTATGTTCTTAGATGGATTGTTGCATCAAACCGATCGTGTATCAGGTACGAGGACGATCCTGAACACCAAATCCCGGACTTGAAAGGATATGCCCAGTTCAGGCTCGCGCAAGGTGCACCTGATAAGGAGCAGCGTTTTGTCAGCGCAGTTAAGTCACTTTCTTCCTCCCATAACGCAGAGTACCCAACGCTATTTGCTTGGCATGGAAGCCCAGTATACAACTGGCATAGCATTCTACGCGAAGGACTCCATTTCAAAACGATCGCGAATGGTCGTAGTTCGGGACACGGAGTTTATATGTCGCCACGATTTCAACATTCATTGGAATATGCCCATCAGGTGGCTACACCTTGGCGCAATAGCATCCTGAAGATCGACAGAGCCCTGTCGCTGAATGAAGTAGTCAATGTCCCCGAGCAATTCGTGCACAACAGCAGCTACTATGTGGTAGACAGACTGGATTGGATTCAACCCAGGTATCTCATCATTGGGCATAGGAGTACTTCTCTGAAGACGGACAGCGTGGGACTAGAACCATCAATTACCTATACTCAGCACCCTGAGTATGAGGCCTGTGGCCCCAATGATCAAGCTCTGATGCTCCCTATTTCTGCTGTTAGCAGTCATTGGAGTCAGAAGTATGCCGAAGAAACAACAGGAAGTACACGTGAAGGCCAGCTTTCACATGATGTGGTGCTAGTCTCCGATGATGACCACGACAGTGTCCTTACAGTGGCTGATGATCACTGGCTGCTCGACGCAGACACTATAACTAGCACCGATACTCACGAGGCCGCGAATGAGGCCAACTATGATCTGTCCAAAACTGACTTTCGACCCGGAAGTCTGGAGGAGTCTGCTCTTCAGCTACTTGGCCCACCGAAGTATGCCACAATGGTAGCGACCAAGTCTCTGCAGAGGCATCTTCAGGCCACATTGAAAGTGCAAGAACGGGAGCCCTTGCATGCACTCGGCTGGTATATTGATCCAAGTCTCGTGAACAACGTTTATCAGTGGATTGTGCAGCTACACAGCTTCGAACCGTCCCTGCCGCTGGCCAAGGATCTGAAGGCGGCGGGTTTGACAGCCATTGTCATGGAGTTGCGGTTTCCACCTCAGTTCCCAATGTCACCCCCCTTTGTGCGCATTATTCGCCCGCGATTTCTACCGTTTAGCCAGGGAGGTGGGGGCCATGTTACGGCTGGGGGGGCGATGTGCATGGAGCTGCTGACCAGCTCAGGCTGGTCCCCTGTATCCAGCATTGAAAGTGTCTTGCTGCAGGTCCGCATGGCTCTGACCAGCAGAGATCCAGTACCGGCTCGCCTCGACCAACGGAGTACTCAGGATTATTCTGTTGGCGAAGCTGTGGCTGCATATACGAGAGTTTGTCAATTGCATGGGTGGGACGTTCCTGACGACCTCGGGCAAGTCTCATGGTAAGTGTAATGGGCTTGTGCGAGATATTTTACAGTGTTACGTGCAAATCGCCTTTCACGCGACATTAGAAAGCAGAGTGTGGAACCTAGCAACGTCTTTGCCAATCCAGATCACTACATATCAATTGGGGGACTGGTCCCACTTTCTTCATCTTGTGCCTCAGCTTCTTGTCTAGTTGTCCTTCTTCTGATCTTAAACTAGTCAAACGCCATAGTTCAAAACGTATGAGAGATGCCGCAAACGAACTATATGCTTTTGAAACCTGCTTTTTGAGTCCCAGCTTCACGGGCTTCAAGTAATGATACGTGTCCTATACATCAATGAATAGGGTGGTTGATGATTGCGGGGAAACAAAGCAACGTTACAGGTACAAAGAGTGCTAAGAGTGCAGGTACATCGTGGTACATCGTGATTGCCTAATCGGCATTGGACTCTTTGTCACTCGATCTCCCACTTCTCCAATTTCCGTCTTTCACTTTACTTACCTTCAACTCTCGCTTTGCCTGCATTGAAATCTCCTTGAACTCTCACTTCTGTCTTCTGACTTGTGTTCACAAGGTACGCTTGGATGATGTCGCCATGATCTCTATGACATTACCTTGACATTACCCTGACATGTGCACAACCTGCTTATAATAACCCCCCCCTCCTTCTTCCCCTCACCATTTATCTCAAATCTCCTCTACCTCATCTTACCTTAAGCTCTTGCAAATTAACCTGTACACATTTCAAAATGGCAGAATCCATCATGCATTTCAATGCTTCCCTCTTCTCTCAATATCCTGATTTTCTTGATCACTTGACAAGGAGCATCGGGGACGCAAAGCCTGATCTTTTTCTCCTGTACGAAGGTCTACAGCCTACCTGGGTTGAAAGTGCATGGAGTTTTCTCGAGACTCAGCACGAGGGTCTATCTATAAGGTAAGTTAAAACAGTTTTCCTGGCGATAAACAGTATGTCATTACTTAATTACTATTCCTGGTTTAGAAAGACTTTTAACTCCAAAGTCGGTGTTTTTACTCTCCACCTTATGCCTGCTTATTTACACGACTCGATACAACCATGGCACGCACAGTGCCAAATGGATTGGTATCTCAATGGCATGATAACATTAGATGAGAGTCTAGATCTTCATGCGTATACCGGTACAAGTATGATTCGAACACTACCTCCCCAGATAAAAACTGAAAACTGATTTTGGTAGCTCTGAAATTCCGTGAAGGACCATACTGTGGAAGTAGAAAAGAACCAGACGTTTTTATTCAGTCCATCTTCGTCAAGATACCCACGCTTGTTATGGAGTGTGGTTGGTGGGAGTCTAGTCCCGCACTCGAAAATGACGTGAATCTTCTCTTGGTAGGTGGCAATGAAGCGGTCAAGCGAGTATTCATTGTCAAATGGACAAAACATCCGGACGACTATCATGTTAGTGGTTTTATTAAAGTCTTTAAACTTGATCGCAACGGAATGCCAATACAAGAAGGACCAATACATGTGGGTGTTATTCGAGTCCTGAGACATTGATATCTATAGCTTCAGGACTAACTCTGCATAGACCATCTTTCCAGCGCCCTCCAACTCCCAAGATCAACGCATCAGCATCCGCCGAAAGGACTTCTTCGCTGGAAGCCCATACGCTAACATAAACCCAAATGGCATGCTGGACTACCCCATCGATCCCTTGCGCAAAATCGCCGCGCTTAACCTAGACCGCATGGGGCTTACCCCAAGCACTTAATGTTTCTTCATGCAAAAGCATGTCTGAATTAGTTACGGAGTCGAAATCAGTTCTGACACATGACAATGAACTGTGAGCATATTTGACTTGGATGTGGCTTAAGGAAGGTTGGGTATGGGACCGTCAGAGGGCACATAGAACTCGAGCTAGTGGGAAGATGATGCGACCTGCACGCCGCAGTGGAGTGGCCCTTGAAGAGAATGGGAATCGGGTACTAGAAACGTTGCCAGTAAAGAAAGCTGCGAATGGTCTGACGACGTGGGATTAGACATTGGCGGATCGCATGGATATGGAGTTAGTCTGTCGACAAGTTCGATGGACATTATTGTGATCATTATTTCCGGAAAGACCTTATTCGGATTTGAAATATTCCTAATATGATATCCTTAATCGCCTATGTGGATAGATAATCCAAGAAATGTAGCTACTCAGCATCATTGTTGTCTTGTTGCAGCCTAAGGCAAGTGACCATCTATCTGCCTTAGGCACTTAAGAGGATGGCGCCTCCAGGAACATCAACAAGGATAACTTTCTCGATATGAGACTTGATACTCCCTTCTCCCCATTGCAACTGTTCTTCTAAGCTTGATGTCCTCCTTGGACTAACATCAATTTCCCTCTTCCACTCCCTAGTTCCCGTCAATTGATCGACTCATCTTTGGGCTTCCATGCAGCAGGCCCACCACGTCAGACTCACTAAAGACGAGCCAGCCCTGCGGGGAAGTCCAACCTCTTACTCTTCACCGCAAAAGTAGTTCCGGTGTTTTCCCAGTTCTCTGTCCTTATGCACCGTTCCTGGTTGTCTTCTCGATCTTTCTCGATTCTTTTGTGCGGCCTAGCCTTATCTATCCATCATTCATTCATTCTCGATTCTTATTTCTTTTTTTAGATCGTCCTCGCGACGGGATGTCGCATGCCCCTCAACCGGTTTTTTCCTGGAGTGACTCAAACGCCGTGTGATTGCCATTCGACCAGTGAGACGCGCATTCCTGGACGCACTCTTAAGCGCCAGACGAGACTACCTACTACTCGAGGGTTACTGCCTACATAACACAGCCCATTGATCGGCTTCGGATCGATCAATCACCTGAGCGATCGCCAACCTTCCGCTTGTGACACACTTCCGAGAGGCCTTCAGAGAGTTAACTTCTCAGCCTCTTATTCCTTTCTATTTTGATTTAATCTACGAGGTAACTAGACGATTAGTGGGGAAGAAAGACTGCAGGGGGAGAAAAGTGGTTCGATTTTTTTTTAAGGAAAAAGAATATCACAACGACACTACTTGTGGCTTTCCACCAATTCCCTTCCCCCCCTCCACCTCACTCGAGCCCATTTATCCCACGTCATGTTTCTACCCATCAGACTAAATGACCGAGATCGCGACAGGGACCGAGAGCGCAAAGTGTCGTCGTCCTCCACCGTTTCTTCCAAAACAAAATCCAAACCTCGCTCGTCCCACGGTCGGTCCAACCGCTCTTCAACCAAGGAACACGATCGAGACGCCCCGACGGGCCGCTCCTCGACCCCTACGACCACCAGCTCCCGCCAACAACGTCGGTCCTCCATGCCGGGCGTCGACAGTGCCAGCCGTCCTGTCACGGCTTCCTTCCTCGAGTCGAGGACCAGCTTGCCGTATCCTACTTTCTCCAAAGCCCATAGTCGAGAATCTGTGGTCCAACCGGATCTTCCTACCCCAGACCCGACCGATCTAACCGAAGAAAATAAAGACGGGGGGAAGCGACATAGTCAACGCCGCACCGATAACCATCATGCACCGCCTAGCCCACCGCTGACCAGTGTCGATCAGAACTCACGCAAAGGAAGCACGGTCGGAGACAAAGAAGATAAAGAGAAACCGAAAGATGGGAAGGCCAAGATTCGGATCAGAGCCGAATCGACCAGGTCGTCGTCAAGTCTGCGGTCGAAAAGGGATGATGAGTCTAGGACAAGTAAGACGATGCGTGCAGACACTCCATCCTCCAAAACGAAAAGGTCTAGTCATGATAAGGACATTCCCGCCCGGACAGCGAGTCGCAACTCTACAAAATCACGAGTTGTCGAAGAAGCCGCACTACCCAAACGATCCTCGTCTAGTCGTGCTGCTCCGGTAGTGTCTCCCCCTCGATCCCCCGCGACCGTTCGCGACGTTGGCTCCGAATCGGCAAACGGGTCCGATGCGACTATTGCTGCACAACAGCAGTCGTCTTCTCGCAAGCCGAAGAGTCCAGAGAAACCGCCTTCTCGGAACCAGACACGGTCGTCTGTGTCCCATCGGCCCAGTAGTCGCACTTCTGCGGACTTCGCGTTTGAGTATGGTCGCCCTCCCACGTCGAACTCGGGCTATGGCACCCCTCCCCCGCCGCCTCCCCCGCCAGAGATGCCAGTTACCATCCCTCGAGTTGACTACCTGCTGCAGAATGGTGGCCTTGACCATCGAGTACCAAAGGCCCTCCTGCTCGCTGCCGGTACACCGGAGCAACCATCTTACCAACCGTTCCAGCCTCAGCTTGCAGCGTCCAAGATCTTTGACCCATTCAGCCGTATACTGGAGGATTATCACAAAGTGATGGCTAAGAATGGTTCGCTGGCAGTTGCGACAGGATACCGATCGGTCGCACGTCGCCTGCTTGACCGACTTGAAGCAGTCTTTGCCCGTGACATCTCGTCAGAATCATGTAATTGCTTGATGTGTGTTCATGAGGAGCTCGAGCCTGAAGAGCATCCGTCAGGGGTCAGCTGGGGTGAGGTGCTGGAGTTGGTGTCCGGCCGCCAAGAGCTACCCAATTGGCCACCCTTCATGCTATCACTGTCAGTCAACGATGCGGACATGTCGGGTGATGAACACATTCCCATGCAGAAGATGGACATTGACATTCCAGAGGAATACCGAGAACATTTCATGCGACAGTCGCGCAAGACGAAAGTGACCGTCGACAAATGGCTTAGTGAGCAAGTAAGCCAGGCCACCAATGCACCGGATGAGGTAGATGATGAAACCCTCACGTTCGCTATCCTGACACACCTTGGGCCTGAACAACGTCCTCTATTCCGCGCGCTGCTGGGCATTCCGGCTGGCTCTCCTACGCCTCAACCAGACGGAAAGCGTCCGCCACGGCCCCCGGCATTAATTTCGTCATCTCTGGCTATACAACGTCTCTATCGACTGCCATCCCCGCCCCGGGACCCGGAGGCTGCCATCTACATGTTAAACCATCCAGAACTTCACCATGTACTTGCGACACTCGCGGCTATTAGTGATGACGAATGGGATATTCTGATCTCAGGTAGATTTGATGGATTCCTCCGCAGTGGTGCAGAGGATTCCTTTACGGGGTCCACGCCGCAACGATGGAGCAGCAGCCGATCAAATACTCCTTTCACAACTGGTGGCATTTCTCGAGGGCCGACGCCCAGTCAGATGGAGCCCAATTCCCGACCAGCCAGCCAGTCGTACGGTAGGGTTTCATCGCCAGCAAACTTTGGAGGCCCCATCGCCTTGGATGAGGAGATGGAAATTGCAGCGTTAGCCGAGATCGAGCGTGACATCTATCTCGGGATGGAGGCTCTAGAGGACGCCTTCGAGGCACTCCATTGCAAAGCCGAGGTCGTCCGTCGAGCACTTCGAGAACGTGGTGCCGGCTTGTCTGTAGCCAACCAGCAACGCCGCGGGTCATATGTCGAGGCTCGCTTGGGCACTCCAGCATCCGGGCTCGGCACATGGGAAGACAGCACCGAAGACGACGGTTTGGATGATGACCGGTCCCTGGCCCCCGATGACTCGGCCAGCAACATCAGCTCCAACCGCAGAAGGCGACCCAAGCGCCGCACCGAACGACGGACCCCAGCACCAGTCGAAGAGGAAGACGAAGAACAAGACACATACGACAGCCGACGAGATCGAGGCTCCAAAAGGAGATGATCTTGAAACCAGGAAAAAAAAAAAAAAAAAAAACTACCCATTTCCTCTTTTGGAGCTCACCAATAATCTTGTTACAACCCATTGCATGATATTTCTTTCAATCTTCATTAAATACTTCCAGCGTTACGACCTTGATGAGCCATAGTTGAGCCACGAATCCACGAAACGTGATGAAATGAATTGAAACCCAGCTCATGAGAATTTCCTGATACTATTGAATGACTACGTGTGTAAGTCGCAGTACAGATCCATTCGTTGATTGTATGTACATTGGTACAGATTGACATGATTCTTAATGCTACTGTATTCTACTTTACCCCTTCCATCACCAGCACCGCATATTAGTACTAGATAGCACCTAGCAAAGATAGAATATCTTCAGGAGACCAGCAATCAATAGACCAAACCAACACAACAAAATCCCAAACTTGAGATACACATCAAATCGCACATCACAATTAAACACCAGGGAATCAAGACATTCCCCCGAGACATCTCCTTTAGCACACGATAGTAAACCACAACTTATCCACCCGATCCCAAATCCCAGTCATCCAGTTCCCACATGAATACCTACCTTTTTTCACCTTAGCCCCAAGTATGACGAAAGGGAAAGACCCCATATTCCGATACATGCAGGTCAATCCACATAGCCTACATTGCAACCTACCTCAAGCAACAGAAGCAACGGGAAAAAAGGACCAGAAACACATAAACAAAGCACGTTCCCGAAGGTGGCCCCTATGGTCCAATTCCAAATCCCCAATCATCGTATCCCATGTCCCCACCCACAACACATGGGCTACACGCTAGACTGAAAGAGTAAGGCAACCCATTGCTTTGTTCTGCAGAGTTGGAGAAGTAGACGATCCGTCGATTAGATTGTCTATCAGGATTTTCCATGACTCCAAAATGAGTTCCACAAGACGAGGAAATTTGGATCGACGGTGCTGGGGTCTGGACTATGGGTTTCGCTGGGTTATATGTTATCATGAGTATTGAGTACATTCAGAGTGGGTGCTTGATGGATGGGGCAAAGAGGGGATGAGTTTTTTTTTTTTTTTTTTTTTGCCTCTCTCTGAGATGTGTGTTTGATATTGAGCTTGGGTGGATGTTGCCAAGACGGGGTGAGTCCTTTTCTCCCCAAGTTTATCGTTGTTGGGTGAGTAGGTGTTGTGATTGGTAGGCTGGTTGTGCTTAAGGTAGCATTCTGAACGCAGGAGGAAAATAGTTTCTTGGGAGATACTGCCTAGCAGATCCATGGCGTAAGGCTAAATTATTTATTGTCTAAATTAGGAGATCCGTGTTCGAGGCTCTTCTGGAGTATAATATACTTAGTTTTGAACTATTGGAGTTATTTCTGGGGTTGCATTTTGCACAGGGATTTGGATAATTTGTGGATGCTTCTTGTTTTTGTTAGTAATCTTTATGCGTTCTATGCAGTTTAGGTGGTTGATATGTGAGGTGTAGTTTGTTGAACGCCTTGATACCTTGCTTTGGTATGTCAGAGCTCTTGGGTCTCCCCTTCGCTACCTTGATCTTGTTCATTCCGATGCGGTATGTGCCGTCTGGAACCATGGTTCGTGGGCGAACTGCAACAAAGCATGAAGGTATTTACGGCAAGGGAGCTGAAAATTTTGCAAGTGCCACGCGCTATAACCGGGTTTCCACCCGTTCCCGTCATTCTACTCTTATACTGGATATCGGTAAGCCTGTCTTTCATTATAGTATCGGACTCAATATGAAGAGCTTCACAACTTCTGGTCGTTGGGCACAATCTCGAGTTCGGATCTGGTAAAATCTCGGTAGGAAAGATTCCGAGAACTTGGGATGGTGAGATAGGGGGTGCGAGATCTGGAAGTTTATCTCCTCGTTGGAGTGAGCTGGTGAGTGCAAACCATTAAACCACAAAGTAGGGAAATTTTCCCACTGTGGAGATCTGAACCAGAATTTTGTCAACCCAATCAAAATCATTGAAAGCCAATAGAGTCTATCCCCCAGATGCAGTAGTGGATATGGAGGTGCACGTGCAACGCATCGAGGAGGGTCTCGGAAGGATGAGAGGGATATCCAATGAATTTGTTCATAATATCAAAGGAATGTGATCAATCATCAGGTCACGATCCCTGCGCTGATCAGTCGCTGCTTGGTGCGTTTCAGTGGACACTTCCATGAAATTCATCTGACCCATCGAGAAAAAGTCAACGGACGGCCACAGACCTTGTTCAGCGCGGGTCAAAAGGTACTGCACCCATGGGAACAAGCATGCGCAATGCTAATGCAGACGGCAGGTCGTGAGTGGGTATCGGCAGAAGAACTTTCTTCTCCCATGGCTATTGGGTGGAGGAGAGGACATGACACATATACACATATATACTTTGTACCAATCATTTGGAACCGCTTCCCGGTGGAACCGTGGAAGTCCATGGAATGGAGACCGGAAGTTTGGGACCGGGAGAGATCGAGGGGGTGAAATTGAGGTAACGCCAAGACTGGATGGATCCATAGGCAGATACTCAGGGGCTGGCCTCAACCCGAAACTAAAGCTCACTAGAAGCGCAATAATTCCCTCAAATCCAGGGTACGGATGTCGGGTCACGCCCGAGGATACTACATCAAGACTTGGCATAGTAGAAAGTTGTTGTTTTCTTGCATACAGCCGTATTGGTGAATGCGTGAGTTATGCCCGTTGATATAAGGAACCGCGGTTGCTGCGACGGTACTCCGTAACGCTGCGTATCGGCAGGGACGATCCAGTTTTGGCTGTTAGAGTCTTCAATTAGACTGGGACTACCGGATTCTTTCCGGTTGACTCCGACCAATACCAGCCAGCATTAGGATAGCCCACCTTGTTTCTCAATGCGCGAAGCTGCCGAATTGCCGGATCGACAAGATATCAGAACGAATGAGTGAAAACCCTTGACTACACCGACTCGAGTGGGTGATCAACCAGCGACTCGGTGTGGTCCCTGACGAAAATCGTCATGTACCTGAAAGTACGGAGTATGTATTTGGTCTCCATTTGAATTGGACGCCGGTGCGCTGACAGGACGCTGAATCATTATCGTACGGGCTCGCTCGACCCATAGCATGAGTAGGAGATGCTTGAATTTTATTTGAAGAAGATCTAGCGTTCCAAAGCAGCTCCAGTAGTCCCATTTGCTTGCTACAGCCGCATTTTTCAGCCAAGAGAAGATGTACCTACGGAGTACAGCTAACTCAATACGCTTGTGAACTGGGCTTTTGACGTCCCACTCCCTCACGTGGAACAAAGTTTGGTGTAAGATTATGACAACCTCGCAAAGATAACCGTATTCTTCACATATAGTATGCGAACGGGCACATTGGCATCCACATCCCTTGCATCTGGCAATGATAGAATGCTTATTTCGGAGGGCAAGGTTTGCCCAGAGCTCTAGTCCATCATAGTGTAAGTCTCGATCTACTCATCCATAGAACGGTCTTCTTAGAGCCATGATGTTCACCTGTGGAGAAATAAAGTACGTAGAAAATAAAGTCTTGTTCCTCGTGTATCCACGTGAAGTATATCCTGAATGTGTGTCGCCATTATCGTGCGGTCAATTGAATGAGATCGGCGGCGAGTGAACTGAAAAAGGAAAAGCTGCCCATTCTCGGTATAAGCTACTTTTAAAGCTGAAGAAATCTCTCGAAAGATGGCTGATCGATGGCGTCTGTGGCTGTAGAATTGACGTTCCAGAAGCAAGTATTTAGGTTCATTTCAGGGAGCTATAAGATTTAGCTCGGGAAAGATCAACCGTATTCTCAACTCGCGGGACCGCGGTGGTGGACAGCAAGCAACCATTGTTGGTGATCTTTGATGAGAATTTCCAATCAACACTCAAAGCATTATAACGCAAATCCTGCGTGCCACGGTATCTCGGCGAAAAAATGACAAAGTACCGAGGCTCAGGCTAGTCATCCGTAAACACGCAGGGTCTATGCGCGATCGGCTGGCTCGTATCGGTAAGGAGTTGCTCTCCTTTCTGGTAACAACGATGAGCTGCATGCGGCCATGTGGCAGCCATAGCTTCCAAGTTGAGCGTTGCGGTTCACGGAGACGATACTCTAAAATGACACCCCGCCCGGTGGGAGACGGTTTAGGTTTTGAAGTAGCACTTGTCCGCAGTAGTAAATACATTAGCCAAAGTCAAATGAATGTCATGGAGAATTAGTAATGATTAAATGACGACTACGAAGTACGGTAGGTGCCCCATACCTTACTCCGTAGCACCTATCACAGAGAGTGAAGTATCCACAAGAACGACAGTGAGGCTGTACCGGAAGGTACTGATGGAGAGTCTTGAAAATTAATGTCATCCAGATTCTATTGATCTGGAGTTTTAAGTATGCCTGTGATGATCATTTGGTAAAAAGTTTATATGGCAAATTGAACCCACATGGAGTTTGCATATGCATTAGACTATGAAAAATGATGAGGAAGGCGAAAAGGAGAGTCACAGGGTACTAAACCTAGAAGGGAAAGTTATGATCGAAAAGGATCAAAAAGACCAGAAGCCAGTTCTGGTGCTTCCGTGCCCAATCTGGAAATGGAACCGAAAAGCCTAGAAACACATTAGGCCTATTTGAGAATAGTCTCATGTCATGCGGCAATTGGATGGGTCACGTTCCCGTTCATGTTAATGGTTAACAAGCAGGACTAAGCATCAACAAGCAATTTGGGACTCAACTTCGACCTGTGCCAATCCGTGGCTAATGGGGGGGGCAGGCCTTTACTTTCCATTGTCATCCCTATACCATTCACGTGCTCATTCATCCTCATTACACTTAAAATATGAAGGCCTAATTCGTCTGATTGTTGAGTTCTTATGGAACAGAGTGCTGTCCAAATGGTTTTCAAACTATGAGCCATCACATGCAGCCTCATTATTGGGGTTTTTTTCTCCCACGCTATCGTTCAATAGGAGATCGTTGCATTTTAAGATTATGCCATGTCGTCTAGAGCCAACAGATATCAACAGGCGATCATCTGCTGCAGGGATGGATTGTTACTATTGTATGCACTACAGTATACTAGTACGGACAGTGTCTAGAGCGTGGCTAATTCTTACCGGAGTAGAGTCTGTAGCGGGAAGTGGGCTAGGTACACCAATCAATTACCCGGCAATTCTGGCTCCTTGCCATGGACAACCGCTGCTCCCATGTCAATCACGCATTAGTATCGTTGAAGTTGAATTGCAGTTTCGCAACAATTGCCCGCAAGCTTTTGACTGTCGATAAGATCTGCCCAGAAATTTAGTCGGTGTGCGCCCGCTCGGACAACACCGAGCCGCACCTAGACGTAATATCCAATAGTTCTCACTGATTGCCTATTGAAGCAAAAGAGGCTTATATTTGGGAGGGCGAGTGGGCAAAGACAAGAAGAAAAACACAAGACGAGAAAACGTCAACTTCGTATTTCTTCTCTTCTTTTTCTCCCTTCTCAAGTTTTTATTACACAAGCACACGGAATGAATGATACCTGATTACAGAGCAATGCTCCATTTCTTTGTGGATCTCCGGTATTTATTACCCACAACGATCGACGTAGCGGGTCTTGAGAGTCTCGAGACGGTTGGATTTCTGGAATTGTCTCCCTCCCTTCAGTCTCGGCAACACTAATGCAATTTTGTTTAGGGGTTCTCCTCTTTCGTTCCACGGAGAAGGAAGTCTTATCTCCCGGTCACTAAGAAAGGAGCGAGATGTTCATTATGCTTGACTTGGGAAACTTTGCGGGGTTTCCTGCGGCGGTTCAATCTTATTCTTGCTAATTTCCAGCTTTAACGCACTACGTATGCGCCTAATGTCCAATCCGGTGTCTGTGTGTCTGCCACGGAGGAACGGTGGCAAAGTTGAACTACTCCTGTTTGAGATTTTCCGTGCAATAATATCCTTCTGCCTGTGGTCGGTAGAAGTCCACTTATGCCACAATGGGCCCAACTCAGCCCCTGCAGCTGCGGCGAACTGCAGACGACGGCTGTTTGGAACCTATCTGGTACAACGGTTACCATTTTTGCTCTTCTTCTCAATGGGTAACCTAACCCCGTAAGCTCGTGGGAAGGTTATCTAACGTCGAATTACGAGAGCCAAGAAATTTTACTACGTATATCCTTGAGCCTTCCCCCGCAACCCGAAATCACATTCGTGGCCTTACTTCTCTTGGCATGGAACCTCTCGTGTCTAGAGTTTTCAGGAACCACCACCTCCAGGCCCAGCAGTCCATTAGGTTTTTTTTTTACTTCATATTTGATCGTCCGGAAGGTTGCCCCTGTAATGGCGTTCCAAGTTCAGTCAGTAAACTTACTACTCCTTAGTCCGCTCAGTCCTGTGGAGTCAGTCCCTTTCATAAGGGAATTGTTGGTCGAGGCGGAGATAACTAAACCCATCAGAGTTTAATAAAAGCTTTGCGCGGCCTACGGATGCGAGAGGTGCCACTCCACACCACACAGTCCACTCGCCCAATGTCGGTAGTTTAGTTTCAATCCCCATTTTAGAAATTTAGTTTAGAAAATAAAAAAAAAATAATAGATTTAATATTGCACTACTTTTGTGGTGGCCCTTAACCTTCTCATCCTCCCCCTCTTTTCTTCTCTCATGCTAATAGTTGGTCCATCATGGAATAAGGGCATGGACAGCCCCTGAAGAAAGCGGATATAATAGATATTTCTCCGCTTTGGACTAAATATCCATAGGGAGCCAGCCCGACGATTTACCTATTAGATCTACCAAAGAAGCCAGTGTCTCCCCAGGGTGGCTTTTCATCTTCCTATTTTCAGTATTCTTTCGACAACTTCGCCCTACCCTGGGGCACGGCCTCCTCACGTGTCGCGCGAAGAATGATAACAGCAGGATCGGAAGAATTACTACGAGAAGCTAAACGACAATGAGTCTGGCTCAGGTGTTGAGTGTGCTGGCCAGTCGTGACGACGAGGGTAATTCCCTTGCACGGCGTCTGGCTTATACGGACGCGGGCCCTACAATGGATATCGATCCTCTACCTTCAGCCCAACGCAAAGGTCTAATTGCGGTCACGGTGATGGCCTTCCTATCTTTCATCGCGACTTTGTTGTTACTATTATTCATCACTTATCGGCTGGTCTTCTGGCGCTCCAACTACTCACGATATATCGGTTACAATCAGTACATCGTTCTTATCTATAACCTAGTGTTGGCCGATCTGCAACAATCACTTGCATTTTTGATCTGCCTTAAATGGATTACGGAGAACAAAATAGAAGCATCTTCAGCGGCCTGCTTTCTTCAAGGATTTTGGCTGCAGATCGGGGACCCCGGCAGTGGTTTGTTCGTGCTCGCAATTGCTGTTCATACATTCCTTCTGGTAGCACTGGGTCACAAGCTGAGCCATCGCGTCTTCGTTTGTGGTGTGGTTGGTGTATGGATTTTTGTGGCTATCTTGGTTATTATTCCGCTTGCAGCTCATGGGCGATTTGTCTTCATCCCGTCAGGCGCATGGGTAAGGGTCCTACGTTTCCCCGATATGGAAATCAATTGCTGAATGTAACCCCTAGTGCTGGATCAGCGAAGAGTACGAGCCAATCCGCTTGTGGACTCATTATATCTGGATTTTCCTGGCTGAATTCGGAACTGTCTGCCTTTACGCCATCATGTGGTTCCAGCTACGACGTCGGATCAAGCAATCTGCGATTCTTGGAAACAGTCAAACGGAAAGTCTCAAGCGCCTGCGACGTGTCATCGGATACATGATTATCTATCCGGTTGCGTACATTGTGCTGTCATTGCCTCTTGCTGCAGGACGAATGGCCACAGCCCAAGGTCAAACACCAAGCATCGCCTTCTTCTGTGTCGCTGGTGCTGTGATCACCAGTTCAGGCTTAGTTGATGTCCTTCTCTACACGCTCACCCGCCGAAACCTGATTCTGGAATCCGAGCCGAGTCGCGATCGCAGCTACAACCGCTTTGCAAGCAGCAAGAACCGGAAGACTGACCATCTTACAACCATTACAGCCGCGGAAGGCAAGCACACCCGGACCGATATCAGCGTTCTGCGAACCCATCGACACCGTGATGATGACGACGAATTCGGCCATACCGTGCGTGAGGGATCTACTGATAACATTGTACAGTCTTCGGGTATGGAACTGGCACCTCTAGGAAAGGTGTATCAACATACCACAATTGAAATCACCCACGAGCCTGCGTACCCGGAGGCTGAAAGCAGTGACCGGTCAAGCAAAGGCTCCATCGGGAATGGCAGAGGTCCCGAGCAGAGCGCCAGGATGTGGGGGAGATAGCCGACAGTCAACTGGCTTGCAGCCCTTACTCCTACGGACGAACGCCAACTTCTAACGTCATCGAATTAATGTCGAATGCCCTTTCATTTATTACTTGTTTCTCTCTTTCTTACGCTCCCTTCTCCGCCATTCATATACTTTCTTGACATAATACGCTTATTAGTGACGCCCAGCCCTTCTGCTTTCTGGGGCTTTCTTCACTTTTCTATTATTCATGACGCTTATATTGATATCCCAGACCCTCGGCCATTTTTACTTTAGTTCCAGGGTGATTGGTCTATCCCTGCCTTTCTTTACAATTTATTCTGTACATAGATACCATTTCCTTCTACCTTTCACACAACTCTTATATTGGGAGGAGATATGAAGATTTGCTACCAATGACCTTTTGGCCGTGACGAGCCTTCTCATGGAAGATACAAAGTCGTGAACACCTGTGATCAAGACCCTCGAATAGCATAGATATCTACAATCAAACAAGATAAAAAAAATTACTTATAATCCCAAATCACACAAGGCCATTGCATAACCCCCTCACATCGATCCGGACATGCACACATACTGACAACAATTTCTCAAAAGAGATTATTCAGCTCACCACACAGCCGGGCCTATATGAGCTGAAACTATTACACACGCTAACTCACAATGCAAGTGCTTTTAAACCGGATCAGCAACGAGCCTGAGCACGGAGCCCCTGTTCGCCTTAGCATGGCTCAACAACCGGATTAATCTAAAATCTCGAGCCGAGCGAATGGGAAGACGGGCGTTCCGCGCCGCGTCAATGCGGTGGAGGGATCTTCGTGATCGTCATGACGAGGCAAGAGGACCGGCGACGTTATCGGCTGTCTTCGGAAGGGGTTGCGAAGTCCGGCCTTCGTAGTGCTTGGTTTGTCCGTGGCGAAAATGGTGTCCAGGGTTTGTGCCTGTTGGTGGCGTGTTCGTGTTCTGCGTTTTGGTATTTTTGTCAGAGCTGTTTCTTTCGCTAGTTGAGGGTTGTTATCATTAGCGTACTACTGAAATGATTGAATATGAGTGTCAGTTTATATGAAATTACTTCTGAATTGATGGGGTTCTGGAGGTTTTAGCTCAATTTGTGTGGGTTCGTGGATGGCGAAAGCAGAGTATAAGGCTTTTTGCTCCATGCTATGTCCCACGTTTAGTACCAATTTACTAAGTAGATATCCCTTTACTCAGTAACAGTCTAAAATTGTGTACTACGACTGTTGTTGAGGGTATTTGATCTTTAGATGAAAGATACATCGGTCGTCCCTTGCTATTGGTGGCAAAATATATAACTGCCTAGGCAGTATTGTACATTCATACTAAGAGGAAGGTTTTCAGCCTCGGCAACATTATTTCCCTGCTAATTATCGCTAGAATTAATAGAAATTAAAACATCGATATATCTTTATCTCTCCATGTGTGTGAAAAAGAAGGAAAGGGAAAGTTATTCTCTAGTATACTTCCGTCTCGGGATCCAGGCGAAACTCAACCCGCTAATCTATAAGGGAATATATGCTACCAAGATTCTGTAACTGCAGTTACTCAAATAGTTGTTGTCAAGCTATTGCTAAATAGAAGCTTAATCCCTATACTCAGGGTCGGTATCATTAGCAATCAGTTCTTGCTAACGCCTCGCTCGTTATACGGACTATCGACTACTAGAGAAGCTGCCATCCCTGCAGGTACAAAGGGAACTGCAGGCGATATAAGCTTAAATACAACTCTAATGTTAACTTCAGGAATTCTATTCCAACTAATACTACTCTACTACCCTTAAGAGTAGCAAGGACCCCTGACTCGCTACAAACCATACGTCAACCTGAGAATACCCTATAAATTACCCTAGAGCGACGCCTATGGTGTCGGGACATTTTTAGGTGGTCGAATGGGATGATTTTTCGTTTGTCACTATATCATAAGAAGTAGAAATTGAAGTCTCACTTGGAACTACAGTATAAGTGCCCAAGCTATTTTTCATTTATGGTAATCTGTTTTGAGAGGTCAATAGCGGCTGACTGGAGGATAAGAGATCAAGAATAACAAGGTGATTGCATACATCTGTTGCAATTTACACCCATCACCACCCCAAGAGATTGGCAAAGAAGCTCGCGATTTCTCATAACTTGATCATAGACTTGGGATGCTTCTGCAGTAGACAGACTTGCAACAGGAGTTCTAGACTCCTTGAGGCAAGTGAGGGAAGCTAGGTGCAGTGGACCGGGGGTTCGTACCGGTGAATCAGGCATTATCTAATAAGACCCTTAGCGAGGGTCCGATTCTGAGGAGGCTTCAAGCCGCTGCGGTAATCCCTATCCTTGGAAGCCCTGGAGGCCATAATGCGATTACAAGAACGATAACAGGGAATAACATATAGGGAGACTTGCAATTGAAGTGTATTGGTCCTGACTAGGAAATGTACGCAGTGCATATTATTTAGTAATACCCCGTACTTTGAGTCTGCCAGAACACGTGTTTGGAGTCTAGGGATGTATCAGCTGATACCGATACCCCACAATCTTTCCAGATCCCGATAATTCGATCGACTCGCTTCCATTCAATTACCGAGCACTGACGTTAGAGACCAGATCCCGACCCGCTAATAAACCATGTTATTGACTCAAGACAACATGCTGCGTCTTGCCGGGCTATGCTTGCTCTTATACACCCGAAACAATTGCCGTTCGCTTAGCGAGTCGGTGGTCGGCTGAGACTAAAGTATCTCCACATCTTCCGTTGACGGACTGGCGACAATGCGAGATCCGCTTAGTCAACCTGGCATAGCATAACTAGCGCGCTGAGGGGTACACCGAATAAAAGGTGTACGGCTTAGTATCCAGACATCAACACCGGTGCTAGATGATAGGTGTTAATCTAATTGACAAAGGCGGGGTAAATTGCTTCTCTCCGGAAGGCTGACGGTAAGCATATATAGTTACCACGAGTGTTGTCATTTGTGCTACTGTCTGAGAGCCAAACACCGTGATACGTGCCGGTCGACTGTAAAACAACAAATTGCATGATACATTACCAATTCCTTATTTTAACAACATGAAGTGGCAGATATATTTGGGCATTGCGTTTACGCTGTGGATCGTTCAGGTAATACTTTTCTTGTGTGCGCTTACTGCTCATTCAATATTTCGGTGACTCACCATACTAGGTCCTCTATAAAGCTTTCACATCCCCTCTTCGGCGCGTCCCAGGCCCATTATACACGGTCCTGACTAGGTTACCTCTGAAGTTTGCAAGTCTCACTGGAAATCGCATTTATTTCGTCCACGAGCTGCACCGGAAATATGGACCAATTGTTCGTGTTGCTCCGGACGAGGTCGACATATCCTCACTTGCGGAATTCAGGGAAATTCATCGCGCCGGATCTCCATTTTTGAAGTCAAAATGGTACGAAAAGTTCGTTCCCTCCAAAAGATCTGGAGTCTTTACAATGAGAGACCCCAAAGAACATGCTGCACGGAGGAAGCTGTTTGCACGACCATTTTCGAAATCAGAACTGCGCCGAACCTGGGAGCCAGCTGTCAGGGAGAAGGTCCAATTAGCAGTCTCTCAGATCCGGCGGGAGTTAAAGACAGACAGGAAATCTGACTTGCTCAAATGGTGGACGTTCCTTGCGACAGATGTGAGCGGGCATTTGATGTTCGGGGAGTCGTTTGACATGCTTCGGGTTGGGAAAGTAAGTCGCATACACAAACGCGTGGTGCATCGGCCTGTGACTAATCTTTTAGAAAAACCAATACATACATGTGCTGGAATCCACCATGATGGGCTCTGGAATCGGAGCGGAGCTTCCGTTGGTGGCGTGGCTCGGTCGTCACATTCCTCTTTCATCCTTCCGGAACATGTTCCGTGCGACCGACTACCTTTTCCAATATGGGCAGCGGGCGATAACAAATAGCCGGACGACTAGTAATGCTAGTCGTAACATCTTTGCTGGTATGGTGTATGAGTCGGAGAAGGGCGACGGCATTATCACCGATGAAGAGGTGGTGTTGGAGGCCGGGAATCTTATCGTGGCCGGCTCAGATACAACCGCAATCACTCTCACGTACCTTGTGTGGGCAGTACTGTCACAGCCGAAGCTGCAACGTGAACTAGAAGAAGAAGTCAACAGCCTCAGCGCCGATTTCGATGACGCTGCGTTGGAGGATTTACCGTTACTTAACGCAGTGATTATGGAAGCATTGAGGCTTTATGGAGCAGCACCAGGGGCGTTACCTCGAGAGACACCTGAAGGTGGAGCGAAGTTCTGTGGCTACTTCATTCCCCAAGGAATGACTGTGAGCACCCAGGCCTATTCAATCCACAGGGACGGGGATATTTATGCAGATCCCGAAAGGTTTGATGTCAGCCGCTGGCTCACGAGAGACACGAGCGCTTCGGAGCTTGCCAAGAAAGCTTTTTCACCGTTTGGTGCCGGGGGTAGAACCTGTCTTGGGATTCATCTGGCTTGGATGGAACTTCGACTGGCGACGGCTCAATTCTTCCGAGAGTGTGGAGGGGTCAGATTGGCGCCAAGTGCGACATGGGAGAACATGCGGCCAGTGAATTACTTTTTAATCTCACCGAAAGGGCATCAGTGTGAGATCCAGTGTAACTAAAAGGCGTCATGTCAGCAAGAAATGGCCAAATCCTTGTTTTCCTTTTGTTAGTTCCCGCGTCTGTCCAAGGCATAGAAGTATTAATAACCTGTCATAACCTTGAAACCCCAAACTTTAAATACAGCAAGGGGGAAAAAAAAGAACCAACCTTAAGCAAAATCCCGAACAAGCCACACAACAAAAGAAGCAAACACCAAACAAGCAGGTGACTCCACCCTGAGAAAGGGAAAAAGTTATCTCCCGATCTGCAAGATCTAATCCCTCACCCTTCTCGCTCTCGGCTGATGCCGGATCATCCAAGCCATACCCGTTGCCAAGACTCATTCCATCAAAGCTCCACCATATGGACCACTTGATTGTATGGTTGATTGACATCAAGTCGGGATTCGCTTACGCTGTTCGGGATTTGGATTTTTTTTTCTCATCGGCCGATACAAAACCATGCCATACGCAAACCCCTCCATTTCTGCAGGACGGATTACGGAGTACGATCCTTTCCTTTTTTAACTTCGCTCGTTATCGACCGGGATTTGAGATATGACCGCCGATCTCGAAAATACGCGTTCTATTTGCCAGAAATCCAGCCGTCGTCCTGTCAAACTAGCCTGTCTTTCTTGGTGCGGTTCCTGGCATATATGAAGTGGATGACTGACTGAATGAATTCTCGTCCTGTGGCAGTCGTGCGTTGCGCATACGTTGTGATGGCCAGACACTTTGCTCCAACTGCATGGCGAAAGAAAAATCTTGCTCTTATGTGCCCAGCCGACGAGGAGGTCCACGTTATTGTTCTAGTAGGAAGCATAAAGGTAGCGCCGGTCGTTGCGATACAATAACATCTGTTGTGGAGTTGGGAAATCGTCGCCTACCAAAGACGCCCAGAAAGACGGGGATGTCGCCAACCTCAGGAGATGGTAAGTCGTTCTTGACCTGTTCTTTAGATGGTATCGATAATACTCAAGTATCTAATGAGGTTTATGTAGAATGGGTCCACCAACTGGGAGGCTTGTGCGGCCCAGGGGCAGGGCTGCGCAGCGTGGAAATGCCCTTTGCGGAAATTGACTCTATATTTGATTCCATCTTTGGCTCAAATGCAGACGAAATCAACCCCGACCCTAAATCTAAATCAGTATCCAATCCCGTACGACTCTACGGCAGTAATGAAGATATGTAAGCTTGGGTGAAGAGCTGTCATTAAGTGTCGTGTTGACAGAATTAGACTTGACGCTTATTACGTTTTTATTCATCCTTATTTCCCCATGTTGCCCCCATCTGAGCATCAGCCGGTGTCAAGCCGTCCATTAGCTAGGGGCCCTCCAACTTTTGAACCGACGAGCCCCCTGAGCCTGGCTATCTCAGCTATACTGTCTCTGATACCCCATCCAAACGAAAGAAAACCTAGGACGACAGAGTACTTGAAGAGACGACGGGAATATGCGCATTGCTTTGCTCAAACGGCTCTTGGTGTCATTGAAAGAGACTACGAGCTGCTCAGTATGAGCCAAGATTCCCAAACTGGTTTAGCTGACACCATCAAAGCCTTTGAACGAGTACCGTTTCATCCAAAGCTGGAGGTGCCCCTGGAAGGCGTCGTTACATTGTCAATGCTTAGTATTTATGAGTATGCACAGCGGGGAAACATTGATAACATGCTCCAACGGGCTAACCAGGCGCTTGCGCTGGCTATGAGTATGGCACTGCATGAAGCGGTAGAGGAAGAACAGTATGCAGACTCTAAACGGAGGGTTTGGTGGATGACGGTGGGTCTTTGTGATATATTCACTATCTGGTCGTTGCTGATGTTGAACCAGTATATGATGGCATGTCAAGCATCGGCTATTAGCGGAACGGTTCGTATAAAAACATGTTCTGCACTGGATACATGACTTATCCTTCACAGTCTCCGGCCTTCGATCTTTATGATCCATGGTTTGTAACTCCATATCCGGAGGTATGTTGTTTTACGATTATAAAACCGAATCACACCGATTTACTTACACATGTGAATAGGGGTGGAAACTTGTCATCGAGGCCCAACAGGTTCTTGTCGAATCTGCCGTATTTGCCAGTGACCTTGATAGGACCATGCATGAGGCTGATGACGCATCATGGGTTTCGAAACGCATGGAGGAGCTTGACAGGCAGATATCGTCTCTGTTGTTCCACAGCCGAGATGCTCCTTTAGTGTCTCAGATGGCTCCACAACCTGAATCCATTGAATGCATGACATCGAAGACTATGAGGGATTTTGCAGAGATCAAGCTACACACGTAAATATTGCCCATTTACAGGAAGTGGCAACTCAGCTAACAGTACAGGGCACGGATCAAACTGCACCGACTATGCGCATTCCAAGATATTTTATCTGGCTCTATACGACATCCAAATGTATCGATACCTATGGACAGTAATTCTCGGATGGATATGCCGTTGGAAATGAGCAACGGCCCTAGCTTGGTTGAAGACTTGTCGCTAATGTCTCAGATTCACAAGCTTCAGATGCCGTTTACCAGTGAGGAGTCATCAAAAGTCTGCCTGCATGCAGCACTCAACATTGTCACGTTGCTTGATAACCTTCTCTACCCGAATCACACCAGCGACATCCTGGCTAATACACAATACGCCCGCGGAGGGTCTGGCAGTGAACTCCCTCGAACCATGCCAACCGTAGTATGCTGCGGAGTGCAGTCCAGCTATGCAATGCTGATGCTGGGTCTCAAAGCACGAGCTATCCAACACACCACGCCCGGCGACATAAGTGCTCTGGATACCACCTCTTTATCCGACTTTCGGAAGGAGCTATATCATAACTTACGGCTGATAGTCAAGTTCCTAGAGAATTACTCTATCGCATTTGAAGCTATCCAGGGGATAAGTGGTATATTGTTTCAGTCCCTGACAAGATACCGGCTAACTTGCTGCAGATAAATTGAACCAGGCCATCGACCGGGAGTTCTTGGCGTAGAATAAGCCTTTCTACTTCGCGTATCTGCGTTGGAATTTCTTTTCTTGTTCTTTATTTTTCTCCAGTAGCCTTTAGCGACATAGATGATTGGATAATGTTATACCTTAGAGACATGTGTGTGATGCACATGACGGAAAACGATCGAATGTATTTTGCTAGTTCAATGGCTACATCGTTCCCTTCTTTGTCCTTACTTTAACCAATGTGCTACCACACACCGACAGTGACTACGGTGACAAACTAAGTCGGTATCCCCATTGCCTGCAACCAGCGAGGGAGTATGCGTTGAACTCCTCCCTTGAGATTACTGCAAGGTATCCAACCGAGCTTCTTGTCCGGTGACCTGGAAACAATACCCAAGCACAAGGGCTTGGATGAGATGATCAGTACACGCTTGTCCACGGAGTAGATAACCATTGATTCCAAGCCACATCCCAAACACCCCTTGAATCTAACAGGGAACATCAAAGTGTAACCGAGACATTTGACTTCAACGAGACAAACAACCTAAGGAATCTAGGGCACGAGCCTATATTCAAACGCTCTAGATGACGAATTCAAGGGAAGCAAGGGGCCATCTAAAAGCAAGCAGAGTAAGGCATTTCGCTCATGTATATTCACCAAGACAGGGCCAATAACACCACAGGACACGTATGGGGGTCTTCAACCTGCCAAATGTGGATTCCATCCCAACAAACCGGTTCATGCAAGGTGACTACCTACGCGAAAGTGTACTCCGGACCGACATGCAGCAAAGACCCTATTGGTAAATTTCTGTTTCGTCTCTGGTCGAATAGTAGGCGAGTATATGTATGCAAGGGGGGGGGCTGGGCTGCATATGAATTGCCGGGGTTAAGCGATTACCGCCCAACAAGCATTTTTGCCACATGTGACATATCTGAGTACAGTGATTTCCCGTGGAGGTCTTCCTCGGTACTCGTTGGAATGTCCAACGGAAATGTTTGTTTGTGACCCGAAGGGAACCGCCAGTGATCAATCTCCTTACAGGAAGGTCTGTTGATCTATGGCCTTGTCTGGGACAGACCGTGGATGTGGGTGCTGGTGGAAAAGAAGAAGAAAAAGTCAGCCTTGCAGTGAATGAGTGTAGAGTGGAATACTTGCGAGTGGAGATTGGATCTATATTCAAGCGTTGAATAGGGTACGAGTACAGAGGCCTCCTCAAAAGAGTCCTTCACACGCCGTCCCTTACCATACCATACAAGCCATACAAGCCATACAAGCCATCAACCGATATAAGCCAATAAAACTCAATCCCCGACAACTGAACCTACAACGAATCGCTAAATCATCACGAACCCAATACGAAACTCGTCACGCGACGAGACTAATCAGGACGCAAGGGAATATTTGAAGTCTTTCGGTTTGGAAGGTGATACTAATTTGTATCTACTGGGGGGAAACAAAAATTACACCGAAATTCTTGATCAGTCCGAAAATATATATCGTGCATGCTAAGCGTGGAAACCAACTAAAATACCTGTAGGTGCCTGAAGGCCTTGCCCTGCCCGTAGGCCCTAGGCAACCACATGATCTCGCACACAATAAAAACAATCCTTTGTATATAGATTACATAGTGTTCTCAAGAATTCGACCCTTTCTATAAGGCTGCAATATTTTCAACGTTTTACAATGCCTTCATCCTGGTGACATCAGCCAATCAGCAGAAAAGGGTATGATATCCGCCATGATATAAAAACCCAATGACGATACGTACCTTGGGGTTTGATTGCACCCAGTAGTTTTATCTAAAGCAAAGATCAACACAATCGACGTCTAGTTTACCTGTTCTGATAGGTATTGTGAAGCCTGTGACGTGATGTGCATTCTTGGCCCTCCACTTCTCGTGTTCATTGCTCCTTTCATCATACATCGACGAGATCCATCCTCATCATCACCATGGATCTTGTACACTCCTACTGTTTAGTTCTAATACAATTGGATGGCAAATGTAACTACTAAGTGATAGAGTCAGGATGCGCATGTTTATTGTTTCTGGTGCTAGATATCCTTGATTATGGTCATTGACAAAGAAAGGAACCAGATGCGATCATGTATGATCGTCGCCTCAGGCTCGTATTCTGTCTCAAAATAGGCCTATCGTAGATCTGATAATCAACACGACGTTACAATGGAGGAAGTACCGATATAAAAATAGATACGATTGACACTTCACATGAACACTGTTAGATATATAGATCCGTCATGTCATCCTTACCTCAATTATTCGATATCCACAACTCTACTCAGACATCCCAACCCAACGACGACCAATCCAACACAAGAAAACGAACCGACACAATGAAACCAACACTCCTCACCACCCTCCTAGCAACCCTCACAGCAACCAATGCCCTAACCCTCAACACCGCAAACAGCACCACCGGCCAGAAAATCCTCAACAAGGCCCTAACAGCAGCAGGAACACCCTACGCCTGGGGCGGCGGATCCTGCGAGGGTCCCACACATGACCAACCGCCCTACCAGTACGGCGATACTGGGTATGACTGCTCGGGACTCGTCTGTTGGGCTGTGTGCCAGGTCACGGGTCGGGATTTGTTCTCGGAGGGCCTACGTGTGACGTCTGATATGTATTGTGCGGAGGAGAAGGAGTTGAAGTATAAGTATGTTTTCGTTTATTTTCGTTCCTTTGCTTTTGGCTTGCTTGGCGTGTGCATTGGAAAGGTAGATAAGGCTAATGGGTTTGCTTAGGAAATATCCGTATGAGCAGCGGAGAGCGGGCGATGCTGTTTTCTTCGGTGGGGAGTGTGATTGTGCGAATAGGAAGAGTATTCACCATGTTGGGTTGATGATGTACGTTTTTCCTCTTGCTCTAAAAATATAACCAGAGTTGCTAATTGTGACAGGAACTCTGGTGATCGGATGTGGAATGCTCCCAATGACGACGTGAATAAGGTCCAGGAGAACAGTATCGCGAAGTTTGGAGAGAAACCTTGCCCTTATGTTGTGCGGTTTGCTTGATCGGGAGTCCTATGTCTGCTGGCGAGATGAGTAAATAGGATAGTGTACGCTATTATTTGTAGATACTCTAGGGACGATGACTGGTATCTGATGAGGTAGATGAAAGTAGCCCAGACGTAATCTAATCGTCGGAAGTGGTATTCAATGCTCCGCGATCCTCCGCTGCACTTCTAGACTATCCGAGACACGTTTCAAGGTAAAGCAAGTTGTCTGAGCAGTAGGACCACCTTAGACATTGAACGTCACATCTTCGTGTCGGCGGCCTGCTGATTAGCTCGAACTTTACTCCGTGGCTCGCCTCGCAACACATCGGGAAAGTAAAATTGTTCCTTAAGGAAGATACCTCCTAGCAAAGTTGCGAGATGCTAGGTCACCCCGATCCATGCTTTGCCAAACAACGTTAGGAAGTTATGGACGGTAGTTATACGCAAGAATGTCCCTCATGAAAAGGGCCATCTATCAGCGGACGTACAGGTCGTAGTGACTGCTTTCATGTTGACTTCACCTTGTAGTAAGTCAGGCAAGTAACAGAATTCGAATACCCTACGCTCAATACGGTCCAGACATTTTGCGGAGGTCGTGTTCGCCTCCTGGATATTGCGCGCGGATGACACGCCTTCTGCTACCGCCGCACGAATTACACTGAAGCCAGACTTGTCCAACCGACGTGGACAAAGAATCATGGCTGTGTTACCTACAATACCGTTCGAGACCACCTTCAATTGCACAAGAATGGTGACTCCTTTCTTTGTATGGTAGGCGTGTGCAACTCTATTAGAAGATGCGTCACCGCAAAAGGTTCTCAAGGCGTTCCACTCGGGCTGAGAGCCTCGGGAGACTGTATGTGTGACAGCGTTTAGGGTCTAGAAGACTATGAGATGTGAACAAAAAGGCTCTTCTTAGCCACGACTTGGCCCAGGCATCGGTCACAGTAACAACACAGATGATACCGTCGGTTGAGCAATTAAGTCGAGACTTGAATACTTCAGGCATTAAAGCGCGAGTGTTAACCGTTCACGGTCTAGTGCTGGTGGGGATTGAGGTTCGTGTCCGAGGTGAAACGAGTGGATATGACTTGGCATTCATTCGGGGACCAAGTCGGGAACGCATCTTCGCCTATCACAAGACTTCTCAGCCCCCGGGCGATCCATCCACTTTTGCCCCCACCCCCAAATCCCAAGCGAAAGTGGAGGACAAATTGTCATCATGCCACCCCTGGTATTTCACCACGCTGATTGGAATAATTGAAACCCGGAGGAATGGTTAAAGGTCGCCGACCGTGTGGACGGCGTTTGACAAGCGTCACCGAGTTAAATGTGGCGTCCCTTAATTTGTCTGTCACTTATCAGGTTGACCTTGCAGAACTGATTGCATGGTCATCAAGCCTCGCACGGACGGTTCGCCCCTTTCCACTAGTTGGAACCACTTTCTTCGTGCATAAAGCAAATCCCGGTCACTCCTGATATGGATGCGTTATGATTCAACCCAAACACCGCAGAATAATAATAGCCTTTTGGGCTAAGCTCGTATTGTGATTCTTCAGTCGGCATCATGTATGCACTCCTCTGCAGTGTATCCTTCGGATTATTATTTCCCTGCTGTTGGGAAATTAGCATTCCCTGTCAACCCGATATCCTGCTTCAGCCGTATATGGTGTCTTCTCTGCAACATGGGGTGTAGGCTCACGTGCGTCCCAGTGCGATCTTCGGTTCCAATGATGGTGTCTTCATAAAGTCGGCAACTCCCCCCTCTTCACGTGAGCTCTCCATCGTTGAGACTCGAGAAGGTATCAGACACTGACAGCGGGATCCGATCCGGGCCACCACGAGATCCGGGACATGTGATGAGGCCAAGAAGGTCGGGGAGTTGAAGGATTTGCAGATGCATATTGGAAGCCGACAAATTGCGGAGGATGGAAGCCGAAGGATATGAATTCCGTTTCAAAGTCTGGTTCGGGGATGTTTGTTATATTAGAGTATGTGATATGGGTTGATCATGGCGGTGACGTAATTCCCCGGACGGGGACTCAAACCCCCGTTCAGATCTATTCGCATTTGCAGTATGGACACGAGTCAGGGTCAAATCAATAGGAAGTAAGGGTGCAGCAGCGAACGCGAATACTTTATGAAGGACGGGATCCAGCGTGAAGTGGAACTTGTCGCCGAACAGCTTGGTCGCCGACTCGGGGATCTCGGGATCGACGAACGGGGACCACCGGACTAACCGCATAGTTCGGTACGGTAAAGCACATCCGAACTACTATAGATTATAGATACACCAAGTAAATGGAACCTTGGATGATCTGGAGCTAGAGTCCAACTTAATCCTTTGTCTCCCCCCCCGCCTTGTGTGACAGGACCTTCCTTTGTCTGGGCCACATACATATGTACATACATACAATGCAGGACCCTACCACCCCGTCCAAGCCGCCATCATCCCGGCAGCCCTCTTCGTTAGCTTGTGTATCCTGTCGCCGCCGCCATTTAAAGTGCGATGCCCTGCTGCCAGCCTGTACTCGCTGCCAATCCACCAATTCAGAATGTCGTTATGTACGGTCGAGGCGAGGATTGCGTACCAAACAGAGCAATCAATCCCCCCCGCGATTCGACGAACAAATGTTGACTGCAGACGATTTTGCTACCTGGCTGAATGCCACCACTCTGTCAACAGACTTGGAGGTGAGCTTTCAAACCGGCCCTTGATCAAGGCGTGGCTGGGCTAATAAGAACAGGCAGATCCGGCGCTTCTCCATGGGCTCGAAACGCCGCCAGTATGGGATATTCCTTGCCTCCAAGATGATACCACCACAACGACCTGGCACGAACCAGAGCCGGTCGCAAGGATTGCCCCTGAGATAGCTTATGATCCAATGGTGCAGTTATACTATCAAAACTTTCATCGGTCCCACCCTTTCTTGATACCGAGAAAGGTACTTCATTCTCCCCTTCAGCACCGGATACCTCCCTATATCACCGGGATTATGCGGTACATTGGCGCACATTATTACCCCGATGTAAGATTCAAGGAAGAATTCCGGCCGGCAGCATATACAGTTCTATCCGATGTCACCCCGCGGGACGGGTTCAAAGTTCAAGGACTGCTGTTACTTGCGATCATCGAGCATGCCCATGGCCAAGAAGAGAACGCGCATATGAAAATCCAAATGGCGATTGATCTCGCCCTAGAGCTGGGAATGAACCGTTCTAGTTTCGCTCTCATAAACTCCGAGGGTAATTCGGTGCTCGCCGAAAGCTGGCGTAGGACATTTTGGGAATTGTATGTTGTAGACGGGTTGTTGGCAGCTATGCGAGACCAAAGCTCGTATCGTCTTTTCTCCCAGAAGGCGGATGTCCGATTGCCTTGCGCTGAGGAGCTTTATAATTCTGCTAGTGAGGTATAATCCCCCTGAATCCCTAAATATAGATAAGAGAGATTGACTGACATTTGGAAGATCACGCCAAATACACGAACCCTGAACGATCTCAAACAGAGCTGGTCTCTCGACCAATGCAGCTCCTCCTTCACTTACCGAATTGAAGCTGCGCGGAACCTCGGGCTAGTCATGGAAGTGAACCGCTCACTGGATGTTGACCTCAAAGCCCGGGTTGAGACAGTTGACGCCACTCTTGTCTCGTCGCTTATGCAAATACCTTCATCTCAAGATGGCACCTCTTTAGACATCTCGAATATTGACGAAATGCTCTTCCAAGCAGAGATGATCACCTACCTGTAAGGACCATATAGGATACCCTTCTCCAAAGCAAAAGACTAACCGATACCACCAGCGCATTGATATATCTCCACCACCCTCGTTCCAGCATGCGCTTTGCTTCTTTCCACGCTCGAACATGGTGCACCCGGCTCCGAGTCTGCAACAACAACCCACCGCCTACGGAACTGGATCTGCATTCGCAAAAGTTCCTTCGCGCGGCGGATATGTTATCCAATCTCGTCACTCTGCCGAGTACGATCAAGTCCCGCACTCCGTTCTTTACATGTGCTCTGGCAATGTGTGTTATTGTGCACACGGCAGCATGCCTGATCATGTCGACGCCTGACAAGGTCGAGTCGCTCAAGACGCGAATTCAACTGAGCATCGGTGGTCTGAATATGCTGGGCAAGTCCTGGCCGTTGGCAAAGATGGTGAGGCAGCAGATGGTGAACATGTACCAAGAGGTCGGGTTGCGTTGAATGTCGCGTTCCCTTCTTGGATATGTTTCATGTTCTACTCTCCCGCACGCGGCGGACGGCTGGTCGCCTCTCACGGCACCTTCATAATATATGTCTGAATAAATCACCCGGCTGGACAAAGGCATAATTATGCTAAACATGCTGCATGTGGGACATCTTAGAGACCGTCGAAGCTGGCCTGTTGACGAATGGGAAAGAACCGGATGATGGAGGAAATCATCCGGAGGATAACCCCGAGCGTATGCTCTCACTTGAGAGACTGGCGTTCTCACTTTCCTGACTACGGTCCTAAGAAGGCCTCAGGTTGAGTCGAGCTTCGTACCTTGTGCTCTTTTTTCGGATATTGAACCGGCGACAATCAAACACAAACTAGACTTGAATGCCGCTCAAAGATTGGCAACTATTTAAAATGGATTCAGTATTAGTGGAGGGTATAGCATCTAGAGAGGGCAGTGACTCAACTTCATTCTGTTTGTCTGACATGACTTGCATGCCTGCGAGCGATGCCTCAAAGTTACCATACTATATACCCGTGTTTTTTGGTCTGATAGAGAGAGAAAGCCATAGATACCAGAAGACAATTAGAACAGATTATTGTGACGGTTGCATGAAACAAAATAATTCATTATCTAGAATCCAAAGCTTCTACCGGAGGTATAACTCCATATCCATGCAATCCGCCAATGTCTAATCCCACGTAGTCAGACCATTCGCAGCTTTCTTTACTGGCGATGTCTCCAGTATCCAATTCCCATTCTCTTCAAGGGCCACTCCGCCGCGGCGTGCAGCTCGCATCATCTTCTCACTAGCTCGAGTTCTATGTCCTGTCTGACGATCCCATACCCAACCTTCCTTAAGCCACATCCAGGTCAGATATGCCCGCAGCTCCTTGTCATGTGGCAGAACTGATTTCCACTCCGGAACAAAGTCTGGCTTAGTTGCACCAGACCCTTTCCAATCTTTGGCTAGGCCTCGAAGTTCGTCTCGGCAGAAGATTCGCCAGCTATCCAGAGAATAAGCCCCCACCCCTGGTAGATGTGCGACCTCCCAGGCCACACGCGGGTCTGCATCATCAATGCACTCTTGTGGCCGGATATCTCGTCCATCTAATTTGCAGGGGTAGTGGAGTTTGCGATATCTTTCATCTTTTTTCGGTGGGTGACATATCCAGGTCTGCGCTAGACTAATACACTTCCTCGTCCGCTGATTCTGAAACCCAAGACAGTGTATCATATCCACAAGGTCACATACGTCCGCTGTAGCCATTGCTTCGACAGTAGGGAATCGCTCAAAAACTTTGAACAAGACGGGAAGAGCAACTCCTCCTCGAGTTCTGTTTAGAAATATAGTAGCGATAAGCAGGCGGAACGGATCATGAGCAAGCTGCTCTTGGACCAATCCGAAAGAGTCGGCATCAATCGGAGGAAAGGGTATGCACGATTCAGGATCCACAAGCGGCTGGGGGAAGTAGGGCGATACTTTGGCGGGTCTGACAAGTGATGGTTTTGCAGGTTCGGTGCGAGATTTAACTGGAGACGCGCCATTGGCTGGAGTCCTAGGAGACCCCGTGGAGCTGTCCACGATGTGATCTATTGGGGGTGTTATACGTGGTATGCAATGGGGCAAGGAGGGTTTGTTATCAATAGAACTGGTATCATCGGGTATATCGCTCAAATCAGAGTCAGACAAAAGAAAGTCGGGTGACAACTCCAAGCTTTCCAACATAAGGAGCATCTCTTCAGGTATCGAATGCTTTGGCAACTTTGCCGTACTCCTAGGAGCACATGTTCCCCCTTTCTTATTTTGCCTTGATGATTTCCTAAAATACTTCGACCTCACCTCAACGCAGGCGGTCAGTCCTTGCGAATCATCGGGATTTAAAAATCCATATCCCAAAAAGGGTCATCCATGGACACTGTCTTGTGCACAAACGAATTCTTTTCTGCTGGGTGCTTCTGTGCCTGTTGGTCACCTTTTCGGGAAAGCTGGCTAATCTCAGACTGTTGAGGCCTTATTCTTTCCTTCCGAGAATCACGCTTTCTATCCTTCTTTTCGCGCTTCTTCTTCTTCTTCTTCTTCCTTTCGCAACTTTCCGCAATACTTGGTATTTTGCTTGGCGATTTGGCAGTCTTCGAAAGTGAGCTCGGGAGTTCTGCGGTAGAAGAGACGGTGCGCTTCTTAGGCGAGTCGTTCCGCGATGTACACTTTTGGGATACTCGAAGATTTCTCTCGTTGCTATTGGCATTCTTATTAGGGGTGGAATTATGATATCCAGGCCTTGGCAGCGGTAACTTCTTGCTAGGGATGGTCCGTTCATTGCCTCTCTGCCCTGAAAGGGCAGTTGGTGTTATAGGAGTAACAGGTTCAATGACCGCTCTTCCAGGTTTTGCATTCTCGTGGTGAACACGATGGGAGGTAGGCGTGCGTTGGAGATCGGACTGGGTCACTGAGGCCTTTCCCAAAACTTGGATGTCCGCGGAAGGGGACTTAGAGATCGTAATCGCGGAATCGTCGCTATCAATATTTATGACTTCTCGCACGTCTTGTTTGCTAGGGACCATCGAAATGTCATATCTCTTCGTCTTCTTTGTCTTGGTCTTTTCCCTTGCCTGATCAATACTAGTCCTTTTTCTCTTTCGGTCTTTCTTCGATTTCCTTCGTGACCCATGTTCAGCCACGTTCTCATCATCAATCTCATCACCGAATTCCGAACCTTCCTTGTCAGCGTCGGCAACCATGCAAACTTCGAGATACGTCTTCTTGATCCACTTTGTGAGCACACCCAGGGCATCTTCATCCATGCCAGAGATAGAAGCCTCCCGTCGCACATCACTTATGAACCTGCGCCGTGCGGACCGTTTCACTGGATACGCGCCTTCGCGCATAAAAGAATGATCAAGAAGAAACTTAACAAGACGGTCATGTTCCTCCTCCGAAACAGAAGCAAAAACGTATTTCTCCTCTGAAACTTCCTCAAGCTCCTCATCACCGCAGGCATCGACATCAATCACAGAAGGAGCCCGGGCAGCAGGTCTGACCTCTTCCTCCGGAACATGAAGCCCTCGTTTCTCAAGTTCCTCGAGTTTAATCTTAACGACAGAATCGGCAGGATTCTCCCGTTTGACCACTTCGCTCCCACTCTGTCTATCATAAAACCGCTTGGCTTTCTCCGAAATCAGCATCTCCTCATCCTCCTCTTCCTCTTCTGAGTCATCTTCGTCATCTGAGCTCTCAATCTTCTGAATAACCCTATGCGCCACAGACTTCTTCCTAGCCACCTTGCTCTGAAAATAAGGGGACGCCTTATGCCTCGAGCTCCCAAGGCCAGAATCCCTTGACATGCTAGCCCTCTTCTCACAGGTCCCATCCATCATCTTAGCGCCGGAGTACTCATCAAAGCTTTTCTCAAAACTAGTCTGATCGGAGAGAATCTCATCAACCGTTCGTCTGAAGTAATCCTCATCGAAGGATTCATAGGAATCGAGATCGAAGGCGGGGGGAGAGACGACGACAGAGACAGGCCTGGGACGATCCATATTCTGGGACTCATCGGAGGTCTTTTCCCATTGCGCTGAAGGAGGGGCGATGTCCCTTTGAGGTTGTTGGACAGTGAACAGGGAAACGACTCGCTTGATTAAGCTATTCATCCGGTCGAGTGGTGGTAGGGCGATGCACTAAGGTCGGGCATATTCAGGATCGAGGAAAGGGGCAGCGTGGGTCAGACGGCTAACACAATCGTTGTGGTGTTAGTGAAGGTCGCTTTTGGTGAATGGTACCGTGGGTATATTCACTATTTGAGGGGAGGATTGTGTGTGTACGGCTGTCATAGTCCAATGTTGTAAACCCTAGCTGCGATGCGCGAGCTAGAGCTCCACCATGATTCCGGGCCGAGAGATGGAGGTGGATTGGCGGGGAACACACAGATGACTTTATTTGTAGGATCAGTGAAGCAAAATGTTTGGTAGACTGGTAATTGAGTGTGTGGAAGTCAATAGTCTAGTTCGTTACTTCCTTAAGGAGATCTGGATGAATGGAGCATCGCCGATAGGAAATGTGTGGACGCGAAACGCGGTGGACGCGCACGGACCAATTAGAATAACCTTAAAGTGGTCGCAGGGCTAAGTTTGACTTGTTCATGTTCTCATCAAGTAATCGTTTGCTAAACAACTAGACTTCTTTGTTCAATCGTCATTAGTCAAATTGCTGTATACCGGCTATGAGTTATATTATAGCTCATCTTATACCCTACACTAATATAGCTGGAGTATGTGTAATTTTCACGATCATTTACGATATCTGTCAGCAGGGAATTATAGACGGTCACATCACGCGAAGTGGCAAGCCTAGGACCGGTGGAGAGTCGGCACCATATCTTTAGTATATGTATTTGCAATTGAGGAACCTTTTATCTATATCTTCAAGTGTCTCCTAAAGTTCCCATATAAACAGTGTCGATGCTTAAAATATGTTCAAGGTTCGATGTACCATTGTATCCGTGATGGCAGATAGCCCGTAGGCCACATAGCTTGTAGCTAGAGATTAGTCCTCAGACCGCGAAACCGCCAGAGTCAAGCTGCCTAGGCTCCCCAGCGGCATCGAATGTTCCGTTCGGCAATACCCGGATTGCCTGCGCAGTGCTGTCTCCTGGAGCAACCCAGGTCACATTGTGACCAAGGGATTTCATGAAAGCAACCGTCTCATTGCTGTAGGTATACTCGAATCTGACTTGATTGGGGATTAATTGATCGTGGAGACGTGGTTTAGCCAAAGCCTCGGCTGCCGACAAGCCCTCATCGACAGCATGGATGATATTCTGTACAGTTGCTGTAATGATTCGACTACCCCCAGCCGAACCCGCAACAAAGAAAACGGATCCATTCTGGTGTGTCACTATGGTTGGAGTAATAGACGATAGAGGTCGCTTTCCTGGTCGGATGAAGTTGGCTTCGGATGGGACGTATCCAAAGGCGTTGGATGAGCCAGGTGTTGAGAAATCTGAATAGTATCAGCAGGTAAATTCCAGTCTGCAGAAGAGACCATCTGGGTGATCACCAACCATCCATTTCATTGTTCATAATCATTCCCGTCTCCGGCACCATGACTTTGCTACCGAAAAGCAAGTTGATGGTTGTGATGGCTGAAATAGTAAGTCCAGTATGATCAATAGCAGCGATATGCGACGTTCCCGGGCTGAATCGGTTAGTACGACCGGATAATGAGGATTAGCGAGTATGGGCTTACGTGTCAAGGCTCTCAAGGCCTTTAGGATCATAAGCAGACACGTTCTGTGTGTGCAAGTCGGAGATCTTCCCACGAATCTCATCAATAGTCGACTGTTTCAGCATATCATTCTGGTACTCATCCACTCCTTCAAGGAATAACGGATCACCCAGTTCGGCTCTCTTAATGTCGAGTTAGTTAGATGTTGGGGGCAATATAAAGAGCATCTGCGTACCAGTCCATATCCGAAACGTATAGCTTCATCCAGACGATGCGTGCTAAGATTCACGTTGCCGGGTGCCATGAAGCTGCCATAAGTATCCAAAACTTTTAGAATGTTCAAGGCGACAGTGCCGCTGGAGGGGGCGGTTGTTCCAGTAATTTTATTCCCTCGATAGTCAATCTGCGAGGTATTTCGGATAATAACGGTGTAATTACGCAAGTCTTCCAGTGTCATTGTGCCGTTAGCAGCTTGCAGCGCCTGTATCATGGTTTCCGCAATTGGGCCTGTGTAAAAAGCATCCGGGCCGTTGTTGGCAATCGTCTCTAGCGTATCTGCGTAGCGTCTACGGGTGATGGTATCTCCAAGACCGAGACGAGTTCCATTAGGAGCAAAGTCAATAGCCCATGTCGGATCTTTAGACAAGAAGTCTTTCCCATCTCCGACGGCCGAGTTCATATAACGAACGAGATCATGACCCACCGGAAACCCTTCACGGGCCGTCTGGATGGCAGGCTGCATGACGGTTGACCATGGAAGAAAACCATACTTCTTGTGAAGGTATTCCAGGCCTCGTACTTCACCAGGAACACCACTTGGTACATATTAGTCGTCTGTTCCTCGTTTTGATTGAATAAGTGCCCATTACCTTGCTAAACCTCCAGAGGTGGATCCGTCGGTGTTGTTCTTGAACATATCTTCGAATGCAGCTGCAGGCGCGGTTTCGCGGAAATCGATAAATTCGTACGAACCGTTAGGAGCCCTCACCAACATAAACCCTCCCCCAGCGATTCCACTATGGTACATTCCTGGTATCCTTTTGTCAGTTCACGTGTTTTCTCTGCTACTTTGGTGCATCTCACCAACAACTCCTACACAGAATATCGTCGCAACTAACTGCATTGTAACTCAGTCAGGTTAATCTAATTAGGAGCCTAAGCCACCACCATTACTTACAGCATCGGCAGCATTTCCACCTATCTTCAACATTTCTGTCCCATGACGACTGCAAATAGCACTTTCGCTGGCCACTGCCCCGAGCTTGCCCTGCTCGATGTGTTCAACTTTATTGGATCTTCGCGAATCATAGTGAGTTGACAGCTCCAGTGGTGACGAGAGCACATCCGGTAGATGTATCAATGCCAGTACTAGTATGAAGCTGAGGGATAACGTATTCCTTAAGAGACGAAACATGATTGAGGTTCTTTCCGTCTTGTCACTCGGCCAGCCAGTAGTTAATTCGGCGCTCTGGAGGTCGCAAGTGGTTAAAAGTGGCTGCCAAGGTCACCAACCAGTTACTACTACTAAAAAAATACAAATAATGCCCAGAGATGGCGCAACGTCAAGGCAAGAGAACGAGCAGCTTATATCTTACCTGTTTCTCCACATCTCGGTACAATGTGTCTCGGACCTCTGGTCCAACCAATTCACTTGGTTTGGTTAAACTCATTCCGGCTTATTGAGTTAGAATGTGGGGTTTGCATTTGTGACGCCGGTGAGTAGATAAGAAGACAAGAGCAGAACATGACAAAATTGTAAGCCAAGAAAAAAGATTTAATGATTTAGAGAGGTGGTACAAAGAGTACATAATACGATGGAACAAGAGATAAGGAGACTCCAACTGACAGTGCCCAGCAAAGGGCCAGCTGCAATCTAAGGATAACAGCGCTGCCGTATCTCCGCACATCCTCCGTATATGAACAGATAAACGCGGGTACATGGCGGAGTCATCTGATCGCCTGCCGGATTAGGCAGGGATAATCCATGGTCCAACGAGTCGGTATCAGTTCTCCCATTGCTCGATATCTCGTGGGTTTGGGTCAACCCGCAAGGGATTAAGCTATTACATAATAGCTATCAGCCACATCTCCGCATTTGACACTTCCATCGCTGATCCTGTTATCAAGTGTCAGTTTCTTCGTCTTTGTTTGGTTTGTTTCCCATTTCCTTTCTTGTTTGCCCTTCGTCTTGTTCAAGATCGTGACCACTCGTCAAGGTCTACCGCTTGCCTTGTCCATGCAACAGTCTCTTCCCATTCAGCTGGGATGTCCTTAAGTGGCTGCAACACTGTCGATACGAGCCGGCGTCCCCAGTCTCTGACAAACCATCTGTCAGAGAGAAGATGCATCCCGACACCATAATGAAGAAATAATATACGGGCCATCCAATCGCCCTCTTTGAGGAGGTCCACATAAGCATCGCTGATCCTAATAGGCAATGCAATAACTCCCCCCTCGCGTCCTCCCAATGGTCGCTTAACTGCTTCATTCAAGAACTCCCAGATATCCTGATTTACTTCTCTGCGAGATTCATCAACATTGTCAATCATTCCTCGTATACGAGCTAGGGAATTCAATAGGGCACTCGAATGATGTCAGTAAATGGCCACTTCATATTTATGTATAGCAACATGCCAGGAACACCACTTACCTTCGTAATTGGATAAGTTTCGGGTCTTGTTGTCTGGAGCAAGGTTAATCCTCGATTATACAAGGTCCAGCAGTGGAGCGTAAGGTACTTACTCTTTTGAAAGCTCTTCTTCTGAATCCTCGTCATCTTTGTATCGTAACCATCCCGCTAGTTCGCCTGGATGCTCCATCCTAGCGAGTTGGTGGAAGAAGAAGGCGCATCCAGCAAGCAGTCGGCGGATTTCTAAGACCTGTGCGAGAGGGTCGAATGGCTGGTCGTCTTGGGAAACGCAAGGGTAGGCGTATGAGCATAACATGATGAGGATAGAGCAAATGAAAGCTGGTCCAGAATACTCAACGGAGAATTCAGCCAACACGCGACTCATGGCAGAGCAGGAGCGATTCTGATACTTCAGAGCGCACTCTACCCATTGGCGGTTATCGCCCGTCTCTTTCGAAGCCAAATGTAGGGCGGAAAATGCCAGTAGGGCATCCAAGCAGAATGGATAAGATGTCGCTAGTCCGGGGACGGCGGACTGGAAATGATTGGTATCTAACTTCCCTGGGTACAGGGTGATGTATGTTTCTGTCAGATAGAGATGGAAGAGCCTCATTTCCAGCATTCTTGTGGATAAAGACAGCTCGTTCGAGCTATACATTGACTCAACTTCATCCTGCGGCGTAGAAGGGTTTAGACTATCGGCCTCATTGGAAGAGGCTGGATATTTGCATTGCAGTTTTCGTTTTTGGCACAAACCGCACCTTGGGAGCTCTTCATCGCACTAGAACTTGTCAACGACCGTGTAGAAAATGAATTGTCTTCCAAAGACAAACCGAAAGATGCAATGGAAATAATCAAGCCAAAGAAACCTATGCAGTGATGAAACGAAAATAAGATGGGAAATCATGGAAGTAACGAACCTTGACATGGCGTCGTTTACATTGCAGACAGCCCTTTCGGGACTTTGTATGACTGCGACGCGAGGGCATTCAGGGCAAAGAACCTTGAAATCACCGTGACGCGGAAAGCTATAGCGGCTCAGTTTACCTAAGTAGTAGTTCAGGAGGGGCGAGAAGTCTGCTTCAACACTAAATTAGGTATTCTCACAGAAGAAAGCGAGACAATTGCTGTCGCACAGGTAGCAGGGAAGAACAATTTACAAGAATTCGACAAAACAGTAAAGCCCCTTAAACTGTATGCAATATGCAGGGCTTGCCACCTACATCTCTGTCTCATAGAACCGGATACGCTGCTGTTCGTAGAATCACGGGGGGGCTATTCGGAGTTGGGGAAAAGTTCCCGTCATGTGGCGACCCTTATTGGTCGGGGTAATTATAGCATGGCCTCAGGCTGACACCATGCTTTACCCAACAAGGTTAAAGTTGCGCATGCTGGGCGGGAGCGTTGAACAGCCCCAAGTCGTCCTGCATCCCTTGGATGATCAAGCTAGTGAGCTTAGTTAGCTGGGGTTCACCCAACTAAATCCTCAATACATTACTTTTGCTTATATCCTGTGTACCTGCCCTGTTATATAGAGTACCAATCTAGCACACTGATCTGCGTTGTCTCAGATAAGAAACTATGACATTTCGAGCTCCTTTTCTGTACCAGGCAGTATATCGATTGGCTATAGGCTATGTGCCTTGTCTCAACTAAAGGATTTGCTTAAACTAGGTGGCAAATCCTCCTCACGGCGGCCCCAGTCACTTTCGGTGTCCCCCAGAGTCAACTCTAGCGTCATCCCCTGAGTGAAGAAGTCATGGCTTATCCAACTCTTTGTATAAGGGCTTCCATTAAGCGTTGCACTCTGTATGTAAATATCCTTATAGGTATTGTCAAAGTTAACGTTCCGAATCGTAGCAGTCTTGTTTGTTGTTGGGTGTGTGACGTGAACCGCCTCGAAAAACGGAGGAATAATAAGGTAGACATCTTGCCCAGGGTTTGGGAAGAGACCCATCATGGAGAACACAGTGAATGCACCCATGGCACCTGAGTCATCATTTCCTGGCAAAACGCTGTTCGAGGTGTTGAATAAAGATGGAATGTAGCTATGCGCTCGGCGGGCGGAGAGCGCGGGTCTCCCGGCATAGTGATATTGGTATACCGTTAGAAAAACGGGCTCATTACCCATATCTGCTAGGCCAGAAGTATGAAAAAAATCTAATCGGGAGACGAATGTTTCTGGGCCACCAAGAAGGTCTATCAGAGCCGCCATGTCATGAGGAACGTAGCTATGCCTGTTAGCTTTCGCAATATGAGCTGGGAAGGGGCCTGTACAATTGGTATTCCCATACGCTGGACTCGAAAGTCTCAGAGGGATTGCTTGTTAGGGAACACCATGAAGCAAGAGCACTGCAGGCAATTGGATCTTGATATCCCCACGTTCCATTTAGATGCTTGGGTTGGAAGAAGCCGACGAAACCAGTATCAGTGCCATTGATCAAAGAAGTTTGGTCCGCTTTGTATAGGTTCTGCCAGTTGCCAGCTCTGGATCGGTACTTAGTGTAGTCTTCCTTCTGGAGCCCCTTGGCAACTGTCGATAAACAGAAATCGTTATATGAGTATTCCAGGGTTCGTGAGATACTTCGGGAATTAGTGCCAAAACCCAGGTAATCAAAGTCCAGGTAAGGTATATAGTTGAGTCGTTTCCAGCTTTGCAAGCCTCCTCTTCCCTCATACGACCATTCCAAGGGCTCGTTTTCAGCGTCATTGACCATGGCCCTGTACGCTAGGTCCCAGTCGATCCCAGTGAGATTTTTCACATACGCGTCGGTTAGCACGACGTCGGCATTTGATCCACCCTGTGTCCACCCTTTGCAGAGGCTCATGCGGCAGTCTGGTAACCATCCTTCGTGCTTGTACGTGTCGAGGAGGCTGCGTACCATCCTTGATTGTGCCTCTGGATCAACAATTGTGAGGAATGGATGCTGTGCCCTGAAGGAATCCCAAATACTGGAGGACGTCAGTTCCAGTCATTAAGCCGAGAATCGGCTATACGTACCAGTAGAAAGAATCGAAGTAGGGCTCGTTGCTTTCCCAGAGTGGGTTCTCACTGGTCAAATCTTGTGGATCAAGCATTGTGCGGTAGACACCACTCCAGAAGCTGGTTTGTAACTCTTCACTGGAGGCACCTTGTTGTATAGATATCGGACTAAGCTTTTCTCTCCAAGCACTCTCTGCACGACGTTGAATATCTTCGAAATCCTCTAGGGGATGCGGGATTTCACGTTGGGCATTCTCACAAGCTCTATCTGTGCTGATATAGCTAACGCCGACTCGCACACTCACTGATCCATTACTAGGTCGTTCGAACCTGACAAAACCTCCAGCTTCGAGATAAAAGTTATTGAACCCTCGAGTAACGTAGAGTTCTTTAGGCTCAGTTCCTCCCCGATTATTGACCCAGACCCCATTATCGCGTATGGATGCGCCGATAAAATCAGCACAGAAATAAGATACGTAAGAGCCCGCGCCAAAGCTGGGAAGGAATGTGCCATTACCTTTGATGCGCCCGGTCTGGTCATCTACACTTATGGATGCGTTTTGTCGACTCTTCCATAGGTCCGTCAAGTCTACCAAGATCAAGGGACTAAGTTCTGAGCCATTCGCTGCTATCGCTGGAGGGAAGTTGAAGCGAAACAGAGCAGCATGTTCCGAGGTGGTCATTTCAGCATGAATCCCATTTCAAGCGCTAGAGCGAAATACCCCGGCCGGGCGACAACCGAGTCATTCACATAATGAACTGCCCGCGCGGCGTTGGGGAAGTTGCAATTGTCAAGCACGTCTTCAGGACAGTATTGAGGAAACAAAGGGAAGTTGCCCAAAGATGGGTTCCCTCCTGTACCGGCATCATGTAGAGCAGAAAAGCCGGTGACGTTGCTGCCATCCGTGGAGAAGCCTGAGGTATTTTGGCCATCAACATCTGCTACTGCCTTGGCCATACCGTAAGGAAGACTAGCTCCTGCAAATACATTGCCCCCATTATTTGACCCGATGAGGGGGTCGATGAACCTAAGCACATCTTGGTCCGCCGCTGGAGTGCGTGCTTGATGGCTTCCCAAAGCAAAGCTCGTCAATTGAGCACATAAGATGGCTATGTACTCTCGTCGCATACCGATTGCATATACTGATATTAAAGACCTCAGATATGACTAACAATAACAGCATGTCAGTAGTAGCTGAAAGTCTATCGTTTGTGAAGCACACTCCCGAGGAAGGAGCATGTAAGAAGTGGAGTAACAGTGACATAGCGGAGTAGCTGGAGATAGCCAGAAGCCGATTCAATGCAATGTAACATTAATGTCCAACGAAGGGGCTGATCGACAGAGGTTGGGGACAATGTATTGGATGACCTGCAAGGGATGTGGCACGTGCCCGCGGGGTTGGGATATCCCAAGTATGCACGTACATACAAGAGGTGGAATATATATAAAAAGACATACAAAAGCTATCGGGGGTGATCTGATCTGCTCAAATAATGAGGAAGTATCATAGATTGAGTAATAGGGTCCATGTCATTTGACACATTTCCGTGCTCTAGATCGTTGTTTACACAGTCTGGGAGATACAGATGAAAAGGAGATAACGTGAAGAGTAGTAATGGGTATGAATTCAACATTAAATCAATAAGTATTATAACCATATAAAAGGGTCCTCGCCCTTTTCTCGGGGTTTTTTAACCAACCGTTCCAAACCATCAATATTTAATACATGAGATGGGGGTATCCAAAAGAGATTCTATCATTTTTCTTCCAAGTTTTGTATAAGGAGATGCCCACGGTTTAAATCATAGTACCCTTGTTCTGCTTCTTGTCGACATTGTAATTCTTCCAGATGGCGATGCAAGGAATTCCCAGAGCAAGCAGACAGGTCGCGGCAATCGATCCGTACATTTGGGTGCGACCCCATGCGTAATTAATGGCATCACGGGTTGGCCCCCCCATGTCGTACGTAACCTGAAGTGTATAACCACCCAAGTAAATTTCGTTGGCCTGCGATAGCATGTCACTTGGTAGACGGGACTCAAGAGCCTCGAGCCAGGTGTTGTTGTATATGGCTGCGGCCACGGCATAACCAATGGCACCACCCAAACTGTTGAACAGACCCAACAATGCCAGCATCATGGGCACACCTTCACGGTCAGCGGCGGCCATGACAGCCATGTCGTTACCAAGGACAATAGTACCACCACCGAATGCGATGAAAATCTGGCACATGATCACGTAGCCAATATCACCGCCACCCTCACCACGGAAGTGGATCATCAAACCGGCACCCAGGATCATAAGCGGAAGAGCGAAGAACAGACAAGCGTACTTGAAGTGCTTGGTGAATCTAACCCATATACCGAAACCAACACCCCAGAAGGTGGTGCCAACGTTGTAGATCTGCGCCATGTAACCTCCCATCGACAGACTGAGGTTGTACACGACAATACAGAAATTCATGAAATATTGATCCCAGCAGTAGAAGCTAAAGAAAGAAATAGCAGCCATACCGCAGGCACCTAGAACGGTGCGCTTCTTGAGCAACTCGTAGCTTACGAAATGGGCACGAGCAAACCACTTCTCCCACGCGGCGAAAACAAAGAGGAGACAAAATCCGACAACAACTTCGGCGATGAAAGCCGCGGATTTGTATTGGGCCCGACCGTAGGTTGCCAAGCTGAATGGCAGCAGCAGAAGGATCCAAGCAGCCATCAAAATGAGTGCACCAATGACTAAAATCGCATAAAGTCAGCAAGCAAGCAGAGAACCGGGAGATTTCGTAGCATACCATCAAATTCATGGAAGTAATATACGATAGATTGCACAAGATTCCGGCCACTGGGCTCCCGTTTGAAAACGCCGGTCTTGATGGCCTTGCGCTCGTAGTATTTAAAAACTACAGCAAGTGGACAGAGGGTAACTGGAACCACGATAGCGAACACACCATAACCCCAGCGCCAACCAGTGTGGTTGACAAAAGACTGACCAGCCAAAGGAGCTGTGAAGGCAGTACAGATGAAAGGCGTGCTGACAAAAGCAAAAGCGAAGGCTCTGTTCCTCAGGCCAGAGGTATCGGCAATGAAAACATCCAGAATATAGTAAACAGAGTTGTACCCGACCCAAAAGAGAACGTTACCGGCGGCGAAGGAATCGGGTCCGTTGCATGCAGCAAGGATGATCAGGCCGAGTGTGTAGACTCCGATGAAGACGAGCAACCCTTCTGCACGTCCCCAGAGGTTAAGCATCCTAGCAATAGGCAGCTTCAGGACACCCCCGATGATACTGTACAAGATATTGGACGTAGCAACTTGCGGTGCTTGCTGGAAATCGGCATAAGCGGCTAACATAACGGTGCTGCTGAGAGCTGACTGAAGTGCCATCATAAAGAAACACACCCAAATCCTGTGATTCATCATACATAATTAGACGTGAAATCCGACAAATAATTAACAAATAAGGCAAATACTCACCAGCCGTAGGTGAAACGGACTGCCTTCTTACTCCAGACAAGGGCAGCGGCTTCAGCTTTCTGCTGACCGAGATGGGCGTCTCGCGTGACCTGATTGGGATGTTCTTGGGCCTCCTTCTCGTTGCGCGCTTCAAGACTCAGACGGGAACTGTCAGTCTCAACAGCAAGGATCTGGTCTCCGGATGCTTCCGCTGCATTCTTCGGCCTATGAGCTTCGGTATCCCCGTTGTCTGCAGCTGGTGTAGCACCAGAGAATTTCTCCAAGAAACCCATATTTGATTGAATGGGTCACGTCAAAGGGTGATCTGATCGCTCCCTTCTCTTCTGATCTCCGAGTGTGAAGCTCACACTTCCTGTTTGAGACCTCGATGGCGCGGTCTTTCCCAATTGAAAATAGTCAAAGGGTGGAAGCTTGGGTGCCCAAGGTGACAAGGGGGGAGAGATAAGATCTATAAAAGAGAGAAGGAAAGAGATCCGCACGAGGAAATCAACCGCAATATATCCACCAGCAACGGCGAATGGGCCGGACCATAGAAAATCATGCGAAACACAATTTTCCTTTCCCGCACAAGACGCGCTGCTTCAGCGTGGAGCCCAAGCGATGTTCGTTGAGTGGTGGAAGTGGTTGTATCGGACCAATCATGGTCCGGGGGGGAGCGTAACCGTGGAGCCACAATGCGACTGGTCGGATCAGATAACATTTTGGGATCTGATTATGGAACTACCCTTTTAGTCTCATCCGATACCGACCGATACGCCTGCTTTGGAGCTGAAAAATGCCTGAGCGGAAATTATACCCACTCATTGGTTGTGCTAATTTGGGAAAGAAAAGAAAGGGAAAAAAAAAAATCAGAAAATTACCTCTACAGGGTGATGATCCGCTGTTTGCCCTTGCAGGTTTCATTTCCGGTTCTATTCCGGTCTAGGAGCGATTTACCCCGTCAGTATCCATGGCCAATAACACTACCCTGCCTCCTGTGCATGCAATTCGAGATTAAATCTCTGAAGTTACACAGCAGAGTGTTATTACTTGCCTTCCTCGTTTGTTCTGGTCGAAAAACGCTCCGCGGTCTCTGGTGCAATGTGACATATGATCGAATATGGGCATCGCGCTCACACGAAAACTCCCGGTGTGGATATACTCATCCCCACCGGTGCACAGTAGTTCCTCCACAAAGAGCTTAGTATGTTCTCTCCCACGCGATGCCAAGGTGCGAATACCGGCTGTAAAGTCAAAGGAGATGAGCAACAACACGTCCAACCGCAAAAGAGAAATTTAGCCCATAAGCTGACGGGATCGATTGAGTGGGATCGTTCTAGCGTATGAGGGGTCTTACATTTAAGTCAAGACATGGCCCGAGCAGAGAACAGGCAAGCATGACAGCAAGCATCGTAGCTAAGAGTTATAGTGCATACAGGTACAGTACATGGCTGATCTTGGGCCGTAGACTATCATCCCACTTTCCTGGCGAGTTAGTATTTGGGCTAGTGCTTGTGCGTGAGAATAGTGTTGGTCAGAGGTCTTCCCAACCAGCAATATGACATTTAACTTTTGGAACTTATTTGACTTCTACCTTTCCCACTAGATCGGGCGAAGATAAACATGGGTGACCGTCGACATGACCACGTTGAGAACACCCCTCATACTAAACAAATTGGGAAAAGGAAACCTGACGAAAAGAAGTCATAGCTTTTCACTAATCTATAAGTACTTATCTTCATACTCAGGTGACCAACAAATCCTTTAGGTCGCATCTGAAGGTTTGACAGCGTATGAAAGTAAACTCTTGTCATGAACACTGTCAGTCATGCCATACATCATTGGGAATTCAGTCAAGAATTTCCCACTAAGCCATTCCCCACTTAATGCACAGTTGGTTCCCACTTCGGTAACACCGTCAGGCCTGCAAAATTTTTTCACGGTGTTGACGTCTTCGACTGTGAAAGTTCATTGTTCGCCGCCAGACATCTGTCCCATGGTAGATAAGATTTTCCTTTGTGATCAAATCAATCAGATAATCTAATCTGATGTCCAACAACAACAGGAACTCCGAAAGTCTGATATAATAGGCTTTCATCCCGAACCATATTTTTTTTTTTTGTTTTTTCAATTACAATCAAACAAGATAAGCATTTTTCTAATTTATTTGTATGATAGTTAGTACGTATTCAAAAATCAAGCAAAATTCCTTTTAGTCTTGCCGTTGCCAAGACACTGTCGGTAGAGCAAGCGTGAACCGTCAGATTTTGCGTTCCATCCTCCACGCTACGCTAACACAAAGCAGCCAGAACGAGTAATTAAAAGAAATGGGGAAAAAAAGGAAAAGTAGTCGTTAGCCTCGGGCAACTACAGACAAAGAAAGACAACGAAACGCCGTTTTAGTGTAAGCTACCGTGGAAACCCTTATTAACCACTCTGTCTAGATCGTTTAGGCCGGGTTAGTGCTGCGCACCGTACCAGATTTTGCAACCGGAGGGACCGGCCGCCACAAGACAGCCTCGAGAAATATCGGGTGAGTCCGTAGTTCATATTTCCCTGTAAGCTATCCCAAATGAGGACGACAGGCAACTACAGTTCGCCACGGGAATTTCAATAGTTGCCGCCATGGAATGGTTCGAGTAAATCTAGACGAAGCCCTCAGACTCAACCCCACAATCCCAACATACAATGAGACAGAGAAGAGTAAAAGCAAAGGGAAGGGGGCAGGGAAGGGCGACCTTAGTCAGGGCCATTATCTGTTACATAATGATTATTGAATCAATCTAGTAATGACGAGGAAGAACCTTTTAACTCACCCACGTCGCAGGAAGAAGGAAAAGTTAACCCAAAAAATAATGAAACAGCGGAAGATGAAGATCAATGTTCAAAAGAAACAAATAAGTTTGTTTAGTACTGCTTACCGCTAATCTTTCTCATTATATTAATAAGTGAAACAGGATCGATTAGTACATGTTTCTCCTGTACACTGCAGTAGTGGCTGCGGCAGTCCACATCATCTGTCGATCATGATTCTTTTTATTTAATTAGTGCAATCTATCCGCAACCAATGGCTCATCTGAAAGCTTGACTGACGCATGCTGGGGCATAGAAAAAGGGGGTACGTAACCATATACTCCGTACAGGTACTCGCAAGCTCCAAGGGCTCCAGGAGTTGTATCCGCTCTTTGATGACTGTCCTTCTAGTCCTAACCAGTGAGTTCTTATGTATATGAAATCATTATTGTGTCTCTACACTGCCACGTAAAACCATTGTCAATAGTTACAAAGAAGGTGTAATCAGTACTCTCCGCTCTCGGCCTGTCCAAACACATAGGTAGTTACCACTCATGACATGCAAAGGAGCTATATCCCCGTGTAACGTGTCACAGCGAATTGGCTCAGCCTTATAGGGAGAATGGCATAAATAGCATCTGACCTCGGTCACGGAATGAATATTCGTTTGCAATAGCAAATCATGAGAAGAAATCAAGAATTTTTATAGATCGGCTGGGTCCTTTATACCTTGTGCTCGAAGGCGCAGAACAAGGCCTAATATTACATCAGTATGTCACGGCATAGGCTCCTCCAAGTCTATCTCTATACTTACTAGTATCCGATGACGAAGTGCTACAACTAGCGAGGTAATTCCAGAACTTTGTCGTCCCGCTTGACAGGAAGAATGAATCCCTAAGCCCTATAGACATTAGGACCCCTGGTTCAAGTTCTCATTTCTAACGCAAAGTTTTCCACTGGACATATCGATTTTCTAGGGCATTCTAGTAGTATTATTCGGTCAAGATCTATCAAACTTTTTTTATTAAGCTTCCGAGTCGCTTTGTTAAACACGCCACTGATGCGAATCCTGCACGCTAATCTGATCACCATTATCATATGGGACCACATCCATGATGCCGTAGGGAAAAAAGGAGAGATGAAAACATTCATAAGCAGTCATTAATCATAGTCCCAAACGCCTCGGTATCACACCACTGAAGAAGTAGCAATAGCTTCTCCAGTCTCTGTAGTTTCGATCTCGGAGGTTCCTTTCTGAACATTTCCTTGCCCATCGTCCTGTTCCTGTTCCTGTTCCTGTACCTGTACCTGCTCCTGTACCTGCTCCCGAGCACGCTCTTCCTGCTCTTGTTTTTCTTCCTCCTCCTCCCAACTATCAACAACCTCAGTTGCGGCTTGTGGGGTTCGCAACTGTTTCCCGGCGCCTACTCCTGACCGAAGAACGAGTTTTTCCTTTTTGGGAGCGCCCCATGTGCTCCCATCATCGCCAGCGAGAGCTGCAAACATCGAGCCAGACCGGGCAGACGTGCCTGGATTCGGGGTCGTGCTTCGTGTGCTGGGGTTGCTTCGTCGTGAAGCGGCAACCTGAGCCCATCCACCCTCGTTGGCGGCGTTTGCCTGGGCCTTTACGGCTTCCCGTTGGGCCTTTGCTTCCGCCGCTGCAAGGCGTTGGGCTTCACGTTCTTTCTGTCTCTGGCGTTCGCGCAGTTTAACACATTCACTCACACTCATGCCGCCGACTCCGATCGCTGTTCCATTGCCCATCCCAAGAAGAGGAGGGTTCCACACTGTAGGTTTCAAAACAAACACGTGTCGGTGAGGTTCAGGGTCAAAGCTCTCGCTCGCGAAGCCCCAGTCAGTTGCGAGGGAATGCACGAACGCCCGCAAAGATGACTTTGCCGGTTGAAACCGTACAGAACGTTGTGTTGGATTGGCCGCTAATGAGTGAAGGGTAGATTCGTATGATTGGAGGGTAGACAAAGGAGCGGAGGACGATAGCTGGATATACATGTCCAGGGTTTCAGATGAGTAGGGAAGGTTCGTGGCTGTCATATTCTGAGCAACGGTTGTTGACGGGTTAATGTCAACTCCCAACGCAGACGCCAGCGAACGGTTCCGCTCGAGCCGCGCACATTCATCATCACATGTCAATGGAGTCGCAGCAGGCAGTCTTTGTGGCTGCTGCAATTGTCCCTTTGATGCCACAGCCTTCGCTGCATTGCAGCGACGCTCCTGACGGAGTCGTCCGCAACCACATGTTACCGTGATCATGGAGGAACAAGGAGTTTTCTCCGGGCATGGATAAGGCGCGTGGCAAGGTTCCGTGCATGGATGACCGCACATAGTCTTGGTCTTTCCACATGGCTGTTGGCAAGGCTTCAAAGTATCTTCGCAATCGCCTGGGCGATGGCAGTTCTTCTGGCAGGTATGAGAGCCACACTTGAGCGTTGCGCCACAGATACGGCCGCATCGCGCATCTGCCAGCCAACAGGGCACGTTCTTCAACATTTGTTTTCCACACAAACACATCTTCTCGGTTAAATAGGGGCATTTGGGACACTCCTCTTCATCCGTGTGACAGTTGTGTGGTGTCTGGGGATGACCGCACGATTTCGGGCGTTCGCACGGGGCAGAGCATGGCGGCGGCTGGATCCCACAAGGTAAAGGCGGATACAAAACAGATCGACCACAATTACACGAGACCTCCTCGAAGACAGCCTCTCTACAGGTGTTGCAGGGTCCTTTATGACAGAGTTCGGGGCATGTATGCCGCCCACATTTCAGCATGCGGCCACACACCCGAGTGCAAATATGTTCGGCCTCCACATCTTCATCACTTGGGCGAAGATGAGACTTGAGCTTTCGCCGCAGAGCCTGACGCTCAACCGCCTTCTGTTCACCGGGACAACACCGCTCAGCACACGCATGGCGACCACAATGCAAGCCGGCCTTGCAGATGCGGAAACACTGAGGGTGCACCAGAGTACCTTGGTGGCAAATGGACATAAAAGAGTTGCGTCCGCAACGGCACGTCACGGGGACTGTGCGGAAACAAGGCCCACAAGAACCGATGTGACAGACCTTGTCGCATGAATGTCCACATGGTAGAATTTTTCCACAAGCCTCCAAGCAGTTGGGAATCGGGTCCTCACAAGAGTTTCGGGGAGTATATCCAGGTATTTCGGTCAATGGCGTTTTACCACAAGGGCAATGAAGCACGACGTCTGGTGACCTTGGACAGTGGGCAGAGTGTATATCCTGTGGATGACAACCCTTCTGGCAGAAGTGAACGCCACAATCGAAGGGGCGATTGCATTGGTCTCCGCAATTAAAACAACCAGTCCAATCCTCAACATGACTCTTCTCACCATCCTTATCGTGCAGCATTTGACTGTCCATTTCCTCGTCCTTTGAACTACACATCATCTCCGTCTGTACTTTTCCACAGTAGCAGCGAGCCTCTATCCTCTCCTCGCAGTCACCACAGAGACCCTCGTGGCATGGCCGAGGGCAAGTATGTTCGCCGCACGGCAGAAGATCCCCACAAGTTTCCCCGCAGCTCCATCCATTTTCATAATCGGTATCCTGGCAACGCTTGGTGGACGAATTTCTACCGCAAAAGCAATCTTGAGTAGGGCCCATAGCTGTACATGGTGCGCAGGGCCCAGCATGACAGGTCGCATCGCACGGATGCGGACAGCCTTTACGCTGTCGTGCACAGGTCTGTCCGCATGAATGTGGTGGAAGACCAGGAAGCGCCCGCGGGTCAACTTCTTTTTCACACCAGCAAGTGTAACTTGATGGAAACACTTCTTGGGGAAGGTTACAGCCAGGACAGCGCCAGGCTCGAGGTGTAGTCGGGTCTCCTTCTCCTTGGCGACGGGCAGCGTCCTGCGCAGCAGCACCTTCGTTTTTCGACCATTTCTTGACACAACTTAAATGGAAGACCGTCCAACATAACCCACAGTTCCAGACACGCGATCTCCTCCCCAGCTCTCCGGTACAAATAGGACACTCATAAAGGTTATGGGCAATATCCTCATGAATGCGAGTGGCGATATCGGGCGCAATTGACTTTGTCGTAACTTTGGGCGGCGGAGGCGGGGTATTCTTAGCTTTAGGCTTCTTCTTTGTGGGTGCAGAAGTAGTCGAGGGAGTGGGCTCGTTGGGGGCATGTTCTGGCTGTGTTCCTGGCACAAATGCAGGCGCATCGGCCCTCAATCCTGGATCATTCGCACCCACTGCTGTATCAACCTGTTCGTCCTCCGGAGCCTGTTCTGGTTTCGTTAAACGTCCCTCGAACCGTCTGCCCGTACTGGTTGTCCCTCGGTCTCCGCCTCGTTGTCTCTGTCGACGACTAGTACCCTCCGAGGGTGCACCGCCACCCCGACCTCCCCCTCTTCCCCTCCGTGGTCCTCTGCGAGAGCGTGGTGCATCGGTGGAAGGATCTAACGGTGAATTCTGGGTAGATTGAGCTTGTGACGACTGCTGAGTAGACGGTTGTGGATCCTGAGATCGTTCTGTGGTTTGCGTCTGAGGGCGTCGGTGATTGCGATTGCCACGGCCTCGGCCTCCACGTCTCGATGGCCTTGGGCGAGATGCGCTTCCCTCTGCAACGGGTGCAGGCACGTCGGACATAGTCTCGGTGATCGATAGCCGGTTACAAACTTCGTCCCGCCCGCTCATACACTGCGATAAAGAACTATTTGGAGCGGGTAAATGCGCTAAGACAGATGGTCGAGGACGCTCCCTTTAATAATATGAGTGAAGGTGTGCCTGATGATATCAAAGGAATGAAACAGGGCTGTTCCCCCGGAGGCGACGAGGATTAAATCAAAAAGAAGGCGATCGAAAGATCGACGGGGCAATTGTTCCTTAGAATTTCAGATTTGAGTGGCGGAAGCTCTGCTGCGGCTCTAGCCGTTGGTTGGCTTTCAAGCCTCCAATCATATGCAGTAGAAAATGTACAGTCTTCATGAGTCATGTGGCTAGGCCAGTTCCTGCCAAGCGTACGGTTGTCGATTGTGAGTAATCGTGACTCAGTCTTGCCGCTCTCGTTCGGAAGTCACTTCGAGTGATCATCTCCATGCTGAAATCCATTAAAGTGTTCTTCATCTTGACCGAAATTCGTATAGCACCTCCAGATGAGATACAAAATTTTACTCCTTATAATGTTTATATATATATATATATATATATATATATTTGAATGAGACAAAAAGGTCTTTAGAGCCAAACATCATCACACTCTCATCACTAAGTACATAGATAGAGAAAGGAAGTGCTTTGGCTGCTGGAGGACGGAGCCAAAACCTATTAAAGTGACATCGCTATGCAAATGAAGACAAAACACGAACAATCTTATCAGCCGTCAAACCTAGTCTTCCTCATGATTACATAAAAAGAACAATCTCTCCCCGGTCATTTCTCTTGATGCGCAATGTGCGCCAGAGATCTTTCTCGTCTTCACCTCTCTGCTCGTGGTCTGCACGGCTGCGCCCTTGCTCACGACCCCGGTCGTCATCAAATTCGTCGGTGAAGTCACGATGGAAGCGCTTCAAGACTTTGTTCACAGAGAATCCTCGCTGGCTTTCGGGACCCTTGGTCACCAATGACAAGAAATGAGCAGCCATCTGTCGCTGGAGGTCACTAGGAATGTTCGGCTGCCCATAGACCACGACCTGGCGGCCGTCATCCCCGCGAGGGGACTCGGTGCGGGAACCGTTGGCATATTCGATTTGCTTGAGACGCTGAGATGGCCGACCATCCATCTGAGCGCTACTCTTGCGCTTAGATTTGTGCGAATCAGATGCCACACGGTTCGACTTCTTAGGTCGTACGTCACCATCATCTGATGAGCCACGCTTGCTTTCCGCAGGGCCTCCAAACATGGAAGAGACAAGGCGTTCGGCACGGTTCTTCATCGAGATGCCCAAGCCGGCATCAGAGCCATCCTTGTCGTCACGGCGAGTACGCTTAATGGGAGATGAAGGGTCCTGGTAACGCCGGCGCGGATGATCGGCGTGGTCATTCTCAGCTTCCAGGGAGGGAGACCGAAGCATCCGACTCAAACCACCTGTTAGCCCGGAGTGATTCAGCATGGGCGTGCCTGGGTGGTTCACGACGCTAGATGGTGCTTCCATCATAGGAGTATCGACGTCTTCAATTTCCTGGTCTTCATTGTGGCGCTTCCGCTTCTTCTCACTGGTAACGGCGCCCGCCTCAGTCTTGCGCGATCGATCCTTCTTCTTCTTCGGGGCCGGGGTCATGAACTCCATGGAAGCGTTCGCGGCTTTATTTGGGTACACCGATGGCGGGATAGGACCAGAGCCGTAAGAATACCCATTTTCCTCGTATGGCAGATCATACCGCTTATCCTCATCCTCGCCGCCAGCTTCGTAGTTGGTTAACGCCTTACTGGCTTCAAAGACAGAAGGAGCGTGATCAACCATTTGCATCTGCTCTTTGGGCTGGTCGAGGGAGACTTTAGATGCGTTTGGCGTCTTCTCAGCAACTAGGAAGTCGAATACATTGACCTGTTTAGACTCGTCTCTCTGAGGAGTCCCCGACGTAATTGGGGGAGTAGGGGCAGTGGGTAGCGTGGATACGTTCTCCTTGGACTTGTCGGATTCAGGAGCGTCCTCGACGTAGGGTGCTCGGTGACCATTGGTAGTAGGCTTGGAGTTCTGCTTAGGATCGTTCTTGCCTTTTTGATTCCGTTGGTTCTTCGTCTGTTTCGGCTTATATAGAGCGCCCTCGTACTTCTGAGCCTCGGTCATGCATGACTTAAGACAAGTTAGCATCCACCAATCAATAATAGTAAGTTGTTGAATAGGTAGTATTTATTAAGAAGTCCTTCGCTCTTGATGCCTACCCGATACCACTGCGACAAGCTGTAAAGCAAAGCCGCTAAGTGATCGCACTGCGAACCAATACTTCGCCCAAGACGGCGAGGGCGATCGCGTAGCCTCGGACGAATAGGTAGGGCTCGTAGGAAAAGAAAAACATATCCATACCGTATGTGTTCTATAACTAGTTCCCTGGAAGTGGACCATGCAATCAATGCAAGTAAAGGTTGCGCCGCGACATTGGTTGCGATGAGGATCGAGCTTCTTCTTGGTGAGAATATCACCGCAAGCCTAAATTTCAGAGGCAAAGGTCAGCCATCACCATTCATTTAAGGTTCGCTCATAACATTTAGACGTCAGAGAACGAATGAGAGTTTTGTCCAACTCACCTCGCATGAGAACGACACCATTTTGAGCCCCGCTATATAACCCACTTATGAGATGGCAGTACAGTTACTGGTGGGTACTATAACCCAAGCAACAAAGTGAAAGTGTATAAAAAAATACTTGGCAAGCACACCGTCTAGCGCTGTGAGGTCAGGTACAAGGATCAGTTACGCGATCAGCTATTTGCAACTGATAAAGAGATTGTCGCGCGGAATCGCAAGATGAGCCTAAAGCAAAAATGACCGGGTACCCCTTCGTTGTCAAGATAACAACACGAAGAATGCAAACTATTTCCAATAGGAACAGACGAAATAGAGAGGAATACAGAGATCGCACAGCGCTATGATCAAAGACACGACGCCTGAAAAGTTCGACACTCTGCTGCCTTTCCTTCTGTTGATCTTTGTCTGTGTTTCTCTTTATCTTTTTGGCGCGCTCATTTAAAAAAAAAAAAAAAAAAAAAGCGGAAAGCTTCCAAACACTGAGTGGCGCTAATCCTAGTTTAGTAATGTAAATGGGTCAACCCTTGATGCCTCAGAAACCAGGCATATATATCCCCACAGTAGCACAACAACGACATCAATACCGAGTGGTGATAGAGAGGAACAACAGAGATGAAAACTTAAGATTATTCCAAAATGCAGCAGTGTATATACACCACACAGTTCTAGGGGGCTATTTGTACTTGCGCTTATGCATAGTGCTTCGGATTGGCCTGAACACGATCCTAAGATTAGAGACATATATTGCGGTCAGGGAGAGCCAGGATTTCCACGCACCATAATACGATGATCTGTTGATCGCGGCTTCAAAAAAGAGAGTGTGTGGCGCCTGTACATCCAGCAATCAGCGTGGACTTGTCAGGAGACTCGCTCTGATTCCAATATGGAGGCTGACGAGCCATTCAGCGCCCAGTATTGCCTTTCAGCTTGCCAGTTAGCGTAGCGCTTATGGAGGGGCTATGCAGTTTGACAGAGAGTAAGGCCTTGGGCACGGCTTCTGGAGACACTGTCGATAATAATAATAGCAAGAACAATACTATTTCTTATGGTCGGGGTCCATCCATTCTGAATTAGAGGACGGCTGCCCTTGTCGAATTAGCTTTATCTACTGCCTCTAGGTTCCGCGCCTTGTATCCCATGAGATCAAGAATACAGACTATGCCTATAAATTCTACGGGAAGCTAATGTTTCGCTTTTCTTGGGGATAGTTTCATGACCTCGTATTCGGCAAGACCCCGCACTTTGACCATTCCAGGCGCTCAACTGTGCTTGTGCTGTAGGACGGTCGAGGTTACTGAGAAGACTGATCCATGTCCTCAGAAATGGAAAATAGTGTGGTAACATGAACAAAAAAGAAGCTTTCGGCAGAATAGTGGCTCATCCGGTTGAAGGCTACACTAGAGCTGCACTTGCGCGCATGACTGCATCGGAGTCCTACCTGTGACTGGCGCGGCTGACCAACAATTGGAGGGTGCGTCTGATCGCTGGGTGTTACGCAGCGAATGTAGAAGGTTCTTCTACAATCAAGCATCCTCTGTGTCGACAAGCACCACCTGAGCTCTCCTCAACAGGGTGCTAGAGTGCATCTTTGGGATTCAGTCCGCGACCCGGACGGTATATATATACTGTGCATTATCTGACTCACTATACTCCCAACGAACCTGCGTGGGCAAGGCATTATCGAAGTCATTTACAACAAAGTGTCTGCGGAATAATTTCGGGACCAAAAGCTGGACAGATATACGATAGAATTCAACCCCGCGTAGTTCTGTATATGTTGTGAGCCTCTAACGTAATAGCGAGATGTGGGGCGAAGCAAGGGGGGAAACCCACGGTTCCTTGGATATCTCAAAGCGCTGACTAGTAGCAATGTCATCACTTTCTTTGGAGTCAACATGGCTTCTATTCATGAGCCCATCGTTCTCGTCTTCGACTTCTTCGTCCTTGGCGCAGCCGCAGTCGTAAAAGTCGCCGATCTTATTGCAGTCAAAAATAGGCTTTTTGAGCATAGTATTGACCTCATTGTGAATAAAGCAGCCCCATCCTGAAGCGGCGTTGCGTGAGGATACTTGTGGAGGATACTTCTTCAAGTGACCTTGGAAATGTGAGGCGCATTCGCCACTGATTTACGGTCAGTGTCATCCGGTATGCACTCTCACGCGGAAGGTATATACCATGGATATAATCGTGCAAATAAATAAATGAAGGAGCGCAAAGTTTCTTGTTGTTCCTCCGTCGGATCCTCTGGATACCGTGCCAGCATGGTATGGAAATACTTCCACGTAGCGCGCCCTAATTCCGCCCTAGTATTCCCCATACAATCAGTAAAGATTCAAAACCCCTTGGACCAATGTGTGCGTGACGTACTTAGCCGTCTCATTGCCCAGCTTCGGCATCACCACCTCGCCTTTGACCATATCATCCTTTGTCAATGTAGAATGAGACGCTTTCTCTAGGTGACCGGGGGCTCGGATCGCGGGGCTTGGTGGGCCTTGAGGCCGGACGAAGAAGACAAAGAGGAGGAAGATCGAGACCGCAGCACCAAGCAGTATTCGCCTAGTAATATGACGGTTCGCCATGTTGGAGATGAGGGGCTTGATGTGAGGTAGCAACCGTCAATCGGGGGATACGTCAATGGATTGGAAATTCAACAACGGTTGAGATAAGATTTCTCGATTCAGGATTGGTCTTGGTTTAATTGATCGGAGGTAAATTAGTATAAATGAAAGTAAGATGAAAGGAGCGACTGTGACAAAACAGAGTCAGCGAGAGAATTGTGGTTTTTAGTACTCCGATGTCCCTACATGAGGTTATCCTTTGTTCCGAAGATCAGTCCACGTGTAGATAACACACGACGTTTCACTTGTGCTGCTTAGTCATGGAAGCACTCAATGCAGAAATCAATATCTATTCCAGTTATTATACAAGATGTATCCCCAGTTACTAGTAAAAACTGTGCCATTATGTGGATATCAAGAACCATGCCGATAGAGGTTGCATTGAGCACCTGGATAATGTATGCCAAGCAACCAGTAGGAATGTGGAGATCTACTTGATGGCGTAATTATCTTTAACACCACACTAATACCGATACACAGCCATTATTACCATAGATGCAACGCTTCCACTGGTGACAACGGTTGGTATATGATTCGAAACACAATAGAACTATGAGTCGAAGAAGGAACTAGGAAAACATTCAAAGGCCCTTCTCAGTTGAAAACAGAACTGACTAACATGAAATATGCATGGACAGACGCAAGCACACGAATTAAGAAAGATATGGCAGAATGAAGACTAATTTCCCTCCACAGTTATCCCATTCCTCACACTTTAAATAGAAATAGGCTTAGAAGTGATTGTATTATAGTAAAAAGGCGCTTAAAAGTTTTGCTGGGGTGGCCGCTCGGTCGGGATGGCCACCTGAACGTCGATTACATTATAATATTTTTATATTCATGATATAACTATATTATTACTTTGCCATTTGATGAAAATATAATCTATCAATTCCTCTAATATTTAATCCGTACGGACTTTATTTCTTTTCTTTTCTTTTCTTTTTTTTATTTTTTATTTTTATTTTTTCTTTTTCTTTTGAAAATATACTAAGTCCATATAGTGTCTTCTATAAAAGCCTAATAATCTCTTTCCCTGTTGGGCCACTATACAATTAAGAAGAATGCATTAACAGATCACGCCTTGGTAGCAACAATGATGCCCTCCCCATTGCCCGGTGGTTGGTAGAAGGAGACATCCTTCAAGCCAACGGACGTAAGAAGAGCACGCCACTGCTTCTCGGTGCGTTCGAAAGCACCTACCTGGAGCATCATCATGATGCTGATACAAGCGGTGGCGAAGTCGCAATCCCGATCAGGGATGACCTGGTCATTGATGATTAATTTAGAATAACCTGGCTCCATGGCATCAACGATATGGCTGAGGATATTTTGAGCTTGCTCGTCTCGCCAGTCATGCAGGATCCAATGCATATAGTATGCTCGAGCGCCTGATGGATTGGTCAGTACACATAGAGCCACAGCAGATGAAGATAAAGGAAGTAAAAAGCAGATTCTCCTGCCAAGCCAACAAGAGAAAAATCTATTTTCGTACCTTTCACTGGTTGAACGGTAAAGAAATCATGTGCCATCAACTCAGTACCCTTTGGGGTGTTGTTAATGGTAGAAATCACTTGCGGTAAGTCTTGCAAAATACGACGGCCCGGGGCATCAGGAAATTTGTCATTGAATGCGTGGAGATAGTGTCCTTCACCGCCACCCACATCCACAAGCAAGACATCATCTGGCTGGTTGCGAAAGCCACCGAGGAGGTTTCCTTGAATATCAAACCAGTCCACCCAATTTGGGGCTGCTTGCTGCTTGAGTGTCATCCATTGCTGAAAGTCCTTAGCTAGGGATGGGTTCTCTCCCAACCACGCGAAGTAACTGAGGGGAGTGCTCTTTGCTAGCTGGAAGGGAGTATCTTCTGCGGATGTTGGGAACTGATTGTTATTCCTGCGGAAGTACTCTGGGGCATAGGTAGTGCAATAGTTTCCAATATCGAAACTAAATTCGTCAGAATGGGTGACCTCTGCTTTGACACACTTGGTGTGCCGGGGCGAAAGTTGCATACCATGCTCTAGTTGTCGCTTCAAGGGTTCCATCCGACATCACCATGGTGAGAGGGGAGGGCTTGTAGGCTTGGACCCCTACCTCTGACACATATCCCGCGGCGGCCAGCAACTTCAGGATCTGATCTGCGTACACATATGCCATTAGTAATGTAATTCCCCTGCAAAAATAGTGCACCGAGCTGTATCCGAAGTCCCAAATCAAATACGGGGCAAGCTGAGGATCGACATCGTGAGAGTAGGACCCGTCAAGCCTTAAGGCCGTACGACTGCAACTGCATATTGCAACAGGCATGTTGGAATGAAAAGTAGATAAACCTACCGACAACGATAATACTTGCACCTGACTGGTGCGCGATTTGCTCAGTAGTTGCCCCCTCCCCTTGGTGGTCGCGGATTATCTGGAATACGCCAAGCTGCACACCCATGCGAAGGGCCATAAGCAAAACGGGGTTCTATCATACGTCATGGGCGGGTTAGCGGGTTGACCATTAGGGCAGACATGATGCTGGTTCGGCGAGATGCTTCTCTATGGATGTTTTCGTCACATACTAGGACCACATCTTGCATCACAGTCTCTGGTGGAGAACCGAGAGCGTCCAGGAGGCCTCGTGCTGCTTTGAGAGTCCTAAATCGGGTAGCATCATCAAGAGATTCTCTATTCGATTGCACCGCCTGTGTGAGAGACACAATCTGTTCTTCGAGAGAAGGACTATTTGACTTGTTCTGGTCTGAAACCATTATGAAATATCAACTTCCTGTAAAGAATTTAGGGTATTCAAGTGGGCAGGAGGGGAGCGAAGACTTTAAAATTCCACGACCAACTACGAGGGTTAGGAATATCAAAGATATTTGACATGGCTGAGGGAGACATTGACTTTTGAGACTTAAAAGTCCGGATGCCACGGTGACCCACCGACAAGAAAACTGTGGAGATACGGAGTATGTACGCGGAGGACATACGTTTCTAGGCAAGAGCCATTTTATTTCTTTGCTGGGAACAATATTAATCAGGGCCGCTGTCTCGCATGACGCCGACCAAGACCCAGATAAGCGAGTATGCAACCGTGGCGGAAAATCCCCCGGGCTGAAAATGTTTCAGCCCGAGTCAGTCGGAAGCTGGGTCTTTTAAGGAGGGATGCACGTTGATTGCTGTTCCAATCTCCCACGCGACGACCATGTGGAGCTCCGGAGTCCATTAGATTAAACGTGCGATGCCAAACTTGAGATCGCGGGCTCCACTTCTGCGCCATCGCGATCCATGGCCAGAGCGCCAGTTCGACTCTTGGCCCGAACAATTTATGCAGTGAAATTGCAGATTAGGTAACCTGGTGAGCTCCTGCTTTAAAAGTTATGAGAATCCCGCCATGAGCAGGGCCCAATTGCCTGCGTTGCTGCATACCTGGGCCATGCTCCATTGTCGGAACAGGGCTAGGGATACCAATTGGTCTTTACGGTAACAATGAGTGAGTCTTCGGGCAATGCAGACGTCGCCTACTGTGGTGACTCGCTGATGGTTGTATCCATTGCCATCGCGGTCGTCCAAATCATGGTGGTCATTGCCCGGTTCTATGCCCGCTATTTACAGAGAGTCGCCTACGCAGTCGATGACTACCTAATTATACTCTCTTTGGTTGCTCTCCCTATCTATATGATATCCCGTCTACGTTACTAACTAGACTTCCTTCGTATAGATTGCCAGCCTAGGACAGTCAGCGTTATACATAGTCTGTACGTTCTGGTATCTTCATTCCGAATCTTATGAACACGCCCTGACTTGTGAGAAGTGCTAAAGATTGGTGGGCTGGGCTATCATCTCGAATACGTTATGCAGACTCCCGAGAAACTCGTTAATCTTCAAAAGGTGGCATTATCTGAGAGCGCTAGTCAATACGACCGTTAACCCGATTCCAGGGACTCGTTGCAAACCAAATTCTCGATTTCCCTTTCACCGTGACCCCCGCGAAGATTTCGATCCTTCTTTTTTATATCCGCATCTTCAGCACACCGAAGTTCCGCATGATAGCCTATACGGTTGGTTTTATTGTCCTTGGCCACGGGATCGGGGTCTTTTTCGCGGCGATATTCCAATGTTCCCCTGTGCAGTATGCATGGGATAAGACAATTGAAGGTGGATCGTGCTTTGACCAACAGGCATTCTATCGCTATGTCTCGCCTCCGAACATCCTGACAGATGTCTTGATCTTGGTCATGCCCATGCCATTTGTTTGGAAGCTTCATACACGAATGACACAGAAACTCGCACTGACGGGTGTCTTCCTACTTGGAGGATTGTAAGTACTTGTTGGGTATCTATGCCACCGCCGCCGTCGACTCACGAACTTTCCTCCAGGGGGACTGTCGCAAGCATTTTGCGCATGACTATCTTCTTCCATGAGAATGCTCTTACTGACCCGACCTGTAAGTTTTTAAAATGCGCCCTCAGTTGCTATGGATTGGTCGTCACTAATATTGTTGGACAGGGGCATCTGTTGACCTAGGTATCTGGACCGTACTGGAAGCAGGCATCATTATCATTTCGGCTTGTCTCCCTTCTATCTGGCCGTTAATCGTTCGGATTCTACCACGACGATTGGTGAGCAAACACTCCTCCTCCAAGGCCCGAGGTCACCGGTACACCGCTAGCAATGTCAAGGCGAAAGTAGGTGATGGCTTCTCCCGGCTTGGGGAGAACGTCACTGGGGAGACGGACAAGTGGCCCCTCGACGCGAGTCCCCTGCACGAGAGCCAACCTGCATCTATACACGGCCAAGGGCTAGCGAAGGGTGACAGCATATCACTACGGAGTCTGAATGAGACCCGACAGGAGCCGCGATATTCATGAGTAATGATTCCACCTAGAGAATTTATTCAAATTATGTTTCTATCAAAAGTCACTATCCATTGTTCTCCTATCCCTCCATATGACTTCATGGCCATATGTAATTTCGTTGTTCTTCTCTAACTCCTGATGGACTGAAGCTCTAGAGCAAGAAATTATTGTAAATAAGGATGAGAAAACCAGGGAGCTTACGGAGTAGTCGGCGTTTAATTTAATTTAGTGCAACTAATTCTACGTAACAGCAAACAAATCCCTGTCCTCATTGAATAACTCTGTAAAGTTATAATATATGTGAAAAAGTTAAATCAGTTCATTCATTTTAACCAATTTTAAATAAATTAAATACATTATGATTTATCCTCCAATACATTCATAGGCAAGTGATCGATAGGATGTTCAGAAATTCTAGCTCTTCTTGGCAACCCACAAATCAGCGATGGAAAAGCTATGTACTCCGATAGGTTGGGCAAGACATAACAATTTCCAAGGCTCTGAAGACCCGCTCTGGGCCAGGTATTTAGGACCGTACGATCGTTAGTGGAGTATGTACGTTCATAAGCGAGCATGAACCTCGGCAGCTAATCGTCCGATTGAGTTCGATTTCTGGATTTTTCAGCCCAGAACTCTTCTCCCCGGCCGTCCGGTGAATTCCGGCTCATGGAAGGTTAATGCCTTGAATTGGCCTGTGCATATAGATTCAATGCATAGCTCTGATCATTCTCTATTTCACTTCTCATAACGACAGATCTGGGCAAGTTTACTGACTTGGGTGGCGGTTGTGTAAAGAGGGAATGTCTAATCAATCCCAAGGAGTATAGGGTTAGATGATGCCTGAAAATTCTGTAAAGACTCAAAAGATATAACAATCTTCAATGTATATCATGATATTGTGCAGGAGTAGTAGTTCGAGGGAATCTATGTGCCGGCGAAGAGCTCGGACAGAACAGCTTTTTTGAACAATGCTCAAGAGCAACTTAGGGTCTACACGGTATATACCATCTATGTGTGATTGAAATATACTACAACTTCTACTCCGTAGTTTTAGTGTACTAGTATATAGAAGACTATGCGCTAGGCTAACATCATACGCCTCCGGGGGATGTACGGGACTCTACCCTCCTGAGTAAAGTGTTCCCACCACGGTATTAATACTGTGGAGAATAGCTTTGTGGTATTCGGTGTAGAGGCTATATTATGGTTCTGGGAATACCGTGCTTGGTAGGTGTGACTTGAATAGGCGCAATCTGTTGGAGAGGGGCTTATGATAGTAATTGCAAGTATGTACACCGCAATCGACAGAGGTGTGCACCAAAAGTCGTCGCGCCAATGAGTCGACTTTTTATACTTTTAATAGTACCCGGTTTTATAATTTCAATCAGGGCTTAAAAATAACCAAGAAATGGTTAAGTTATAAGCATTTAGAAACTGGCCCATTTTTGACGCATTGCGCGCGAAAAGTTAAACAAAAATGCCAAGAATTGAAGATACTTTTGCATACTCCGTACGCTAAATCCGTTATTGTGCTCCGCAACTTTTCCTTTCTCTCCGTTCGCGGATCGCAAAACATACTTCCAGACTGGAAAATGGCATTTCTGAGGCCTTCTACTTTTCAATCCTTGATCCGGAATACTAGGACACCTTTCCTGCGGGTCCAACAGAGACGATGGGCGCAGGTGCACGATGTCCGCTTCCTCGCCACGCATCACGATCCAAAGCTGGTGTTGGAGAGATACCGGAACAAGCTAGATGAGAAAGCTCAACAGTCAGTATTCCACAGGATAACTCAATTCTAACTACGATCTGCCTTTGCTTTCTGTGCCTAACATGCCGTAATAGAGAAGGACACGGCTCCGTCGACTCACTGAAGGACGCATACAAAGAGAAGATCGATGACTTCCGTCGCAAAGCGTCCACCATTGTCACCCCGGAACCCTCGAAACCTACTCCCTCTCCAACAACATCCGCATCTCATACTCCTCCCCCCCCACCTTCTCCCCAAGCCAACGCCGCATCTGAAGCTTCTGGCAAATCCTCCACGGGAATCAAGCCTCTCAGCTCCTTCATCGACGTCGAGAAAGTCCTCGACCTCCCACCAAAGGAGATCGAAGCTATCTGGCGTCTCCGCCATGCCAGCAACCCCCACTCCGTCTGTGCCGTCATCCCGGTAGAAACATACCAGCGCATTGCCTCGGCCGCTCGCCAAAACCCCCAATTCGTCCTCCCCCTGCCCCGCACGCAAGCCGAGACCGAGCAATCCGAGCAGCAGGGAGATGATGCCGCCAACGCCGGCGCAGAAATCCACTTCCTTCAGTGGGCATTTCATCCGGCCGCTCCAACAGTCACTTCCGGACCTTTGGCTAGCTCTCACACCTCCACCGTTATCTTCACCCAACTCGCCGCGTACCAGTTGCATGGCTCCTACGCCCAGCCCCATACGACTATTACACACCACCTCGACCTAGCCGATGAGAAGGGTCTAGTCCTCATGCATGGCCAGATCATGCCAGACTCGGGTATTTCCTCCACTGACGCGACCTGGTTGGTTAGCTGTGTTCAGCGCTTCTATGATTTCGGTGGCCAGGCCAGTGGACGAAAGGGCGAGCTGCTTCGCTCGTTCACCAAGGGAGATACCAACGTCTTCAAGATCGAGGCGTTGCTGGAGGAGGCGGAGAAGTTGTAGATTATGTTACTCGTTTGATTCTAGCGTTGTATTACTTTTAACCTTTTCAAAATTGGTTCTGTTTTTGGGATAGACCTAGAATACAGCAATACTATGTACGATAGATGGCACCGCTCATGATACTCATTATAGTCATCCCCATTTTGTGAGCCTTTGGCCAAGGGGTGGGGCTTCCTCTGGTTTTTGGTCTTTTAGTTTTGCAAAGTGTGCCGGACACATGATTTAGCAATAGGGGCTCTATACCGGAGTGAACTGTGCCGTACCGGTTGCTTGAGTAACCACCTAACGGGAAGGTTGACGGGAAAGTGAAGGAAAAGGAAAGGTACGGAGGGTCACGTTAGGCTCACAGTGAAATGGTCAGTTTATTAATCAGAGTAACAGGGTCTAGAAACAATGTATATCGAAAAAGTAGTAAGCTGGGCGTTCTTGAGACCATCGACGGGACCTTATGGCTGTGAGATAGAAAGTCAACCTTGCAACTTAAACCGCCCTATAAAAATAAAGCTGATAGGATATAACGCCCGTATAGAATCCAGTGACAAAAAAAACATCGTAAGCGCATAATTTCGCCGAACATAACCTGTATGAATACAAAACGTCAATGCCTAGGGCATCACGTACCAAACCACGAATAGAAGCAGAGCTGGAATATGAACAAGGCCTGGCATAGGCGAGCCAGGAAAGGATTTGGCGGAATAAGAATTAATCGTTAATCTATTGCGGCAACAAGGGCAGCACTGACTGCAGCCACCTTTGAATCGTTGAAAAGGCCCCGGGGCCCTTCTTTTGTAATAGGCTCAAGAAGTATTAGGAGATGATATAGGGGAAATGTGATTGTGTTGAGTAGAAGAGGCCAACAGCAAAAGCCCGCATACTGAAGTCAGCCTAAGACGGTAGGTCATTCATGCAAGGGGCAATCATCTATCAGTCATGATCGATGACTTCTTCCTTGATAAAGGAATGAATATGCTCGAAGTAGCCTGGTTCAGCAACGCTGTCATTGTGGGCACCGTTTGGCAGAGTGCGCCATACTTTGCGTTCTGATTGGCAAACAGCAAAGAGCTGAGTCATATTTGACGGACTATACACGGTCTTGTGTCAGTTCTGTTTCCTTAAGGCTGTACCCATGAGGAAACTTACGGGACAATTTCGTCCTTCAATCCGCTAAGGAAGAGGATGGGGACTTTGGTGATTTTAGGCAGAATCTCTTCACTAGTCCAATACTGGTGACAAAAGCGAGCAAGGTATCGGGCGGGAGGGAAAACCCTACATGCACGTTAGCACAAGGTGAGTGAGGTGGTGTAGATGGTAGCGAGCATACGTCGGAATCAGCTTGCGAATACTCAAAAAAGTATTTTCAAGAATCAGGCCTCCAATATCACCCTTATCTTGGTTCTCAGCCACAAGATTGATCGCGACCGCTCCTCCTAGACTCTGTCCATAAACTACAACCTTGTTGTTGCTGGTCTCCGCTCGTTGTCGGATATAGTCGAGTCCAGTTTGCGCATCGATTTTTAGCCCTGCTTCGTCGGGGACGCCGGTCGAGAGCCCGTAGCCGCGATACTCCAGCATAAGCACATTGCAACCTAGTATATCGAGTAGGACCCTCGCAATCGGAATCCGGTGACCAATATTTCCGGCATTTCCATGGAACATCAAGACAGTAAGATCACCGGCAAGACCTTTCCTAGATGGACGAAGGAAGAGCGCATGTAATGACTCTCCATCCGGTGTAGGAATCTGGAGCTCTTCGTAATTGCTGACCCCAAACTGTCGGGGCTTCGGTACGTTGGTGCGCGCATCGGTAGGAACATTGCGAGGATAGATCAACTCACTGCACACGTGGTTAACTTCTAACTCATGCACCTTATGGATACACTATACTACCAAACGAGCACACGAAATTGGAGAGCACTAACTTTTGTTTAAAATACAAAAGACCGCTGGCAACAACTGCCAAACCAGATGATGCCAAAACAGGCAGCCTTAGGTACTGAGCGGCACTGTTGGCCATGCTGGTGATACTCCAAGACGGTGGGGGCGGCGGAGACTCGGACATTATAGTGGACAGGTTAGTACGGGTAGATGTGGACGTGCAGTCTTGAGTATTCGATAGAACTGAGACACGAGGTAGTTCGAAAGTCTAAAAGAGGTAAGGAGATAGCAAGGAAGATAACCCGGGGCCCAAGCTTTCAGGGAGGAGCTTTGAAAACGGGGTTCAATAGCTCAAGAGCTGGTAAATGATGGCGTTTCTTCGAACCGGAACCAATGGCTGGGGGAAGTTGTTCAGGAGGCTTGCGGGGAGAGTGTGTCTGACCAATGGGATTGCTGTTTCTACTCACCGCCCGGCGTAACCAGCTTCAGCTGCCAACGTAACGCGTTCGCCTGCCTTGAGCTCCGTCAGAGCTCTTCGGAATATTCATTCTATTAACACCTCATCCCCTCCTCCTTCCATCAGCCCTTACGACTTCGATACTCCATTAGCTCGCCGTTCCATTTTCATCAACGTACACCAGTCGTTGGTTGTGCCTTATCGCGAGCTACGCTCCACGTTTTCACGAAGTCCCACTATACTTTCTCTATCAGCCAATATGGTCGGTCACGGCGCCTCAGGCATGCTGGGTGAAGGTCAGATAGGTCCCCATCGACATAAGAGTGATGCAGCAGTGCAGTGACTGATAATTTATGATAGATGGTATTCATGTTGATATGAACCACCTGAAGAGCGGCGAGGTCAAGTATGTCGTCACCCCGACCTATGATGGTGTCCCCTCGACATGTTAACTAATTTCTTTTCTTCAAAATAGCCTAGGTACCTCGATGTAAGTACAAACGGCTAGCCACATGCTTTCAGATGGTGTGTTGACCAGGAATAGTATGGCAATCAACTTCAAAGATGGTGTTATATTAGGTGCCGACAGCCGGACAACAACGGGAGCTTACATTGCCAATCGAGTCACCGACAAATTGACGCAGGTTCATGATACCATCTGGTGCTGTCGATCCGGATCTGCTGCAGATACGCAAGCCGTGGCGGATATTGTCTCCTACCACCTCAACATGTATTCGATTACCAACAATGAGGCCCCCAGCACCCAGGTTGCCGCGTCGCTGTTTCAGGAGCTGTGCTATGAGAACAAGGATATGCTGTCGTAGGCGCTCTCCTCTATGCTCGGAGCAAAGAATCACCGCTAACCTGACTGGCTGTAGTGCTGGTATCATCATCGCCGGATACGATCCCCGACATGGCGGCCAGGTATACTCGATACCGCTTGGCGGATCCCTACACAAGCAGCCTTATTCCATTGGTGGATCTGGTTCGACCTACATTTACGGCTACTGTGATGCGAACTGGAAAGAAAATATGACAGAAGAAGAAGGCATTAACTTTGTTCGGGGAGCATTGCGAGAGGCTATCAAATGGGACGGAAGCTCGGGAGGTGTGATTCGACTGGTAGTATTGACGGCTAAAGGAGCTCAGAGACATCTCTACCTACCTGACACGGATTACACCGGGCCGGGTACCACCAACTGATGGATATAATCGTATTGAATGATGATCTGTTCGACTTTTCTTTGTATTGGACTGTGATTAGCTGTGAACCCCCCCCGTCTGAGTAGCATGATAGAGGAACCATTGTGATCTTGTGTGAGGGCATTAGAAGGAACTCCACAAATATCAAATCGAGAGAACAAGTAATCTCTTGCCAATGAACAGTAGCACTTATGGGTTTTTGACCTTGGTTTCTCTTGCAGTAATATATGCTGAAATCTTCTCTGCATTTAGGTTTTCGATTAATAAATAATAAAAAAAAAACCTTTTAATAAATTAATTAATTATTTTATTTTTTCTGAATAGTTGTAGTAATCTTTCCATCATCCAAAAAGTAACAAGGAAGCATTTTCCCAAAACATGGCTCGGTGGAAACATCAATGTCGGGCGGTCAAACCGGAGAAGAGGGTCAATCCATAAATGATATCAATAACTAATTGGGTTGGAGCAATAGGAGGAATAGAATTCAAGCAGTCGAGCACTATGACACAAAACCACCGCCAATCGTTCTTCGCTCATCCACACACCTGCGCGTCCGGAGACTCGTCATTGGTCTATGCGTCGACACTATCCAGTCGACGATCAGGATCCGGGCCGTTATAAGTATGTATAAGTACATAGTAGTAAGTAATAGTTACCTCCTGGCTAGCATTGAATTCTGACTACTCTCTTAGACTCTGTTGTAAGGGTCGACTATCCGCTGAGAAAGGGTCCACCTTCTCCATTCCAGGTGATACGTACCTAGATTTGATGAGATCGGTGGTCGGAGACTATTCTTAAAGAATAGCATAAAGAGTATGTTTTTATATTATCTGTCTTTGCAGTAGGAATGACGACGCTGAAAGGTCAGTGGTTATTTTTAAATTTTGAAGCAAGTTCAGGGACTAAATAAAACTTGCATGAGTGGTTGTGGTCGAGTGCTGCTTGCCCGGTGGGCCCTTTGAAGTCACTGATCGATTGCACCTCTGGATCCTCTCATTCTGGACTTGATCACCTCTTCCTTTCGCCACACGCATGCTCTCCCTCGACCACTTACCCTTACCCCCCCCCTCTCTTTCCCCAGCTGCTCCTCCACCCGTTGTTTTGGGGGCTCTTTTTAATTTGCTTCCAATTCAATTCAAATCGGAGTTTATCCCCCCCTCTCTCATTGATCGAGCGCAATGGAGTTCCCTGTCTTTGGTTATCGGCTGTGATTCCCTTCCCGCTGCCAGCCTGGGTTGGGTTCACTAAGTGCGCTCTCACCTGATATTGATCTAGGCTCAATTCATTGCGTCTTCGATAGTCAAAAGAGACCCATCAATTAAGTGTATCTGATCCCTCACCCGGCCTTTCTTTCTCCTGTACTCCGTACAATAACTTGGTTTCTGCGTTTCTTATTGCTTGTTCATCCATTTCATTTTTTTTCCCCCTATTAAATCAACCATACATCTTGAGTCTGAATGATTCCCCTTGTCCGATCTGTTTGTCTCAATGACCCCTCACCTCATAATGTCGCTCCAACGGGCTCTGTCGCTGACTTCTGCAGCTTCTCGGCCCTTGGCTTTTAGCATAGACCACCGCGTGTTTTAGCCGTCGCCCAGACGCCTTGACATGGGATCAGTCCTCCTCAACCATCCGCGGTCGGATCACGTTGACAGCTCCTACACCATGCTGGGAGGCGCCATCACTCCCTCGGAATCCGTCTATCGACCTTCATCCCATCAAACTTCTCACCCATCATCTCACTTGGACACCGGCAGTTCCAGGTCCACGTCGACCAGTACCACCCCCACTTCCTCCACAGCCCCGCCATCAACATCCGCCGCCGGCTCTGCTCGTCTGCACTCCCACTCTTCGCATGATGTGCCTGCCTATATCAACCGGTCATCTCACACACCATCTCAACTGTCCACACGAGAATCTTCAGCCACGCCGGGATCGACACACACCCAGCCTCCCTCAATGAGTTCCACCCATGTGCCTTATCCTGACACTTCCACTTACCCCGCGCTCCATCGCTCCCAACATGTGAGTACCAACCAGACTGCTGCTGCGCCGATCACCGGTTCTCACCGGGAGAGTCACTCATCTCCCGCTTCACCTCGGCTGAAGCCGACACACCAGTCTCTGCGGTCACTGGGTGGGTCAGAAGCGAACTCCCCGAGCCGTATCAAGGTCCGTGATCTGTCTCATATCCAGAGCTTTGCCAGCGAAGAGTTCTTGGCCCAGTCGCAGAGGGATCGAATGCCCGGGCAGTGGTACCAGGAGCGCCAGTATGAGATTAGCTCTATGCCAGTCACCGATATTATTGAAATGGTCGCTGGACTTCTTACGAAAATAACCACGACCAATGACACGCACCATGAGCAGATTCATCGACACATCCCGCCCCCTGATGGCACAGCAAGCCTTAGCCCGCAAGCCACGAGTGTGCTTGCATTTCATGGCAAGAATGTACCGAGCATCAGCATTCTCAGCTATCTGACTCGCATTCATAAGTACTGTCCAACTACTTATGAGGTCTTCCTAAGCCTACTAGTGTACTTTGATCGCATGACCGAACTAGTGAATAAAGGCCAATTGGAGCGTCTCCAGCGGCGCTGGGGACATGTCCGAGCGGACTCCGCCTCTCGGCCAGGGTCTCAGGCGTCGGCAGTGAAACCTGCGCACGATTCGCCCATGGTGACTCCCCCTTCTTCTGCTGGAATGAGAGCGCAGGACCCGACAAGTCCATCTTCTATATCACCGTCTTTGCAACCCCAAGAAGATGACTATCTTTCCCAATTTTTTGTTGTCGATAGTTTTAACATTCACCGGCTGGTCATCGCGGGCGTGACCTGTGCCAGTAAATTCTTTTCCGATGTTTTCTACACTAATTCTCGATATGCGAAGGTATTTTGTTGTCTTCCTGAGGTCCCTTTCCTACCAGAGCTAATTTATTCTAGGTGGGAGGTCTTCCGCTGGTTGAGCTGAACCACCTCGAGCTTCAATTCTTACTACTAAACGATTTTCGACTCTCAATACCAGTTGAAGAATTGGAATCATATGGAACCATGCTTGTCGAATTTTATGCACGGGAGATTGTTGCTCAACAACAGCAACAGCAGCAGATAACGTCTCAAACAGAGGTGCCTCGTCCGTTCGGCGCATCTACGGGGACGGACCCTCAATCGGATGCGATGTATATGCGGTCTCACGAGAAGCGTCGCCCCGATCAGCCGGAAATTCGACAGACCCCAACGCCACCGTAACTCTTGAGTGTCGAACCATTCAACTCTCTCCCCTCTTATACGCACGGTTTAGCGACTGTTATTCGATAGGATGATGTCATTTGTGGCTTCTAAGTATCAACGATTGATTGTCTCTCCAGTTGACGTCACATACCCCCACTACTTTTTGTCTGCCGATCTCCTTTAGTGCGCGCATCTTCGGGTCACGACTTGTTCTTCTACTTATAGACTCTTGGCTGCTAGCATGTTGGTATATTATCTGTGTTGATTCTCATGGATCCCGATTATTCTGTGTTTCCGGTACTTAATGTACACAACTCCATTACCTCTGCATATGTTATCTTGACATCGGCCGGTGTTTTCGGGCGTTCTACTGTTGTCTGGGTTATACGGCCGCGAGAATCGTTTCATCTTTGTAACTTGGTCTTCCTTCTTTATAATCTACTCTGGTCAACATTTTCGCATCTATATCTCCCTGTTTCAGATCAAGTCTGGAAACTCCGAGTAAGGGTTCTTCTCAACCACGTACTATTTTCCACCAGCAGTAGTTTTCGGTGGGCTCACTTAAGGGACCAGCTCGATGCGTGCTCTCCATACACTGTATTATAGCTGGCTGTGGAGTTGACAAGACGGTTTAATTGCCTGCTACAGAACGGTGACTGCAGCAGAAACAACGAAGGGCGATTAATCGACACACAATTTACTATTCAAAGGAGTCAAATTGTGGTCACCTCTCGACAGGGCTGGCGCTTCGGCTTTCCAACATCCACTTCTCTATCTCAATTCATTTATTGTCGTAAGTGGGGTGTTTCCCCATTATTGAATACCTAACAAGTCCACAGATGATTCATTGGAATCCCTATTACTCTTTTCAAACGGCTGGAGTTATTGTTCTAATAGCTTTCGCCCTGTTCATCTCCGGGAGGTTTACAACGGTAAATGTGTAGTACCCCAAGGGAAAAAAAGACTTGGACGTGATTTGACAATGTGACTTGTGCGCAGTCAGCAGTAAAAGCGCCCTTTCTATCCTTCTACAATTAACTCATCATCTCCCGAATACCTTGCTAACGGTCTTGTGTTAAGGGATGATATATTTAAATTCCTCGAAATCCTAAGAGCAGATACCGAGCAATCCAATTATGCCTACGTCTCAACATTGCTGGACTGGTTCAAGCACGAAAGTTCAAATAGACGACCTGGATGTCTTATACTCTCTGTCATAGGCGAGATTTCATGCAGATTTGGTACAAAGACCGTGAGCATTTGATTGCAACCTCGATCATGCGGCGGTCCATTGTTCAGCTTTTTATGGCACTTGATTATGCCCGCGATCTAGGTATAATCCACCCTAGTAAGGGCTGCATATAATACAGTGCTGTTGTTACTGCAGTTCTCACACAATTTACATAACAACCTGAATGTTAATTCAAATCGAGGACGAGTGGCTCGTCTGTATGTTATACCTGCCCAAAAGCATCGCAGATTTAGCGGTAACTGATCCTTCGACACTCAGCCTCCCAGGTGGGATTACCTTGAAGACGGTGCAAACTTTGTCGAGTTTGACATTGCGTTGGGTACTTGATCTCTCGGTCAGGTGCCAAGATCACTCGTTTCTAAAGGGGAAAAAGTGTTGGTGCAGGAAATACTCGATGACACAGGGAAGGTGAGCTCCACTAGACCGCTTATCGTCGGAATTGGAGCGTTCTTGTACGGGTTGGATGAAAAGTTCCGAAGTGACCTTAGAGCATTCTTATGGGCTCTGATGAAGGTTAGCCCGTCAGAGAGAAAGAGTACTATGGATATACTTGCTGAGCCTTTGACTACATGCGGTTATGACATTGCTGTCATGTAGCATAACTCTTCTGTCAACAGCTACCGGTGTTCGATTCCTACTCGGGTCAAGAATGGGCGAAGTGATACGGTTCGTACAGTCTACTGTGGTACTAAAGTCTATTGATACCTAATAAGAGAAGAGCAACACTCCAGACTTAAGTGCGACCGAACACTTGCCAATACACAAAGCAGGCTGGTTTACATTCAACAGCACAATCATCACTGTTTTGCACAATCGTAGTCCTATACGGAGTACCTCATGACAGAAATCGTCCGCAACCGTCCAAGTATACCTCAAGAATGTGGAGTGGGGCGGGGCGCTATCAGCCCTGTTTTTACCCAACCCAACCAGCAACAATGGAATTGATTCCGAAACCAGAGATTAAATTAATTATTCCGGGAGACCCAGCCATTCCACTGGGTCCGTTCACGCCTCCTGGAAAGCATAATGCTTATTCGGAGTACCAGTACACCTGTCAACAGTGGATGCTTCCCCTGTCATATGAAAACATACACCCCTGCCAAGTGAGTTACCTTTACGCTACCTACGATACCGACACTCCTAGGACTTAACAACCAAAAGGGATGACACTGAACTTAGCTAAGTCATAATGTCAGTTCAGATTCACCAAAAGTCCCATTCCCAGTCCGGAAAATGCCACAACAGTCATCCCAGGAAGTAAATCCTGAAAGCGTATAATCCTTTTCCTCTTACAGTACCATCTCTCCTCTACCTAGTAGACCATCAATGCAATTTAACCAGTCACCAATTCAACCCCACTCGGTTTAGAAAACTATATAAAGCCCTGATCCATGTAGCATAATACTCGAGAAGATCATTCAATCACACCCATCCAATATCATATCTTGTCTCAGATCTCTCGTATTATGTACCATACATACTAATATCTTACCTACCTTCACTATTCCTACAAAATGGTCGGCCAGGCTACTACCATTCTTCTTACTCTTCCCCTTCTTCTCCAGATCGTACCGGGAGCAGTGGGTCGTCCCGCTCCATCGGAGGATGGGTCTCTTTGCAGATTTGGGGCTTGTGGACCCGATACTGACTCCAGAGGACATGATCAATCTGATGGTCCTAGCTGGGGAAATGATGACGACGACGACGACGACGACGACAACAACAACAACAACAAAAATGACGAGATATGCACTCCGGAGACGGTGACAGTGACAGTGACAGCTATATCCACCGATCATCTTCCTGGGTAAGTTCAGTCGAAGTATATGTACAGCCAGGAGGCTGGGAGAGAGGGAAATTCATCGAGACTGACACCCATATTGTATGTATAGTCCAACCACCACCATTGCCGGTCCCACAAACACAGTAACCATTACAACTGATGGCCCTGCTGTAACTTCAACTATAACTGAAGCGTTTACTTCAACTGTAACCGACGCTACCACCAGCAACCAGGTAGTAACAGATACCGAAACCATCACAATTACTGTCACAGATGCCGAGACTCCCACAACTACCAAAGCTACAGCTACTGCGACCTCCAGTCCGACAAACGGTGCAGACAGTGGGGATGGCCCTGACTACGGGACGTGCTCAGATCCGACTATCCGGTGGGCGGATGGACTCGATGGACGGACGGAGTATTCGTGGATTACGAATAATCAGGATGATTTCCCGCATAAGTCGTCGACGACTATTAATACCTTGATGGTTTTCGTTTGTAATCGGCTTCGGAGTCCGTGCAATGCTTCGCAGGCGGTGGTTGATCGATGTTATTCGGCGGCGGGGCAAGTTAGTAATCGTGGGTTGAAGGGGGAGAAGGCTTCGGATTTATGGAATTCGTTGATGGCTTGAACAAAGTACCTTTCCTCTTTTACTGTTTCATGTTCAGTGTTCCTCTTAGTATGTTGTGTGCTCGGTGGTTATAGAGAGATATAGTCTTTTCCAACTCGGGCTAAATCTATTGTCAGGCCATAGATATAAAACCCTTTGGATTTGTCTTACCAGGATCTACGTGCTCAAAACTACGAAAGTAAGAAAGAGAAAAAAAAGAAAAAAGCAAAAAACGTGAATTGGCCCACCCACCCGCTCCTAAGTGTCAGAGTGTATTACATGACAAGAAGATGTAATGCTGCTGATGCAGACAAGAAAACAAAGAAAAAACAAAAGAAAAACATAAGAAAAACAAAGGAAAACCCTGCTCAATCCGAAGATTGAACAGTCAAACCCCCCATCCACCCAATCCACAACCCTAATCCCAACTCCCCGTCCCCAAGTCCACCTCCCGTTCCATCCGTTGGTAGTCCGCTGTGTCTTCCCGTCAGCTGATAAAGTTAAGAGTTAAGATTAGTAGGGCTGACTTACTCCATAAGGCACGGACCACCGCTACCACTCCACCCACCTTATCCAACTCTTCCCACCATAACCCAACTCTTTCCACCTAATCCACCCAACCCCGTGACTTTGACGAAGACACGGGGCACACCTGAAACAACATGCGGTTAGTCGGAGCCAGTGCGGAGGGGGATGACGGTACTTATCTTTTTGTTGTTCATACTCTTCTATGAACCCTGTGTCTTCGGCAAAGACACACGGCACATCTGAAACGACACGCGGTTAGTCAGAGCCAAGACTGAGTGAAGACGGCGGTACTTATCTTTTCTTCATTACATTACCAAGCCTTTGTATTATCGGTTGGAGTCCCTCCATCTAGTCGGTCCGTCGGCGTCGGCGTCGGCATCGTTCGTCGGGAGTGGCTGGTGCTCCTGGCAAAGGTGTACGACTTAAGCCCCGCGTACGGGTGTGCGTCATTACCCCTGTTAATAGGGAACCCTTAAACCTAGGACGTCCTCTGCTTTTGTTAGCCTCTAATACCCAGAGACAGAAGGTATCATACGTACCTATTGGGGTATGCAATTGCGCCACCAATATCACAGCAGGACATTACACCAGCAACTGTGAATCATTAGCAGCACCTGGATGGTCTTCAGGGAAGACCAGAGCCAGCCAATCAATGGAAACAAAGGAAAAAGACGAAAGAGTGGATGACATGCTCTGGGATAAGGAACGTGGGAAGGTGCGTGGGAAGGTGCGTGGTAATGAACGTGGGAAGGGGCGTGGTAAGGACCGTGGTAAGGAACGTGAGGGAGAGAAAGAGACAATTAAAGAAAGACTTGGGTTAGGAACGGAAGGCTTACAAGTAAAACCTTCCACGCTGCCTCTGTTTCTCTCGCCAGATGTTGAAACCCCTGATAACCATGGCTTCGGTCCACCTGGGATGCTGGAGCTTAATGCTCCGCATAGTATCCCAGGCGCACCCTTGCCGGCCACAGGGGATTCCAACAGGAGGGAACACCATGAAATCGACGTGGCTGGTGAGCATGTCGTACCTGTCTGAGCCCCACGTCGTGATGTACTTCTCGGTTTCGCCGTCGCAATCGGGTTCTGAAAGAGGGACTACCCTCCAGCCTTGGAGGTGACCGAACCAGGACGGAAAGTGAAAGGAGTGTTCGGACCGGACAATCCAGCGAGAGACAGGGATCACCGTGGTCTCGCCGAAACGAACGCTCTTCACAGGCTTGACCTTACGGCTTGTAGGAACAAGCTTGGTAAGGGCATGCTCGATCCGAGCAATCGCTCTTTGAGCACGGTTAATCTGGTTTCCCGCTGGATTGACCGGCTTGGTCGGCTTGCGGATGGCGGGCTTGGTGGGCGCTGGCTTGCGGTGGGCGATCGACGGGTGTCCGGGGGACGGTTTGCGACTGGTCGAGCTGGGCTGAGCCCAGGGTCGGAGTCGGGCCTGTCGAGTCGCCCTTCTTTCCGCGAGGTGGGAAGAAAGGGCCTTTAGCGCAGCCACCACCCCAGTGCGAGCTGGGGCAGCAGTAGAAGGAATGGCTGGTGCTCTTACCGAGCGAACCGGGAGATGAGAACCCTGGCTCATCTGAGAAAAGGAACGGTCACCGGTCGACGAGGTCGACGAGGTGCAAAAGGAGTGGACGCCGGGCTTCGAGGAGACCGGCAAAAAGGAGCGTGGCGAGACAGGAGGGTTGGCACGGTACCTGACACTTCGAGGGAATGAACAAAAGGCTGGTTGTGTCGTGAACCGTGCGGAGGGCCTGTCGCGGCGAAAGATAAACCCAGGAATGCAGAGGCGAGCCATCTGTCAACCTGGTCAAAAAACGGGAAAAAAGGTAGTAGGGGAGAGGCGGAAAAATGGAGGAAAATGGGGGATCAAAAAAAGACGCCGCTAAGCGTAAGTAAAACACCAAAGGTGAATGACAAGCGTATAGTGCAAATAGCAGGATACTAGCATCAAACGACCATGAGGTGTTGGAGAGAAGAAAAAGAGAAGAAGAGGAAGAGAGGAAGAAGGAAAAGAGAAATGGGCTGGGGGAGGAGGGAGAGGGAGAGAGTGCGTGTTGCTACCGAATGGCAACTGCAACTGCAACCACTTTCCAAGGTATTGTTTACTTGAACTGCCATAAGGGAGGTGCTGAGAGGGTAACTTCGCTGAGCATTACCAAGGGGAGGCTGTAAGATGGGAAAGCTTGACCGAAGCTTCTTTCTATATAGAACCCAGTACTCGGCCTAGTAGTAGCACTATAACAACTTGATATTGTCCTGTCTACAACTATACTTTGATTTAGTTAGATTCCACACTTGCATACATTCCATGGCTAGTAGTAGTACCTTAAAATACATATTTCCACTTCGATATGCCGAGTAGGGCTGATATCAAGTAGTACCGATGTATGAGCCATACGCCGAGAGTAGCCTCAGTGTCTATGCCATCCTTCCTGTTGGGTAATCCCCATGGAAACACTCGTGACCGTTTCCCTTTTTAGGTCTTCTCCTTCCTTCCCCCAATCGCCATCATCATTCGTCAACGTCGTCATTTTTGTTTCCCTGACGATAAGAGCATGGACCAGGCAAATGCTGGGCGGGCACCTCGCTCTAAGCTGCCCAAGGATCTCAGTCTTTGGAAGAGCTATCGACACTCCACCAACGATGAACTCGGTCTAACATTCTCCACAATAGGCTGGACCAGGTTCACGACAACGCCTCCACCGAAGCCCCTGCCCGCGCCACTGCCTCTTGAGAGCGTCCAAGAAGACAAGCAGGAGCTGATCCCAAGCCCTGAAGAGGGCCCGCAAACTTGACGCTCTCCTCCGTGCCCCCGATCCTGAAGAAGAATCCGCGACATCAAATCCCTCTTCTCGAGACCCTGAATTGTGCATGCGGCCCTGGTTGTCAGGTGTAATTGGCAACCGAGTCTCCGACGACAAGCTCGCATCTCATCGTGGCGATCGACCATTTACTAAACCGATTCTATCAATTGTCGCGATTATGACTATCGACCCAACCTAGGTTGGGTGATAGGGATAGGTCAGGGACAATAGCAGGTATGTATATCCTCATAATCCAGATCTCGGCTGGGTAGGATGGGAGGGGTCCGGGCTATCTTACTACTCTAGCTACCAACTACAACGCCGGGGGCCTTGGATGGGTGGCAGGGACGGGCCTGGGATATATACAGTTATTCCTTTTGTTTCACAGGTAATGGTCTGGCTTATATATGTGTTAAAGATGGATCACTGACACTGACTATTCTTGAGATCAAATCAACAATTACTACGCCGCGGGACACTACTGGGCTATGTCGGTGTGATCGAATCATACTACTGAACAGAGATGAACCAATACGAGTAAGTAAATTGCCAATGAGCTTCTAATGAGAAGATAATCATAGTATTTAGTCTATTCAAGTAGGGGTACCGGATCAAAGGGGTCACGGCTACAGTTATGAGATGATATGATACCCTTTCCCTCGAGTCTAATAGCTATATATACCGATAAAACCAAGGCGAGCTTCTGTTTTGAACCACCTATGTTTCCTTCACCAAACGGTTAGAGCTTTGACTAGCTTGACGTTGCCAATGGTGAATTTCCACATCCGAGTGACTATATATACGTGCTTTGACACAGCTGCGATTTATCGAGACCTCGAGAATGAATTAATGAGCTTCAACTGTCTGAGTCACAATTTAACAAAGAAAAAGCGATTCGAAGCCCCTGATCATTACAACGGAATATAGTTCCTTTGATCCAGGTTCGTCTCTATGTACTTATCTCTGAACTAACCCTGTTTCAAAGCTAAAGGCGAGGAGCCACCGCTTGAAGAACCTTTACAGAGCGCCTTATTTCTGTTGAAGATCACTCTACCGTGAGTGACATGCTTCCATCCCCGAAAACACAACATTGAATATTCTGCAGCTGAACATATAGTTCACCGACTGATACATGAAAACATTCAACACGTCAGATGATCTGTTATTTTCCGAAGGTTTAACAACAGGTAGCGACTTCGAGAAAGTTATAGCCCACAATAGACGGCCGGCACCATTGATCTCTTCTCAGAACTATAGAAGCTCGACTGTTGTATTGGAACTCGCTCCTAATATATGCAAGTATAGAATGAACATCCAGGGTAAGGGACCACATAGGAAAGTATCAAGACAGGGAAGTGTACCTACTCCAGAAACTGAAGATGTTATTTTTGGGCGTTCTCCGATTAACATGAAGAGCCTCCAGTTCATTCTCCGCTTCAACTTTCAGTTGGTTCACGCAATTTTGCATAGTAGAAGCAGTGCATATATCTCTCTGAATAAGATAGAGACTCCCTGTTTAATGGTAGGTTGATATACTTGCGTAATGACATGAGGATATGCACCCTAATGATAACCCTTTACGGTTGCGCTCTATACGCTGACCCCAGGATGAAAGTGCTAGGAAAGCTAACATCACAAATAGTGTTAAGTGTTGTAAGCAAACGTTCTGCTGGGAGCTTGGCCACTGACTTAATTTTCTGTGTCTTCAGGAAGTCCACAGACGACAAATAGCCTTGGAATAGGACCCTTGGTCGTGTAAAATTGGCCTGCCTGTGTCTGTACGTAGGAACAAATATGCCCTGTGCAGTATTGTGTGCCAATGCAGAGAACCAAGCTTAGTCGGGCCGTACTCCGCAAAAGAACCATGCTCTTCTTCTAGAGATGGGTCGATCAGTCTCTTCTTGGGCTCTTTGACATACAGAGGATTGAAGAAAACGGGCGGCTTTGGACCCATGTAAGCGTCCTCAAAGTCGTATCGGGCTAATTAGGTACTCAGCGCGCTCAGGTCTTCAATATTGCCGTCTTTCATGATTCTGATGCATTCATTTCTTATCAGAACCTCCCAGCATGAATTCAGTCGCTCCCGAGCAAATCGTCCACGTCCGCTCTCAAACATTTATTCGATGTCTCCTCGATATGATTAGGGATTAGATATGATATAGTTATAGAAATGGCTAGGTAAGGAGTCACTCCTGGAAGCGCTAATTATGATAGAGAAGAGGGTGATGAACATGAAAGATTTAGATATTTTTCGTATCAACATGACACAAGTTCGCTACCCGGAACACAATATCACGAGCATTCAATTACTTACGCATGCTCATAAGACATGTTTCCCCTTCTAGATGCCTTATATATGTGATCTGTACGACTTACGTTCACTCTAAAGAGACACGACCCTTATACCCAGGATACAGTTCCTGTATGGAACTTACGCACGCTCTTCTTTTGGTAGGATGTCAGACACTCCGGGTTTGGGTTACTGGGATTATTGCAAATAGAAACTACCAGCTTTCATGCCCCAGCTAGATATATCTCTCCAATAATCCTAGCATATACTATCTATACTAATATGGATATTGATGCGCGTCGATAGATTATATTGACTAGCCTTTACAGACATATGTGGCTGGAGCCTTGTGATAGCTGCACCATAAGTTACTTCAATCTGTTCCAGATCTGCTTCTACTTAGAAGGCTACCGGTTATCTATTATGTCAAATGTTTTCACGGGGTACCTCTACTTACAGTTCTAGATTTGAATGGTTGATATCGTATGGATTAGGGCGCTGTCTTCGAGCTGAATAGAGCAGATGGGAGAGTTAGCAGGGTCCAGTCACTAGGGAGCTGGTCTGGTGGCGAGCTTTGGTCCTGAGAGCGCTAGCTACGATGACCCCATCCACGGTTACCAGTGTGGAGCGCATCTGTCCCATTGTCGAGACGGTTTGGCAGTCGCAAGACTGCAGTTAAACCCCCGAATCGCCCCGATGGCAATCCTCTGTTTTCGTAGGATAAAGCAGTTTCAACGCCTACCTGCCTTGGTATATCAGCTCGATAAGGTCAATAGTACATTTAGAGGCAATCGTATCTTCTTCCCTCTGGATTCGCGGCCCTCAATCGCGATGGATGTGTGACTGCATTTTTGAGCAAGTTGTCTTCCGAGAAGATCTGGGGTATATGCTTTATGATCTCCGATTGAGTTTTGATTACAAGCATTCAATATTGCAGATTCTGGTATTTTAGGGGCTCCGGCGCCGTTGCTGCTCATTACGATATGGATCTGAACAACGGGTGAAGCCTTCTATCTCTTTCTGACATCTGTTCACAGTCCTTATCGACGTGGGGCTTGGGGAGGATGATTTTGTTTTGCTCGATATATAATATACGTATCACGAGACATCGTTGCTCTTGTTTCTGGGGATAAATTTTCGTTGCGATGCCACGAAAACGATGATCGATGGAATTACCTTAGTCCATACTCCTGAACACTCATTGTACCTCACGTGAAATTCGTCAAATAGGTGGACAGTGGGTAGTCAAAAGGACATTTGACTACTACTTACGTACTACTCAGGGCGCCCTTGCATGTAAACCCCTAAAAACGGCGGGCCCCGTCATGAGACCCATCGACTACTATTGTCATAGACTTATTGCACAGAATACACCCAGATTACTGAATAGTAAGGGTCTTATCCAATATATTAAATAGATCCATTTCGCATAAGAAGCCATTTTACATATGGCCAAGGCTCAGCTTGTTGCTGTATTTAGAAATAAACCGTTTTGGGACGATCTCCTTCAAGCTGGGATTCGAGAAGAACTATATCGTTCGAAGGTGTCCACCTCAAGGCCCCCTTCCCCACCGTTCGAGGACCTTACATTTCGATTAATTTCCCCTTTGATGCTCGTTGGTATTGCATATGTGGAACGCTTGTCAGCTCTGCATTGAGTACTAGTTTATGATTATGTTCTTGTATATCCGAGACGAATGTCCATACATAATACAAAGGGGGCTTGGGATCTAGGCGAAAACTACGTATCATTGTGTTTCCTGGTGTTTCACTCGTGCTGTCCTTGGGACTACAGCGGTGTATACTATTGTGGTTCGTGTGAGGTTAATCGGGGTGGGAACTAGGGTGGAAGCGTGTTGTGGGGATTATTGCTTTTCGATGCAACTATATATGTAGTAGTCAGGGGTTTGGAATGTGTCATGTCATGCACTGTTTACGGGGTAGGCAGTCACTCAGGGAAAGTTTGTACGTACAAGTAACCAACATAGACGTCTCAATAACTGTAACAGAAACTCAAAAACCAAAAGGAACCAAAAAAAAAAAAATAAAAAATAAAAAAAAATGGGGTAAAGCTAGAAGAATTACCAAGTGGTTGCAGCTATTACGTTCGTGTAGCATTATCTAGAGAGCAAAAACAATGAGATCCCCTTTTAAGCAATAGCCTCTCGTCAGCACAGATGAGGCGCATATCTACATAGTTCGCGGTTTATACTTCTAACAGAGGATTTACTTTTTCTCGGTTCCTCCGTAGTTATCAATATTGTGGGGAGCGTGAAGAGAACCCCGGGGCTGTGCATTAGTTTGATATCATTCTTGCACTCTAAACAGCGTCCAACTAGGCGTAAATATTGGCCAACCCCTACCTAGGGATAGCTAGTGGTGTTTTGCAGGTTGCATCTGACATGGAGAACAGGGGGTTTTCCATGTTTTAGCATGAGACAAGGTCAGTCTCACATGTCGAAGAAATTCGAACACCTGAAAGAACTATCAGTCAATAGTTGCAGGTCCCTGAAACACAGCGCAAGCCGTTGCCTCATGTTCCCCTATTGGAATTTGAGAAATCCGAGATATAATTGAGAAGCTGATACTGTATATTATTGTATTAGTTACTCCGTAGTTTGTTCTTGTCTGTTGCCACTTTAAGGGGTGAGTTGATGGGCGTTGAGAAGGGGTTGTTTGTTTGGTTTGCATTGATCGCTTTGGTCGAGGGCGAAATTCGATGTACCTATTAGGTGTCTGTAAAACTCTATCGTGACCATCGTGAAACCCGTTAGAACTAGGTAAACCAATAAACAGTGTCTCATAGATAGCATTTTTTTAAAAGCTTTATGGCCTCATAGGATCGTTGTGGAAGTTGGTACACACGCCATGGCATATTATCCTTGACCTTAAAAAGGGCTTTGCGACCCGCATGCTAGAGCGACCGTTTCTGCCAGAAAAATCATGCGGATGCAAAAAGGCTACATCCGGCGGGCCGACGGGTGGCTATTGAAATCAAGAAAAACCCCGATGGGCTTGACACGATAGAACTGGCTGGCTGGCTGTGCACACTGCATACAAGGTAACCCTTGAATAAAAACATCTAGCGAGAGTGTTATGTATTGCATTACTCATATGTGGGGCAATTGGGCCGCTGTGTGATGTATATGAGTGCCCTGTGCCTATAGGACCAAGTGGCTGATTTGGATAGACGACAAGCGAACTACCACGAAAGAATTTTTTTTGTCGAAATTGAATGTGTGACGGCGAGAGCTTTGTAATCTAAGGATCGGAAGTCTCTGCGGGTCAATCGATTTAATTGTGAGTGTGTTAATGGGATTATCATCCAGGACAGGACAATGCCGTGTCGATCAGTTGTTGTACCTGACGATTCTGCATATAATAATAGAAAATCATAACTGAAAGTGAAAAGTGTCGTGGATTGAGAACAGCCTCGCCAGTCACGCACGGACATGGAGCATCAACCCAGATCCATGGAACGACGGTGGTCTAGAAAGGTCGCAAACGCTAGCAACATTCCCGAGGAAGGGTAATCGTAAATAATTACGTCTCCACCAGGTCAGCCGGGCCCTGGTATGTTTTTCGCCCTCATGTTGCGGAGTCCGGGGGATGTTTCCTGGTACAGCCTCTGGGAAATCTGTCATTGACTCATTGCCTCTTTGTCTTGATGCTCTGTGTTGACAGGTGGATTGTAACCAAGAGCACTACTGAGTACTAGTGGCAGTAAATCTGGATCTCTCCACTTTTCCCCTCATGGCTATTTCGCGAGTTGGGCTTAAGCGCATGTAGATAACTCTTGTCGCACTTTGTCCTAACCAGCGGTGTGACCATAGATGGACGGACTGACAGATAGGAGAAAGAACTAATAACTAATGGCAAGCGAAGAAGATGAGCCTTTGGGCAGTGACATGATTACACATGAGGAAGTGGATGCCCCTGGAGCCAATGAAACCGCGTCGTTTGCAATTTGATGGATCCTTGCATAGAATAACAAGCGGAAGGAACGTTGACAGATGTAGGTCACAATCGATAAGGTGAAGAGTACGTAGTTGTGGTGAATTGGATCTATCGATACCTCCTTGTCTGCTGGGTATAGGTGTATTGCCTTTTTAACCTTAAGAGGTTAATGAGGTTAACTGATAGCTTAGTTAGCATGAAGAATAGTTTAGTTATAGTTGAGCCAGGGTCAGCTGGAAAAAGCAAGGATGGATCTTTTTCTGATCACTCAAAATCGGAAATTGTACGTATGATACTACTAGACTAGTGTATGTTCAACTCCCTTCTGCTGTACCTCGTATCTCCTGCCCATTCAAGTAATGGTTACTGATTCCGGGATATTAAATTAAACTCGGGATTGCCCCTGCACATTCCCTCTTTTAAAGTACCCGGGTCATGCGGTAAAGAACTCGGGATGTATGGACAGGATCTAAAGTGGTGAAAAAAGGCATTGTTGCACCGTACTACTGCAATACTGCACACCGACCTGGTATCGAATGACCTTATCCCCTTTCCCCCTTACTCATATATCACGAATCGCAACATGGCAGAATCAAAGCATCGTGGTATAAGAGTAGCAGGGAAGAGAATAACGAACGAAGAAAAAAAAAAAAAAAAACAAAACAAGAGTCATACCATTTCATCTTAAAAGTCTATGGCTCTACAAACTATGTGCGATTAACTGGATTGGGTTGTTCTCGAACAAAATATTATCTTTGAGGGCCCATGAGAGGAGTCAGATTTGTTCTTTACTGGTCACAAACACTATTTAACCTCACTTTCAAAGAGGGATCCGCGACTACTTTATCGATCTACTTTCCGTCTTGCCTACTATTGATTTTTCGTTGATCTCAATTGGCAATCTGTTTTCCCCATGCAGACACTTTGATTAGAAGATATCTTAGACTGAAAACTTTCCTGAAGTAATATTGATTATTCAATTGGAATGGACATAACATGGGATGCTAATATACTGTCATTACGTGTTAATGAACTTTCGTTTTGTAATTATTTATTCATTGTTTGATTCTACTATTTTTTTTTTTTTTTTTTCCTTGGATGATTTCTCCGACACTTGAATGTTACGGGTACATTCAAAAAGGGAACATTGAGTTCATAGAAATACAGGCCAAAAACTTCGAGCAAGGAATAGAGAAAACCAAACGAAAGAATTGGAAAGGAACGAAAAGCCGAAGTCCCAAGTCAAACAACGATGGGTGGAGCCCGAAATAGTTTTCCCTGGGACGCGATCCAAAAATGATCCATACATGGACAACCAAAGGCTGAAAAGACTGATTCAAGAGTCGTCCAATCAATTTCAATTAGTCTGATATAAGGATATACTTCTCAGACCTAGTATCAACTAGTATTTTTGAAACTATTGGCCTCGATAAGAATTTAATTTTCTTTCAGTAGAAGCAGACCATGGATGAGCCGGCCGCTAATAAGGAAATGTCTTCAAAGAGATCGACTTTTGACGATCAGTGATCGAGTCAGCAAACGCAACATCGTTTGCTGTACCAGTAGAAAGAACAAAGGCACGGGACAAGAACGAAGATAAACAAAAAGAAAACTTCCTACCATAGTTGGATATGTTGTTTGAAAGTACGGACACAGTCCGTGGAAATTTAGTTTTTATTTATTTATTTATTCAATTTTAATTTTTTTTTAAAAAAATATTTTTCCCCCCTCTAAATCTTCCATGGACCGAAATTTTCATTCGCCCGAATTTTCTGTCTGCCTTACTCATTTCACACCCGAGGACCACTTTCAAGATCTCCGTGAGGGCAGACTAGACCGCTAAAGACCGCAAACAGGTAATAATACAAGAATACCAAAACTGTCTTGGAACATGATTTCACTTACTGTACGGAGTATAATACCTACTGTGTCTAGTCTCTTTTTATCTCTGTTTTTTTTTTGTTCGTCCTTTCTTGTTATAGATTTTTACTGAGTATAGTGATATTAATTGCTGAGCTAGTACTCTGTATTGAGAATCTTAATCGAACACTGTCCTTTTGGATCGGATGATTATCCCGTGAGGTAGGGTGACAGAAGAATCATGATTAATCAATGATTAGATCAATCATACTTTGCCTGCATAAACTAATTAATATTATTGAAATATTTGTTTTATATTTTTTTACTTATTAGTTTTTTTTTTATCCCTCTGACTACACCCCTGGTTCTTTTCTATTCTCCGCGCTTATTTATTCGTAATTGACTCCAGTAAAAGATGGAGCGTAATGTTTACGGAGCCGATTGTTAGTGGGCTAAATAAAGACTTGTGGGCACAGTCAGAGATTCAAACAGGAACAGGGCGAACTACTAACCAACTGTCGACCCACCCGCAGCCCTTTTTATTTGATAGGACCGCAGGATCGATGCCCGGTCGTCATCGATGACTTATTACTACTTATTTGATTTGATGGGCTTCCTTCTTTCCTGGACCTTACCTTGACGTACATCCGTACATACATACAGTACCGCGCAACAACAATACTACTGTACGCCCCCTCTCTCTGGTTATTGCGGTCATTAATATCACTTTCCATCTCATTCCTCATTTCCCTCTCTGCCTCTCTGACCTCAACAACCCCTCTCGACCCGCTTGCGATAACCCTCCACTTTCCAACACCAACACCCTTGCTAGACGCTGTGCAAACGCTCGTCCCGCCCGTCTTACTCGAGTCGTATACTTTGCTGGTCTTTCAAAACAGACCCTTGGCCGCTGTCCCGTTTCCTGGTCTTCATTCGTTTCTTTTTGCCTGCCCCATTCTACTCTTCGCCCATTAAGCGCTGCGGGTCAAGCATCAAATAACTCTCTGCATTCCCTGAAAGAGGTACACTTCTTCAGCATCGTACCGGTGGTTTCGTTGTTTTATACTGTCTCAAATATGACGCCGTACTGGCGTGGTGCTACCCGGTGATGATTGCCTTGTAGTTCCGGCCGGTCAATCTGCAACCTCATCTGTGGCCTACCAGCTGTGAACAACGCATCACAAGCCCAGCACCCTCGAACAGGAAGGATCACCACCAACCATCTCGGTGGGGAAGAATTGTCCTTTTTATTTTTTATTTGTTTTTTATTTTATTTTTTTCGCCCTTTTTTGTTGTTGTTTTGGTAAAGAGAGAGAATAGGTAACCCAACCGTGTTGAACGACACATTTACACTGACCATCTGCCTGAAAGAATGCAAGATGTCCGGCAGTGATGTCGAGCACGTTTCTTGCTTTCTAAACGGCAACCCTCGTGAGCTCCGGCGCCAATCTTCTCCGAACACCAACGAGTACTATTATGATACCCCGACGGATGACTCCTTTGAAACATCACTAATTACCTCCTCTTCTGCTGCACCGTCTTTTGCCAGTACCACATACTCCGCGCAACAGGGTCTCACAGACTCTCCCATATTGTCTGCAACCGCAGGCCTATCCTCGAACGACCGATCCTCGCCCGACCCTGACGACTACTATCGCCCACACCCACCCGCACTGGTTGCAAACGGTGATACTGCTGCTTGTTCAGGCGAGTCTTTGATGGTTGAAGTTGATAACGCCAAAGCTGCCGAAAATCACCCGACACAATTTCAACGAGTGTGCTCTGTGCCAGCGCACTCGTCAAAGTCGTCCGTGGAGAGCTCAGGGCCATTTCGTTCGCTGTCGGATTCATCATATGGAAACATTGGGCTCGGATCCACTACCGGGGTACTGCCAGCGCGGGCGTCGACAGCGAGGCCAAGGCAGGTCTCGTTCAAGGATCTCGTGAGCAAGTTCAACAACAATCCGGATCAAGTTCTCCCACTACCGTCAACGTCTACATCCAGGACTGTCAGCCTGGGTAGCCCCACGGACGGGTCAATACAATTCAAGACTGCTTCACGTGAGCGACAAACTCACGATTCGTCAATTAAGAAAACCCCAATACCTCGATGGAACACGATAGGCACTTTTGACCCAGATATACCCTCCGAACAATCTCTTCCTCGGCTAAGGACAAGCGACATTCAAGATAACCGTCCTAGCTCTTCCAACCTTTCTCCTCAGCGGCCTCCGTTTGGCGAATGGCTTGCATTAGATACGAGTTTCGACAACTTGGGATATGGAACACCATCACTTCTACGCCGTCGAGGTTCTGAAGGGACCATCCCGAGCCCAAACCCAGCATTTCTAGACCATCCTGAATCAGCACTTGGCTTGACGCCCCTGACTCCGACCGCTTGGTATCTAGGACGTACGCCGTTTCTAGAGACTGTTAATACCACTTCGACCACAAGTAATCACCGAAGGACAAGGAGTGATTTTGCTGGAGATCGGCCTGGAGGTGCGGCAGTGTGCCTTTCTGACACCCATATGGCGGTTCAGCCCCCCTTGCAGCCGCAGCCCGTGACATCCCTAGAGAGCCCACATTCCAAGTCACGCATTCCAATTTCTTCCCGCCGCCTTAATTCACCTTCCGTCTCGGGCGATTCCTCGCCGTCTTCACCAACACGAACTGATCTAGCTTTCGGCAGCCGATCTGCACAGTCGATCGCTCTGCCACCGAAAGGCGTTAGCCGCTTGCCCAAGCCATCCCCCAAACAGGCGTCTAATCCCGCCCGTGAACTGACTTACGAGGGCGAAGCTACGTTTGCGACACCGCCGCATGCAAGGCGAGAAGTGGCCCCTGGCAGGGCCCGTCAGTACATCCCTGAGAAGGGTGCCCTTTTGGAGGCATACATAGCCGCGCCTCCCCCAAAGAAGTCACCCCCTCTACGTAGTTCACGACCCCGGCAACCCGTCTCACAAACTGCCCAAACGGCGCCACGCTCAAAAGTGGTGGAAACGGTATCGAATTTCCAGAGACAAATCAACCGTGATCGTGAGTCACGCAACTCCAGGCTACGAGAGCGACGACTGCCAGAATTGGGTAATGTCGACTTTGCAACTCGGCGACAGAAAATCCAACAGGCTTTCACTCGCACAGTCGAAGAGAATGAAAGAAAAGAAGAGAAAGCAGCAGAGCTTCGACGCCAGGTCAACGCTCAAGAAGACACACAGCAGTTTGTTCAGCCTACTACACCTAAACAGCAGTGTACGGGACTTGCAGATGTGATTACTTCTGTACAGCCTGAAGATAACGTGACAGTAATCGAGGAATTTGGCGAATGTGGACATGAAACGGAAGACATGACACCAGAGACGGAGGCTTCGAAAGCACATTCACAGCTTCACATCCATACAGACGTATCTCTATCAGAGAGTGCTCGAAATACAGGAGACTATCATCCGATGACGATGGATTCACCAACATTAGGCCACCCGGAAATAATTTTGAACAGCCAAGGATTTGAGTCGACGCCCGGCGACCTGCGACCTGACTCCGCCGCAACAACAGTGTCTAACGAGACCCATATTACCGCATTTGATCCAGAGCCTCAGGATGAGTTTTCCAAGCAGAATCTACATGCATCGCATAGAACCCTGTTGAGCCAAATAATGCGTATTCGTGATGATTCCAGCCCCAGCGGTTCATCGTGCGATGACCAAGATTATGGGTTTTCTGACAATGAAGAGAGGGAGTCAATTCCCATTGTTCTAAGAGATGCGTTGACTATCGAAGATTCCATAGACAGCAGTGAGAACCAAGAGCATCGTGATATTTATATCAAACGAGGTGGTGCTGATGGCGAACCAGCGAACCGCTGGAGTATGAGTTCCTGGTCTTCTTCCCTGCATCATGGAAATTCCTCAGGTGGGCAATGTGAGGGCAGCGATGACGGTCTTTCTAACATACAGCACTTTGCCGAGGATAGCGAAGAGGCCTCTACTCAGTCATGCTCTGCATCTTCGAGCACTCCGTCCATCATTGGTCATCAACTTCCTCATGCATTGTCCCAGACAGCCAGTGAGGTAACAGAGCCAAGTAAAGAAGTCATATCACATACAATTCCTTACGGATCGTCCAACACACCCAGTTTAATAAGGCTGGGTGGATGGGATTCTAAACGTGTGTCTCAACTTTACATAGAGGAGCTTGCGAGTGGCAGGAGTCATAAGCTTCCTATGCCGGCAATACGTGCGTCTCCAGAGCCGCCACATTCCCGGATTGAGCAAAAGGATGAAGGAATAAACGATAATCTGACTGATGACCCTGTCCTAATAACGGAAACTGACCGTGTCCCACCCTCAGAACGCATGCGACATCCAGCAAGCTTGTTTTTACGCGACGACTGGGAGCATGCGTCTCCGTCAATTATGGATTGGATGCAGATCGCCGTCGATGAAGGATCAGCACCTCAAGACCTCGAGATTGACGGCAGCCGAGGAGTTAATCGTGTCCCAATACCGCGACTAGTGACTCCCGACGCACATCCAAGAGGCGCCGACGAAGGCCTAGGTCTGGCAATCAATGTGCAGCTACCTCAGGAGTTTGATAATGATGATGTTCCACCGCCTCCTATACCACGTCATGACCCTCCGGCTCCCCCCTCCGACACTTTAGAGAGCGCTGCTCATCCTCCCCTACCCGTGGTTCATCCCAACATCTTTTCGAACGCCATCTTCGCGCCGCTGGGGCCCGTTCAAAGTACCGATAGCAGTGAAGACTCCTCTCTTCGACGACTTGAGCCGACGCCTTCTTCACAGACTTTGGACTCATCGGCAACTTCTTTGATTCCTTCGACTTCAGAACACCCTCGCCCACAAACCGCATCCCCATCCCCAGAAGAACGTCAATTGAAGAAGCGGCGACATGTCATAAAGGAATTAGTTGATACAGAACACACATTCGGAAAGGACATGAGGGTCGTCGATCATATTTATAAAGCAACTTCGAGTTCGTGCTTAGACCTCTCTGCGGAAGATGTCAAAGTGCTGTTTGCAAACTCGGACCAAGTTGTGAAATTCTCTATGGATTTCCAGGACACTCTTAAGGAGGCAGCGAGAAGTGTTTATATAATGCCTAAATCTCAACGGTGGACAAGCCAGCGTAATGCGCGAAATCCTATAGCGAAGACGGATCAAGAATCTTCTACTGGAACTAGCACTTCAAACCTGGAGAAAGATAATGCGACTTTCATTGGGCAGGCATTCATTGCGCACATAGAAAACATGGAGAAGGTCTACGCTGAATACCTGAAGAACCATGATGCTGCCAATAGGAAACTTCAGACTCTGCAAAAGAATCCGAAAGTGGATATCTGGCTCAAAGAATGTCGGAGCAGATCATCGGATCTCACAACAGCATGGGATCTAGACTCGTTACTTGTCAAGCCAGTACAGCGAATCTTGAAATACCCTCTCCTTTTGAGTGAACTCCTTGAATCAACACCTAAGGACCATCCAGACCGTGCTGCACTCATTAGTGCCCTTGAAGAAGTTACGAACATCTCCGTTCGCATCAACGAGCTGAAAAAACGTGCAGATGTCGTGGGGCAAGTGGTTGGTCGCAAGAGAAAAGAATCTGATGTCAGGGCAGGCCTATCGAAGGCATTTGGACGTCGCACAGAGAAGCTGAAGCAACAGGTTGGCCTTTCCGATATGTTCGAAGACAAGGAGTACGATATTCTGTCCCAGAAGTTCGGAACCAATTTCATTCAACTGCAAGTTGTCATGCGGGATCTGGAATGGTATACAAGTAAAGCCCAGGGATTTATAGACTGCTTGGGTGAAATTACCAGTGCTTTAGAAGAGTTTAAAGTTGGCCCAGCTGCTTACCATGAAACCGAGGGCAAATGCGATGACAAATGCGATGAGCTGAAGGCGGCTGTTCAAGATGTGATGGTAGAGGCGTTACCCAGGCATGTAAGTACAATCCATTGTGGAAGCATTGGTATCCAAAATGACTGACATTCTCTAGATCGCTGTTGTTCGTAAGAGCGTTATTGACCCAATAGTCACACTGCTTAAACTTCATGACGGACCACAGAGGGTGATGCACAAGCGCGACAAGCGCCTCATGGATTATGCCCGCTTGAAGAGTATCAAGGAACGGGGGGACAAACCAGACAAGAAAACAACCGAGCAAGGAGAGCAGTTTGTGGTCCTCAACGAGGCCCTCAAAGACGAACTTCCCAAACTATACTCTCTCACCACTAAATTGATGGAGGCTTGTCTGGAGAAATTCGTTCATATACAAATGTCGTGGCTTGCAACTCTACAGGAGAAACTTGGCCCCCTAGTGGACTCGTTCCCAGACGATATCCAGAAAGTAATTGGTGATTGGAATGCGAGTTTCAGCTTCTCTGAGGCGCAGGTACTCTCGTTAGGCATTTGCAATGGGTCATTGTTGGCTGACACTATCAACCTCATCAATTTCAACACTCCTCCAACCGGAGCAACTATTAGTTCGCCGCGGCGTCCATCAACAGTGAACAGCGCCAGCACTCGTGTCGGATCCACGATGGATGAGTCGCCCAAAGCTTCCCATGATTTCGGCAGCGGTGGTCAACCTTTCCAATCACCAAGCTTTGATAGCCAGTCCCAAGTCTCTCTTGAACGCAAGCGTGCTGATTCAACTTTCTCGGGTCGCGCTGCGCCAGATTCGATTGAACTACCCCGGAGTCAAATGTTGCAACAGATTACTAGTTCCTCATCAGCTTCTATACCCCAGCCCAACTCTAACAGAGAGTCTTGTCCAAGCCTTCCTCGGTTGAGCCTTGATTCTCCATTCCTTGTCGACGTCATTGGTCCTTCTGAAAGTGGCAACAAACCGACCGAAGAACAGCCGAGCTCACCTGGTGGTCGGTACTCAGGCTTTTTCTCATCCGCAATGCCAATGTCGGACAACCCACAAGACAGTGCTCCCCAGGAGAACGAAGCACCTAAAGAACCTGCTGTGCTATTCCTTGCCGCTAGTATTTATGAATTCAACATTGACCGTGCCCGACGAGAAGCCGGGTATCCCTACTTGACATATGTCGTCGGAGAGATTTTTGATGTCATCGCCGAAAAGGGCGAGCTGTGGCTAGCCAAGAACCAGGACGACCCTACTCACCAGGTTGGCTGGATCTGGAATAAGCATTTTGCGAAACTCTCAACCTAAAGCCACTATCTGATGAAATTATTACTTGTTTCAATATTGTACATCTTGCATGGAGGTCTCCAGCGTCATGGTACGTTGGGTCTGTTCGTCTTAGACTGGATCTGACCCAGAAAACGTCGACGCTCCAGAAGGCCGCCCTGGAGTTAACGGTCTTCACGTTCCTATTTATGAAATGTGTTATGAAGTTTTGGGGGCGTTTCCTTGCATCCGCGTTTATTTCTTTATTTTTGTCTGGAAACCAGTCTGCTATTGGCTGGTGGTCAGGTCATCTGCTTTGATTCTGCTTTGAACCGTCTGGTATGTGCGGGGAAAGATATGTTACTCTCAGCTTTTGTGAAGGTGTTTGCTGTTTCTCGTGCTACTGAAGGCACAATCTATCAGAGACACTCAAATGTACGTTTAGATACCCCTTGATTTAGTTGTTCAATGGACTAGAACTTAAAATGCAAACGTGTGGTATGCGCAAAAGCAGAATGCTAGACGTGGCGAACTACTTCTAATAGTGATAGGAACATGTGGTAAGGCTAGGTACAACTGACCCCCTCCCCCTCGAGTATATGAATTGTGTATGAATTGCACATGAAGAGGATAAGAATTAAAGGGGGGAAGGAGTAAAGAGAGTGTATTTCTGTATAGGTAGACGTCACGTGTACACCAGCCACAACAGCAGCCACAGTGACGTCGCGGGATTTCGGAACGGCTTCAATCGTATCGCCGCAAGGGGCGACTTCTCGTGCACCACAGGTGGGAAACGGCCTGTCACTCGGCTGTTGCTTTGATACTATCTTTTCTATCCGACCCCAGGTAATTGGCTGTTTTGTCCCCGTTGGGATAGTCTCCCAAATTTCCTCTCTGTTCCTCCACAGACCAGAAGTTGATCAACCCCCCGCAACCACGACTTGTTTCATCTTTCGGATCGGACGATTCACCCTCGTCCGACAGAGAAATCCACAAGGAGCTATAAAGCTAAACCCTTTCACCCTCAGGAAAGGTAGATAGGGGCTCAGATATATGCGCTTGATAGCCGTCGAATGCACAACAACCGTCCCCCGCGCTCTACAACAGCCCCTCGATTCGGCAGAAGCAGGCCCGCCGATTGCCGCCCTCCAAAGAGATTTGTGGATAGATAATACAATTGAGGGTCGCGATTATCGCGCAAAAGAAAGACAGGCAGGATGCTTGATGGCGGATTGGGCAAGTTGCATAAGAGGATGAAGCGGTTTGGTGACACGGTAGGTCCTTGATTGTTTGGCCTTTATCGTGTCGGATCCGTGACGGAAAGCTTATCTCTAGCAGTTGAACCCCGACGATGCGTATTTAAGCTGTGAGTACATGGTTGATTGACACTTGTCTGAAAAGCATGATGTCTGACTATACTGGAGCACACAGACTATGACATTCGATGTATGTTACGGTTCTCTTGGCACTCTGTTAATAGAAGACCTGACATTTAACAGTGACGAGAGAGGATATGCAATCGCTCAAGAATGACTGGCTCACAGATAATGTGGGTGTGATCGCACCCTCCGATGGATCCTAGCTAATTTATCACAGATCATATCCTTTTGGGAGGAGTAAGTCGACTGGGCCTGTTTCACCCTCGCCTAAACTGATTTCTTCAGATATCTGGAACGCGAGTTCCTCGTCAATTATAAATCATCCAACATTGTTCTTCTGCGGCCTAGCATGTCGTTCATGATCTTGCAGACACCCAATCCGCACACACTCCGCGAGGCCTTACCCGACTTCACGCGGACCACGCACGTCTTTCTTCCCATCAACGACTGTCGCAATGTTACTGAAGCCGAAGGCGGCACTCACTGGTCGTTGCTTCTCATATCCATTGTTGATGGAATAGCCTTCCATTACGACTCACTCCCTCCCGGGAATGTATGGGAAGCCCGGACGGTGACCATGAAGTTTGGCGCATTGCTCAATCGACCCATTCGATTCATTCATCTACAGGACTCACCGGTACAAGAGAACGGTAGCGACTGCGGCGTGTTTGTGTGTCTGAGTATGCGGCATTTGCTGCTGAAAAGGCTGTTGACTGCGAACGCCAGCGAGAAAGTCAGTATGAGCCTCGGCGGAATGAAAGTAGATGCTCGCGGAGGGAGAAAAGAGATGACCAAGATCATTGATGGCTTCCGAAAGGAAGGTGAACGACGCAGGTCGTATGTCGCTGAACAAGTGCGTTGACGTGATTATGCTAACCTCTGGTTGAACAGAGCTAGCCTCAGCCCTCTAGGGAAGAAGTCGGCAAGCCCTGGTCCTCCACGAATTGAATGATAAAAGTATATCCGGGTCTTGAAAACAAATGGGTCGGCGAAGGCGTCAAGAGGATGCGGAGTTCAAGTATATGGATAATGCATACGTCAGGGAGGATATGGTTACGAAATAAGGCGGGGACCTTATCACTTCACGTTTTTTTTTTAATTCTTAGCATTTTTTTTTTTTTACGCTCTCATGGTTTCCCCTCCCTTTTTTCCTTAATTATCTTTATTTCTTCGTTTATCTCGTGGAATCCATCATAGTACCAACTGCAATTAGCATTAACCGCCATTATTAAACCTAAACGAAGCCTATTCTTAATGTTACATAATGTATTTTACATGGCTGGAAGCCATTCGGCCAGGATATGAGCAATTCAGAGATCTGACACTTTAACACCTCAGTCGACTTCCTCTACTTTGTCAAATTGACGCGTTTGATGCGACCATTAATCGAATCATTACTAACAGTAATATTCAAGTAAGTCTTCAAAACCTACAACATAAATAGAAAGTACACATAAGCGCCGTCACTCCCCTACACCACGATCAGCCCCCCATCGGCCGTATTTCTCCATAATGCGCCATTTCCACGTTCGATGGCGAACAGCTCTACCCCAGTAATAAAATGGAACGGCGATGAGGATAATGACGCCGGCAATACAGGCCATTTCCCCAAACGCCTTGCTGTATCCTTCCAAATTAATCCAGGGGTTGGTGTAGAATGATAAGAGGAATCCGAATGCCGCTAGTATCAACTCATATTAACTCCAGTTCCAGGGGAAGGGGAAGAAGGGGCATTCTTAATTACTGTGCTGAGCAGGAATAGAGTAGATTGGACGTACCTTTGAATGCCAGGATGGAGACTGTTATCTCCCCCACCGACGGTCGATAGCTGTCAATAACGTACACCATTGCGACGTTGGTGGCTTGTACAATGGCGAAATTGAGTAGTCCTAGAGCTATGGTGGGCGCTATCCAGTGTAGGTTGTTGTTTACTCCGACACCGTAGAGTACAAGTGCTGTGGGGGCGCATACGCCTCCGATAGCAATGGATGGGAGACGCATCTCGGGTTGCCGGATGCCGTTGTTGCGTCGTGTGAGCCAATCTGCTACCCAGTCTGATACCTGACCGCCGAAGGCAATGCCGATTAAGGATCCGATCAAGCCGGCGATAAAGCATAGGCCGGATTGCCATGGGGCGAAGTTATAGGTTGTCGAGAAGGCAGTGGCGAAATTGGATGTTATGGCTACTAGAAACCCGATCGTTACGGCGAAGACTAGTGATGTCCATAGTACGGGTGGAAGAATGATCAGCACGATTGGTCTGAGGAAAATGCGGAACAGAGGCTCGGATGTGTGGATGCCGTTGAATAAACGGAGGGAACTGAGATATGAAGGCTTCTTTCCGATCTGTAATGTCTCTGGCTCAGTATTTTCGTGATGTTCAGATGTTACAGCTGACTTTGACGCTGCCCGCGCACCTACAGAGACATCCGATGCGGCCTCGCGCTCCAGAGCACTGTTACGGTCAAATGTAGTTTCTGGGAAGGTGAAAATGACGAGCAGAGTGACGCCGCCGATTAATGCAGTAGCCACGTAGTAGATGTATCTCCAGTGAAGCGAGATTGTGATGAGCCCGTCGATTATGATGCCGGCGGCCACGCCAACAGACAAAGCTGCCGTATAGAGTGACATGGCTGCACCTCTTTCATGGAGAAAGAAGATATCCGTGATTGTCATCGGTCCCAGGCATTCCCCTGCACCTGCAGCCAGACCCATAATAATTCGGCCTGCCAATTCCACCGAGTAGGTTTTCGCAAACCCACACCATAAGCCCGTCCCCACATAGAGAACAAAGGAGATGACATATATGGGCCGTCGACCGAACTTGATGATCAATGGCATCCAGAACAGCATACCCACTCCCTGCATGAGGGAAGTGGTGCTGTAGAAAAAGGAAATCCGCGCAATGTGGGCACTGGCATCTGAGCCTTTCGGACCCAGGAAATCGATGGTTGTCTGCTCGATTGCGACTGTTGGTCCAGCCGCAAGAAAGTTGCATAGGAGCACCGCCAGACAGACGAGGATAGCGATATAGTACCGGAAAGCGGCGGACCTAGCCATTGAACACGGGCGGTTAGTCAAATGAGGTGGGGAAGCCAGCATAGCGATGAATGGGGGCCAACTGGAGTAGCTTGCCAGTTTAGTGGGTCGTGGGGATCCCTCGATGGGGTCGGAATCAGGATAATCTCATTTGTTTCATGATGTCGTAGACGCAAGTCTCCCAGAGTTTGCCCTCGAGGGGCAACTGAAGAGGGATCGACTTCCTTCGGAGACATCGTTTGTCCTATTAACTGCACAAATGCATAATCATTTCTCGCAAAAAAGATTCTTTCCGTGTCTGGGATGGGGTATGCATTTAAGCGGACGTGGACTTACAGGGGAAAAAATAAAATAAAATAAAAAATAAAATAAACTAATGCCGCTAACTGAGCTTAATCACATTGACTTGTTGAGCATAAACTCTGGGGAATGGAACGCGTCGGGCCCACCGGGTGTTGCTGCCCTCACTTCCCCACATACCCGGCATAGGGCATCAGCATAGAGTGCGGGGGTAAAACTGGGGTAGGGAATGGTCACACCCCGGTGGGGGATTGAGAGGAAATTAGTTAAATATTAGTTAAATATGATTATTGTGTCCTGGGTTCCTATGCAACCGACATAGAACTCGAAAATAAGATATCATGCAGATAACCTGGCGCAAGACAGCTGATCCTGACACCTATGAAGACGCCCGCGTAGGCCGTGTCTTCAACCACCGTCGCCCTCAACGCTACCCTTTGGCCGTGGTAAAGGCAAGTAGCCAGAATGACATTGTGTCTGCGGTGAAGCTAGCCATTGAGAATAACTGTCGGGTGGCAATTCGTTCTGGCGGCCATTCGTGGGCTGCGTGGAGCGTCCGTGACAATTCCATCTTGATCGACCTGGGCAACTACAAGCACCTTGAAGTAAATGCAAAGAGAAAAACAGCATGGGCAACCCCAAGCATGACAGGAAAGGATATCAATGGCGTGTTGACCAAGGAGTACGGGTTGATGTTTCCCGGGGGCCATTGCCCTGATGTTGGGATTGGTGGTTTCCTACTTCAGGGTGGAATGGGTTGGAATTGCCGAGTATGAACCACCTTCGACCGTTTCATTCTGATTTACGACTAACCTCTGAGATATGCAGAACTGGGGATGGGCCTGTGAACGTGTTCGTGCTCTAGATGTAGTGACAGCCAATGGGCACTTGGTGCACTGCAATTCGCAGCAGAACAGCGATCTCTTCTGGGCTGCTCGTGGGGCTGGGCCAGGTATATTTCGCTACTCATTTCATCTCCAGTCAAAGGAATTAACGTAAATGTTCAGGATTCCCTGGAGTGGTGACCCGGTTCCATCTCGACCTGGTACCGTACCCTAAAAATGGCTTCCGGTCTTCGGGCTACGTCTACCCCATCCGACATTACCACGAGGCCTTCCGTTGGATCATATCAATTACCCCAGATTTTGATAACGACACTGAAATTGCCGCTGTGGCTAACTACCCCGAGGGACAAGATGAGCTATGCCTGTTCATTCTGCTCGTCACCATGAAGTCCTCCGCGGAAGAAGCAGAAAGGGCACTTGCCCCAGCCCAAGAGACACGGCCAGCAGGGGCTATTGCTGAGTGGTTTTGCCAGGAAGACAGTCTTGAGAACCAATACATCAACCAAGCTAAAGCTAACCCAGAGCGCCATCGCTATTGTGCCGACAATGCTTACATACACAACGACGCAGATGTTCCTGCTGTTCTAGAGGAGGCGTTTACAACACTTCCGCATAAGAAATCGTTCGCTCTTTGGTTTGGAATGAATCCTTGCAGCCGTCGGAAGCTTCCAGATATGGCGTTGAGCATGCAGTCAGACCATTATTTCGCGCTGTATACCGTGTGGGAGGATGAAAAGGACGACCTCCGATGCCAGACATGGGTTCACAACATCATGCGGAAGGTCGAACAACATTCAGTTGGGGCGTATCTGGGCGATTCGGATTTTCAAGTGAGGAAAACTCGCTACTGGGATGATGACAACGCCCGGCGTCTGATGGAGATTCGTCGTAAATGGGATCCTACGGGGAGGATATGTGGATATCTGGACAAGGGGGATATTTCAGGAACCCAGGGGTTGACAAATGCACACGAATGGAAAATGTAAAGTTCATATTTTAGTTAATTGATATATACGTCTTTCTTCATTTTACTCCGGGTTTTATTGCCTATACTAGCCCTGACTACTCAAAGGTTCACAACGAAGTACCGTAGCTGACAGGCGAGCGTTCTACCTCACACATTTCGGCTTCACTTTCGAATCCCCACTCAATTTAGCCACTAGACATGCGAAATGAATGCACGTACAAAGTCAATTATCTAACGGAGACGTGGATGGCTCTAGAGTCTCGGGCACTCCGGGATGTGGGGGGATAAGCTTTCCCCGCATTTATTCCCCAGTCTGGGCACTACTTCCTCTATTGTCTAGGGTACGTATTCTGACGCGCGTCTTCACACGGATGTTCGGGCCCTCACCGGGACATTTCTTAAGATGGACTTTATTTGTCGCCTTAGAATCAAGGATAACAAAGCAAGGTAATCAAATATGGTCTCATCAGCCTCCAGCCGTACCGGTTTGATCGTGAACCATCTAGCACCTCATTCCCATCACACAATGGACGGGAAAAGCCTCACTGATAAAGTGGCAGTTGTCAGTGGTTCCTCATCAGGAATCGGCGCTGCAATCATACGAGAGCTCTCATCCCGTGGCGCCAATACAGTGGTGAACTATCCATTCGCTCACTTGAAGGAGGAAGCAGACAACTTGGTGGGCTCTCTGCCCTCGCCATCTATCGCCGTTGAAGCGGATATGTCATTGGAGACATCTCCACAGAAGCTAGTAGATGCTGCAGTTTCAAAATGGGGTCGAATTGATATTGTGGTCAATTGTGTCGCGCTTGCCGTGAACAAGCCATTCGAATCACAGACACTAGAAGACTGGGACCTCTTAGTCAATACAAATGGACGGAGTACGTTCCTCTTGACTCAAGGAAGTTTGCCTCATTTAACGAAAGGGCGTGGGAGGATTGTGAATATCGTCAGTATTTCCGGTCGTGGACCTCCACCAAACCAGACCATCTATGCGGGAACAAAAGGGATGGTGGACTCTTTCACAAAATGCTGGTAAGTGCAGCTACGGCCCTTGCCCTTTGCTGCATATTCGTGGTATAGACTAAATGGGTGGGTCTAGGGCTAAAGAACTGCCACCCAAATATGGTTGCACAGTTAATGCTGTCAGTCCTGGTCCTACGAAGACTGAGGGCTTTGCGGCTGCCGGTGAAGACCAGATGAAGATTCTGCAGCCGATTATCGACCAAACGCCGGTTGGACCGAGAATGGCAGAGCCAGAAGAGATCGCTTTTTCGGTTGCATTTCTATGTGAGGAGCGTGCAAGATGGATCAATGGAGCACATATTGTTGCATCTGGTGGGCTTTTCATTGACTAAACATGCATATATTCTGTTTTCCTGTCTGGAATATCATCAGCAGTTCGCTAGGTTCATGGATTAGAAGAATGTTGTCATAGACCTACACATTGACAGCCGTTCCTCTACTTAGAAACTATGCTGATATCATCAAGACCGAAGGAAGACTGTTCATCTATCAAATTTTCCGTATTCTGTCATTGGTCCCATCACCTATGCCTGCCCCGTCCGTTTTCTGGAACTGGCTCGGCTGTAGACTAAGCTCGACTTACAATATGATGAGCTTCTATCAAGGGTCCCTTCTGTTAAAAGATGAAGGTTGCCTTGCCTAGTCGGGTGTGCTAGCTAGGAGTTTTTCGACTAAGATCATGGACCTACTCGATAGGAGCTCCGTTCAGTGTTTGTTATTTTTAAAGAGTAAACAGTGAAGACTGTCTGGGAAATAATAATTCAACAAAAGAAGGGGAGGTTGATGGGGTTGTTTTGGATCTCTGCCTGCAAGTTGCGTTATGATTAAATGAGGTTGACGGTTAGTCCATATAGGGATAACTGAAGTTACTGAATGTATCAATGATGAAGATAGCGGGACTACTACAGACTAGATATGCTAAAATTCAATCTAATACCCGGAAATGTAAGACAGTCTACTCGAGTGTTAAAAAGTCTCAACCAAGTAACACGTTTAAAAACAAGATAACATCATTTACTCGATCGGCCTCGCCCCAGAAACATCCGGAACACCTTCACCCTCAACAACCTTGGCCCCTATAACTTCGTAAACAGGCACTTCCGCCAGCCGAGAAATGACATGATGCAATGTGGGCAGCTGTTCCCAGTCCAGCGCATCAATCTGAAAACTTGCCTTCTTGGTCGTGTACACCCTTTTCGGCATGGGCTTCGGCGTTGCTTCTGAGAACGGATCCCACACGGCATGTTCCTCCGCCGGCACATTCTTATTCGCGCGGCCACTCTTCGGGATGTATTTATATGCCAGCATACCAGCGTCAGCCTCTCCACTGATCCCACCAGATGCAGACGACGGGTCAATTTCGACCAGGTCCTCAAGAAGGAAGTTGCCCCAGAGCGCACCTTGCCAGCCAGTTCGGATGCGATAGGACGTCGCTCGGCGATAGACATCGATAGATGTGTACAGTTTGGGCATACCTAACTCTTCCCGACCAGAGACGATTGGGTCCGTCAGCGATTCAAACAGGATGGGAAGGTACGAGCCCTTCACGGTAGAGCCGTCTTTCTTGACGTATTCGACGCCGTGGACATAAAGACCGATGTGACTGTATCCTGAGCCACCCAGCCATTCCATCTTGTTCAGCGTCGTCTTCGCAAAGGACGCATAGGCGACGGTGCCGGGAGAAGTAAAGCGCCAGCCACACCGGCCGGGTGGGAATAGATTCTGGAGAACTGTTCGGGACGTCTTAAATTTGATTGATGCTGTGGTGAAGGTGGATTTCGTTCCGTCTCTGGGGACTCCGAGGTGTGTTTGGCGAGGACCTGGCATGGGCCCAAAGGCAATGGGCATCCGCCAGTAGGGGTTAGGAATGCGCTTCCAGGTCCATTCACGGAGCTTTTGCGTGGAGTTGTCCCATTCGTCGTGGCCACAATTGAAGTTGACGAATCCGTACACTATTGATACATGTTAGTCAGTAGTGCGCTTGACTGAGCGAAATGGTGCCCTGCTACTCACTATCAAGCTCCTTGCCATTGGTCCGATCTTCGCCAAGTATCCGAGAATATTCTTGAACCTGGGTTGCGCGCTCGTACCGGATTTCATGGTAGAGCTGCAGTCTCTCAGGAATCTCTTCCACAGGGGTTCCTGGTGGAAGAACGACGGCAAGCGAAGCTGCATCCTCAATTGCAATTCCTGCTCCTTGTCCCTGATGCGGCAGGAAAGGATGTGCTGCATCACCAAGAAGAGCCAAACGCCCGGAGTGCCAGCGTGGAATTGACTCCATATCTAGGAGTTTCCATACTTTCACACTTTCAGGGTCGGCCTTTGCCAAGAGTTTAAGAATTGCAGGATCAAATGATGAAAATATTTGAAGCATTCTGTCGAGGTTTCCACTTTGGTCCCACCCGTCGGCTGCCTGATCGGCCGACTCAGCCTCGGGGTGAATTACCACGAAGTTCAGGACGGAGTTGTGGGAGGTTGGATACATAACAATGCGGCGATCTGTTCCATACCACATACACAGCTCCCCGGGGTGTTTGACCAAAGGCGCAGTGACAGGGTCATCAAGGGCAGCCTGTTTCGACACTAGGAACCGGAACGCACTCTTGCCGCTGCAAAATGGTTTGATGTCGCCCCCCGGGATCGCGCTTCTTGTCATCGAATGGACCCCATCGGCACCGAGAATAATATCGCCTTCAAAATGCGCACCATTTTCCAAAGTGATGTGCGCGGCTTCAATATCTACGCTTACCACTCGACTTAATGTCCGTAAGGGAATGGCTGGTCTCCCATCCTCGGCATTGGTTGCCACGCTCTTCAGCTTGTTGTATAGGTCAATACGATGGGCAAGTAACCATCTCTGCAAATTCAGGTCAGTCAGGAACTGCAAGTAGACAGCGTTTATGGAGGGATTCGAACATGCTGCCATATGTTGTGATTCTCTGAGAGCTCCATAGATCTCTCTACTTTGCCACTTGCAGTGTATTCCGTCAACTAGATCAACTCGTTAGGGTCAGAGTCCAGGAAACGTTATACAAGAGTCGAAATGATTACGCACCCTCTCGAAAGCATTGGCACCGAATTCCTCCGCACATATTCCGAGACGTCGGAGGATTCCATTCGCGTTCGGAGCAAGATGAAGCGCAGCTCCAGTCTCAGTTGCCAGCCGCGATTGTTCGAATACCTAAAACGCATGTTAGCCTGCACCAAGCCATACTTCGAGAGTGGCGAGATTATCACACGCACTTGTACATCATGACCTTGCTTACGGAGCGCAATAGCGGCCGTTAATCCGCCAATACCGGCTCCAACGACCAACACCTTGAGGGGGCGATTCTCGCTCCTCGAATTAGGAATAATGGATGTTCCATTGAGCTGGGTCATGTTGTCGACACAGAATATACTGGTATAGAATTGGTGCTTGAACAATTCATGGGAAGCAGTTGCATGTCTCAGTTGACTTATTATATGCTAGGAGTTTCCTCATATCGTTATTGAACTGAACACCGAGGATTGGGGTCGATCTCGGGCCCACCTACCCGGGGTGGGGGACATATACCTACTACATTCTATACATGTCCGAGGCTGCATATATGCGTCTCGGGATAATGAGCGTGCCGCGCTTTATGACATCCATATCACCATTGGCAAGTGAAATCCTGGGTGCCTGACCGATAATGTGGTGCGTTTAGCTACATCGTGCAGAAGTCATCCAACCTTCGCTGAACAGGAAAGAAGTTTCGTAATTCTACTCTGAGCAAGGATTTGTGCTAAGACTTCTGGAAATTCGATTAGTTATATTGGTCTATTTAATAAGATAAAATAGCTAGTAGCTCTACAGAAGAATCCCTTCTGCAAGTCGCTGTCACAATGTAGGTCCTAGCTATGCCTTGGGATTCTCATCATGATACAGCTTAATCCAATCATACTGATCATTCAGATACTTCTGTGCACGTAAATCCCCAGACCGAGCATGACCTTCAAAATTCTCTGCTCTAGCTGCTCGTCCGCAGAGCCTGCCCAATTCACCACTAGCCTTGCTACTCTCCACCTCCTGATATGTCACAGTCCTGAGATACTTTCCCACCCAGAGACCACCGGTATATCTGGCTGCTTTCTTGGTAGGGAGCACGTGGTTGGTCCCAATAACCTAAGTAAAAAGTATCAGCCCTCTGGCTCTGAAAGTAGTAGGGGAACATGAAAACACAATAATACCTTATCCCCGTAAGAAACACACGTCTTCTCACCTAAGAAGAGCGCTCCGTATGCTGTCATATTGTCCAATGCGTCACGAGGCCGTTTCGTAAAGATTTGCACATGCTCGCTAGCATATTCATCGGCCAACTTCCATGCTTCCTCCATCGTATCGACAACAATCACTTCGCCGAATCGCTCCCACGAAACACCTGCCACGTCCGCAGTTGAAAGGTGCTTGAGCAATTCATCGATGATCTCGATGGCTTTCCGACCTACTCTTTCCGACGTAGTAATTATCACTGCGGGAGAGTCAGGTCCGTGTTCAGCCTGGGAGAGGATGTCGGTAGCAACGGTGAAAGGATCCGCCGTATCGTCTGTCACAATCAAGATCTCAGTCGGTCCAGCGAAGAGGTCAATTCCAACCTCGCCAAAGAGCTGTCTCTTTCCCTCAGCAACGAAAGCGTTTCCGGGCCCCGCGATGAAGTCCACCTTTTTCATAGTCTCGGTACCAACGGCCATTGCAGCGATCGCTTGAACACCACCGAGGAGATATATCTCGTCGGCACCAGCGAGGTGCATGGCTGCAATTGTGCCATGAGGGATCTTGCCAGCGATGGGTGGAGTGCAACCCACGACGTGCGGTACACCGGCAACTTTGGCAGTCATGATGGTCATATGTGCGGATGCAAGCAGAGGGTAGCGCCCACCAGGGATATATCTGTTCATTAAATTAAGACTAACTCTTATGCTGGATCTCTTTTATGTACACTCTTCACTTACGCGCCGACAGAGTTAATAGGAAGATTCTTTTGGCCTAGAACAACACCCTGAAGAAACGTTAGTATAATAGATTCTCCAGTGAGAGATTGCTTTGGTCTTACAGGTTGAACCTCATACTCAAAGTCCTTCAGGGATTCGCGTTGCGCTTGTGCAAATGCACGTACATTCCTTTGGGCCTCTTTGATGTCGTCGATAGTCTGCTTGGGACAGGCCGCGATCGCGGCATCAATATCCTCCTGGGATAGCTTGAACGAAGCCGGTGACCACTTGTCAAACTTCTCAGAGTACTTTCGTACGGCTGCATCGCCATTCTGTCGGACATCGTCTATCACTCCCTTGACGACTGAGCTGACATCGACTTGAGTCGTGGAGATGGCCAAGGTATTTGACTTTGATTTCAGATGGCGGGCAGGCATATTGGTGGTGGTGGTAATAGCACAAGGGAAAAAGTAAAATGGTTTTAGGTCGGTATATAGCTTAATATTTTCTTTCTGAGTATAATGTGGGCTTTATCTGTTTCTTATGAGCGAGACATGATGCTCGTCTTGTACTGTACCGTATATTCCTCCACCGGCTCCACCTCCGAATGGGCATGTCGACAGGATGAAGAGAGGTCGGACAGAAGTCCGAAATAGCCCGGAAGTCGGAGCGCTTGTCATCTGCGTCGATTTAGCTTGAGGTCTTGTAGCTGAATGGAAGGTTTTTACTGAGTCTGTTACAGCTAGTTTGTCGATTTCAGGGCATGCCGTGCCGTAAAGAGTTCCAACCGCAACAAACTAAACGAAACGGCGTTTATTGTGAAGAGTAAACGAATCATTTTATATAAAAGGACTAACATTGTATTGGCTTAACTGAACTGATCTAGTTTATTGTACTTGATTCGAATACTCCATTCCCCATCCTCGCCTCCTTCACTTCGAGGGCTTGACATCATCCATTCCACCCCCATAGTCCTCCTCCAGTGTAGCCCCATTGACCTGCAAAGGCTGCGCCTCTTGAAGAACATATAACATCCGAGCCCAGTTGGTCTCACTTGTATTCCTCCACGCGTGGTTTGTCCCACGCTGAACCGCAATGTCGCCTCGCTTGAGCAATCTCGTCGCTCCCGAGTCCAAGACTAGCTCAACCTCTCCCTCGAGCACCACCCCGTAGTCCAGACTCACAGTCCGATGCATGGGCGAAATGGCCCCAGGGTTCATGTCCACGACACGCAAGACCGTGCCTCCAGGAATCGTAACCCCCGGGAGATCTTTCAGCAACGACCCATAAACATCAAGATCCTTCTCGCCGCTCAAGTTAACAGGGACCTCGTTCGTCCCGTAGGCGAGTGAGAAGCGGGCGCCGTTGGCTAGCTGCTGCCATTTGAGCGGTTCAGGGATCCTATCCTGAAATCTGGTAGTCCCTTGGGCGTCGTGATCGGTAATCACGCGGTTGATGGGGCGGAGGCCGTTGTCTTGCATTTTTTTTTTTTTTTGGTATAGGTTGATTTATGCTTCAGGCGGATGTGGGAGTGCAATGCAGAGTGGAAATGATCAAGTACGGATTAGGTGTTGTACCCGACAAAGATTCATGGTTAATTCACTCTTAAATCCCTTGGTCACTTTGGAGATGAGGGTTCTCCAAGTGGAGCCGATAGTCTCGCCCGCAGGTGGAGGAGGGTTCACCCGATCGTTTGAATACTACACCTATATCTTATAGGCTCGTCAACGCATCCCGGTCCCGTAAAAACATGTGCAGTTTATTGAGAACAATGTCTCCGAAAGTCGCACTGATAACTGGGGCATCGCGAGGCGTTGGGGCCGCCGTCGCTCATGCGCTCGCCGCCGACGGCGATACCAACATTATTCTAAACTATGGATCCAACCCAGAGCCCGCAGAAAGGCTCATTCAAGAATTGAATGCCTTGAGAGATAATGATACTCTGTCGACAGAATCCCCTCGATTCCAGGCTCTAAAAGCAGACATGGCAGATAGAGCTGATATTCGTCGGTTGGTGAACCAAACGGTTCAGGAAATGGGCCGTTTGGACATCGTGGTGTCGAATGTTGGCTGGACACGAATGACAGATTTTGCAAATCTTGACGAGGCCGACGACGAGGCTGACTGGGATCGGTGCTTTAACATGAATGTTAAGAGCCATTTTTTCTTATTCCAGGAATGCAAGAAGTATCTGGAGAAGACCCAGGGGGCGTTTATTGCGACAGCGAGTGTTGCTGGCGTCAAGCCAAGCGGTAGCTCCTTGGTGAGTATTGTGGGCGGTGGATGATACAAGCACATACGAAAAGTATTGGCTGATATTGGCGACAATAGCCGTATGCTGTAACAAAAGCTGCTCTTATCCATCTCGCCAAAAGCCTGGCAGCCATCGCAGCGCCAAACATTCGAGTAAATACAGTCTCACCCGGTGTCTTGCTTACGGTATGTCTGTGTTCCTTTGGTTTTATTGACGTTTGTTAATAATGTTCGTAGGACTGGGGGCTACAGTTCCCAGAAGAAAAACTGAATGCCGTGCGCGAGAAGAATGTCTTGAAACGATTTGCTACCCCGGAGGTAAGATCATAGTGCACACTGTGCGGCATTGAACCGCAGCTTACTGACTTGAAATACCCTAAAAGGACGTTGCAGAGCAAGTTAAGTTCCTTGCGAACTCCAAATCCATTACTGGGGTGAATGTCGTCATTGATGCTGGGTTCTCACTGTAGATATATATAGGTACATGCAGTATAGATCTTGTTGCTAGAAGGCATAAGCATATCTTCAATTATCGATATTTGGTATTTAATCTATAAGCTCCTATATAAACCATCTGAATGTTCTTACACGGCCCATGTTACTTGCTCACGTCCCGTAATTTCTCGATCAGATGGACCAAGTTCTCTACCAAAGGCGGTTCCCGCTCACCGTAATGGTTTCTATGCATTATTTGAAGAACTAGCTCCAAAATAGCGCCAGGGTCGGCTAGAGAAGCAGAGGCTATATGCGGCTGAACTCCATGCAAAGCAGGGATGCCACGCTCTAAAGCGATATAGCGATGCACACCATCGGTATCATCGCCATCAAGCCATATTATGTTCTCCATATCCATACCATTGGGATCCGGCCGGGACATGGCATTACCTTCAGTTGCATGGGCAATTGCCATGCCATAGGCCCAGAGAGTTAAGCTAGCATGGTATAGGGCAACAGCCATGAAGTCCCGGAGACGTTGCGAAGGAAGAGATTTGAGCTCTCGGATCACCTGCCCGGCATGCCAGAGGGCCTGTCGGCACTCTTTGCTCTTCGACCAGGAATGAATCGACGGCGGAAACTCTGAGGTCTTTTTGGGATCCTCCAGCGTGGCGAGAATCTGCACATCCTCTAGCGACATGTGCATGTGCATCAGAATAAGATTCAAATGAAGTGTGCTT